GCGTCTTCAACTTGGTTCTTGACCGTCCATAACAGTCCTGCTTTCAGTATTGGCCTCTTGCCGTGTACTGGTAACGATGGAAGCTTCTCTTCTAATCTTCTTCGCTTCTGTGCAGGTTCTGGGCTTGATTCTCTTTGTCTTTTCTCCATTGCTTAACAGTTACGGGCACTACTAAGATCAAAAGATCCTTTGGTTCTATCCCCAAGCGATGATAAAGCATGTATTTGTGGGGTAGTCTGGTAGCGGTTTGGAAGTGTCTTGTAGCAAATGTAACTTTGGCAGAGCACTTACAGACCAGCTGTTTCGTGTTATAAACCCATCCTCAGAGTGGTTGGAAACAATCAAATAGGCCGAAACACAATAATTTATTCAAGAGAAATAAAACAAGACCCCAAAGAAAACTAGTAAACAAAGACTCTAAACAGACACACTTTCTACCAGATGATTTTATTGTCCGAGTCTTGATCAGGCTGAAAAACGAAATCTCCTGTAACCTCTGGGAGTACAACAAGTGGTTCTTCTGCTATAACAGCAGCCACTTTAGCTTTCTTCTGAGGATTGGGCTTGCCATTTCCTCTTTTCCGCTTTTGTACCCTCACTGCTGCCACTCGGACAACAGTAGGTTCCCTGGACCAACAATCGGTCCATTTGTGTCTGGACTTGCCGCACTATTGCACAAGTCAGTCTATGCACTCTACCAATAGGGAGTACCGGAAGGTCATACCTTCAAGCATACTTCTGCTTTCCTTCTTTCTTCTAGAATATCCCCCGGGATACCCTTCAGTTCCACCGCTTTGTCTTTGGAACTAGCTTCCTTCTGAGGTTTGGAGGAGCTTGCAGCTTCTCTCTTCCTCTTGGAATGCCGTTCCTTCTCAGCAGGAGGATCTTTCTTGGTCCTGGCTGGTGTTTTCTCAGCTACTACCATCTGGTACCTCTCATGGGTGTGCCCTAGCTCTCTTAGAGCAGCTATCCGCTCCATCAAGGATTTTGGCTTGGGGGTAAAGAGAGCCCAACTCATGCCTAGGTCGGGAAGGAGGGAAATGAGGATCTTATCATCCACTAACTGACCCTTATAGCCAGTCTTCCACATCAGCTGAATAATGCTATTCAGGAAGGAGTCTATTCCTCCTTTGACTGTGTGGGTAAGGGCATTCCATTGGGCTAATGCATCATCCCTGGAGTTGGCTTCGCCAAAGGCTGCTCTGAGAGCATCCACAAAGAAATCCCAGCGCTTCCATCTCTCATCCAACACAACAGGCATCCCAGCTATCCGGTTGGCAGAAGCTTGGTCAATGGAGTTGTGATAAGCTTCATACCACTTGACCGGAGCATCTCCTTCCATCAGGTTGCCAGCATAACGGATCTTAACCTCTTCGGAGGTATAGGACTGGCTTTCAATGGAGAAGACATCCTCACAGTGCCGGATGAAGGTCTCCACATTGTCTGATTTGCCATTGAACTTGGCCGGAGGGGGTGCCTTGGGTTCTCGGGCCCTGGAGGCAGCGGAGGGGTGTTATGGGGCCGGAGGCCTCATTAACTGGGCCATCGAGGTGAGAAGCTCCTTCTGTTGCTTCTCTAGCTTCTTCCGGAGATATCTTCGCCATTCTCTCCTGGCTCTATCCTCAGGCTCCGAGTCTGAACTGTCTGAGTCCCCTCCCGGGTTGGGAGCACCACCAACTGGGGGGACTATTCCATTTCCTCCATCATTACCCGCTGGTTCTGGGTCCTGGTTCCCTCCACCGGGGTTTCCTTCTGGCTGGAGGTTCCTCCTAGGTGCCTCCGGGGGTGGTGAACCTCTGTGGGATTCGGGGGATAACCCCTGTCGGACGCAGGGTGGAGGAAGCCCAGAGGGTCCACTCCTAACCGGTGTTTGGGAGTAGTAATTGTCGTCTTCTACGGGTGGTCAGGGGGGCCTAGCTAGGCCACCTGCCAACGGGCTGGCTGGGGCTCTCTGAGGCAGGAGAGGTGAGCCTCCAATCGCCTATAGCATCATCAGGGGGAGAGTCCTCTGCCTGATTGACCTGACTGGAAACGCCGCAAAAGGGTTCACCCTTTGGTGGAAGGTTCTCAGGGCCGCTCTAGATGAGGCCCTGGAGTTCTGCAGAGGAGCAAGGTTAAGGACAAGTGCTGGTGTGGGCATTCTGGTGATAGAGAGCCGTCCTTCGTTGATGGCTCTCTGGATCTCCTCCAGAAAGTTAGGAGGCATGGCCGGGCTTGTCCACTCAATGTCCTCCATCTCATCCGTTCCCAAGTCATCTCTCTGGGCATAACTCTTGAGTTGTGCCTGGACTGAGGAGACTTGTTCTCGCATGTAGCCGAAGGTATCCCTGAGCAGGACTGCCTCCGCTTCTTGTCTTTCTTGCACCAAGGCTAGCGCATTGCCGGCCTTGATGACTTCCTGTTGCAGGCTGTGCTTGAGGTAGTTCTGCAATTCCGCAAAGAAGTCCTGTATGGTAACTTCGTTGGTATTTTGCCAGGTGGGCTCGGCTCCGGAGATGTAGGACTGGAGCGCCGTCCTGGGCTTGTGGATCAACTGTGTCTGACCCTCTTGGAATTCTAAGGCTGCCGGTTGCCATTCAATCTGAAGAGGCACTTGGGGAGCCGGAAGGGCGGACATGTTGTAGGAGGAAGAATAATCTGAAGGTAACTTGAGCACTTAAAGATTATCTGTTACGGGGACAGTCTTTCCACATATCGCTAGAATCAGATAGAAAGGTGTGGCCGTGCAAGATGGAAATCAGGAAATCGGATAGTTGGGCGAGAAGGATCCTGAGTACTTATACTCCAAAGGATTCCATTCCCTGCTCCTACTTCCTTACTAAGCTCTGGTGATTCCTTCTAGGGGAAGGGAAGCAATACCACCACTACCCCGCTTCTCTCTAAGTGTTAGCGGGTGCTTCCTGTTCCGAAGGCGATCACCCTTAGTCAAAGCCTTTGTAACACCTGCAGTCTTGGTTGTCGCACAACCGGGACCTGCATGAATGAGCTGCCGCTCAGGTGTAAGCTTAATCGTTGCTGTAGAGCTCTTCGCTTATTGTAGACTTTCCCATGCATAGTCCCTGCCACTACCGGCGGACTTATCAAGCTCAGAGGATGTAGAGGATCGCCGAGCACTCAGAGCTTCACTCTGGCTGGCCTTCTAGTCATTGGCGAGACATAGACTCGTCAGTCATTACTCCCATGAATATATCCTCTTCCTAGCACTCAGAATGTAGTTATTCTGACAGCTGGTAGCTAACCACACTGCCGGCACTTGCATGTCACTGTGTAACTGGCTTCTAACAATAACTCTCAGCATGTAACCGGGCCCTGTGTGTACTCATACACCAGACTGTTGAGATGGCTCCGTTACACTCCTGATGTTCTCCTGAGAAATCAAAACGGATTTTGATTCTCTGAAAACACAGGAGACCCTTTACAGAAATAGTTAAGCCTGCTGATGAGTCATCACCAGAACTTAGGAAGGAGGTAGGTGCAGGGAACAGAATTCTTTGGAGTATAAGTACTCAGGATCCTTCCCGTCCTAATATTTGACTTCTCCAGTCTTCAGAGATTGCCAATCAAGTATGCTATTCGATAGCAGAGCCTTTAAAGATTATTGAGTTCTAGCGATAGTATCTTTGAAATAATCTGCACCTGATTTCTATCTTGCATGGCCGCACCTATTCTATTGGATTCTAGCGATATATAGAAAAGGCTGTCCCCATTACACAGAGAATACAGTGGATTATTGGGCACTCAGAGCTTCACTCTAGCTGGTTTTCTATTTATTGGCGAGATACAGACTTGTCAGTCATTGCTCCCATGAATAGATCCTCTTCCTAGGGCTCAGAATATAGCTACTCTGATAGCTGGTACGTAACCACACTGCCGGTACTTGAATATCACTGTGCAACTGGCTTCTAAAAATAACTCTCGGCATGTAACTGGGCCCTGTGTGTACTCATACACCGGAGAGTTGAAATGGCTCCGTACAAACATAATAGAAACCCGATTCCAAATCCTGACTTTTCTTCTAGTTTCTGAAACCTAAACCTGAAGCGCCTAACGCTTACACTCATTCCCGAACCTAATCTTAATCCAGCAAACAAAACTGAAGCCACACTGATCTCTCATCCAACAACCCGATTCTGGAGACGTCTCGTCGGCAGGGCATGCAGCGGTGGTTGGGCCGTGATAATTACTGATGGTCAGAGCGGGGGCGGCCTTGATGGCCGCCCTGTGCGGGCATAGTTCAATTATTGGTATGGTATTGGGATGGTATTGATACAGTATCCCTCAAAATTTATTATTTTCGGCCATACAGTATCAATTCCAACTAAATATAGCACTTTATTTAACACGTCTTCATAGAAATAAACTATTCCCAACACTCTTGGTTTAACTTCGGGGCGCCTGAACTGCAAAGCATTGATTGCGCGACTGTATCAATGCTGTAAGCAGGACACCCCCGTTTCCGGTATTGTAGGCATAACGGTTAAGGGTAGTCTTGTTCCCAGATGTGCGCTGGATCGAAGCAAACACAGGCTGGGCACGAGACTAGGTTAAGGGCTATCTCTTGACATACCTCATGATATTCGGCTTGTCTGAATTAATCAATCAATCAATTCGACTTATATGGATCATCTAGTATCACTCGATTCATTGCATTACAGCTATATCTAATTAATTTTTGCCTTTTCTGACTTGATGGATTCTCCTCGTTTCCCGTATATCCTCAATACAAACATACAGGGAGTACCCGATAATTACGAATATCAGGTCCACTAGACACATTCGGAGAAAACCATGGGACCTTTCCCTCAACATTCTAACAATTCATCGATTTGAACCGGCCGACTATTAACTAAATTTCCTAAAGAACGCCTTTTTTTGCAAACTGATCCTCTCCCCGCTCCTCTCATATCCACGATAGAGAACAACATGAAATATACCGAATTATGTAATTCAAAAGGATTAGAATGTTTTTATCCTATAAATCACTCTTTTGCACCGATAAGCTAGTGATTTCGAAGGCTAATTCTCCGAGGCAAAATTGTGGAACTGCCAAATTGCAGTGGGTCCAACCCTGCAGATGGTGAAGAGGACCTGGTTGGTACTAGAAACGGCAGTTCATCAAGAAGAGTGCCTGCCATTGTAAGCGGTGGTGGTGAAGAGGGTGGTGCCGTATTTATATCGTCGCCGTAGAAAAAGCCACAGTACTCATCGTGAGCATTTCTCTCAGTGCTTACTCTCACCAGGGACGGCGGAAAAACCGAGAGAGGCTGTGGAGACGCCTCGGGAAGTTGCAGGTGCGATATCGGAATTGCAGTCTGGTTTGTCTGCACCTTAAAGAGTGCTACACGGAGGCGAAGACGAAGTGCTGTTGCTGCCGCTGCTGCTGAACTGGAGAAGGCCTCGGACACTGGAGCCTCCGGGTTGACCGATGTCTGCAATGGATAATCCGATCTCCCCGCCCGCGGGAACACCAAAGAATCTAATCGTTGCCTGCTTTCGAAACAACCTTTATCTACCTCTGCGAACCTTTCTTCTTGATATCGGTACTCCTGCCCTTCGTTTATCAATGGCTCCGAGACTGAATGGCAGAAGGACCGATCCCTCCCATCTATAGTCTATTTAATCCCTGTCAACAACTAAAGCTCCTAAAACAGCAACCCCTTGCGTCACTACGAGCACCAAAAACTTACAAGCTGTCCAAGCACTGCCGTGTCATCGTCATGAGCTGATGAACACGACAGACCTCCATCCACAACGCCATCCTCCAACCAGTGCTCAATTCCTAATCTTTTGTCGTGGGTTTCGGTATACCGGGCAGCTTTAGGTATTTGTGCGTCGTCCAGGAAGTCAATTGAGTGCTTTCCCAGCACTCTAACCTGGCCTTCTCTCCTGAGTTTTTCATGGTCAAACTCACTGTCAATTCTGCGCGGAGTGGCGGCTCGATGAGTGGAGACATTTCCATTGAGGAGGCCAAGTGCTTGGCGCCGTTGGAGACTTGCTCGTGTAGCCATCGAATCGTGAATTAACATACCGGAGAAATATCGTTTCTCGTGCGTAAAAGTAGTAGTTAAAAATAAGTAAACTGTGGAGAGATTGGTGAGACTGATGGTGTGCGAGCGACCAGCCTCGCTGGCGAGGGATGAAGAGGGATGGAAAAGTCCTGGGATTGGACCAATAAAGGATACAAGTCCATGCATGGAACAATTCAATAAGCATTCGTGACACCTATTGGGAGGCTGGACTTACGGCTGACCTCTGGGACAGCCCTAACCCTGAGAATTTATTATCCTTATTAAACCCGCACCCAACGAGATGATAAAGTACACATATGTGCATGTGCTTTACCTAGAGTACAATCCTCATTTTCGTGCTTCCACAGGAAGATCTCCATTAACTTTCAATCCGCTCTGGCTGCTCTCAAAATTTAAATAGAAATAACTCAAAACGTTCAATTCAAACAGCGGAAATTTTTAGAGTACAGAATGAAGAAAAATATAAGGAAATGAAGGACGCCATAAGAAATTATACCGATTTCGGTTACCAGCTCGACCCTTGTCTGTCGGCCAGAAAAAAATCAGCAAAGAGTTTATGTACCCGTAATTTGTTTGTTCCTTTGTTCCCACTCAAGCTTTGCTCTTCTTTTTCTCCTTCTTCTCCTTCTTGGACTTCTTCTTCTCCTTCACCTCTTCGACTTCCGCATCATCCTCTCTCCGCCTCTTCTTACTTGACTTTTCTTCTTTGTCCTCCTTGGCTTCGTTTTTCTCCTTCTTCTCCTTCTTGTCCTTCTTCTCCTTCTTATCCTTCTTGTCCTTCTTGGACTTTGGCTTGACAATGTCCTCCATTTCTTTATCAACCTCTTCTTCGTCATCATGATCAGCGTCAACATCAATTTCTGCCAAAACAGCATCCATTGCAGCTTTCTAAGCAAGTATTAGCCATAACCGAATTTCCTCTCTCGTTAATTACAGAGCATACCATGGCATCCTGGTTCTTGGTAGGGGCGGAACCGTTGGCGTAGAAATCAAGGCGCTCCTCAACCTGTTTCCTCAGAGCCTCACCGAACTTTGTTGTAGGGACATCCGAGAAACTGTCGATTCTGGAGGCAATGGAGCACTTGTTGGCCAAAAATCGGGAAATTCTTCCCTTGTTCTTGGCGCCAGCCCTACCGATGAAAGAAGAATGGTAGATGAGACCGTATTTGGGGGTGTTGCCCTTGGTTTTTAAAGCTCTGCGCCTCGTTAGAAGACAAATCATTGACCGTAACCCACCCGACTCTTAATTTTGGTAATACCTGAACAAAGCCTTCTCGGCACCAAGAATCTGCACTGTAGACGCAGGGTACTTGGAAAGGTTGGTCAAACTTCCAGCATGTGAAATCAATCTAGCACCAACAATCTCCCCGATAAGCTGCGCCAAATTAGGGGCAACGATCGCCATCTTGTCCACCAGGTATCCGTGCAAAGTTTTTCTATAGTCAGCGAGTGAAACAACCTTCTCAGCGAATGAGCAGATGTTGGTCATGTCGGCATCAGAGATGTCCTGGCCCATGGAGACCTTAGCAGCGTCAATAACTGCCTGGGCAATCTCCGCGTCGTCGTCAACGAGGGCAGCCAGTTCATGGAGACGGTCGTCAGACAGTGTCTTCTTGTCCCGGACGAAAAGAATAAGGCGGGCATATTGGTGGTTATCAGACACAATCTTGATCATTTCCGGAAAATGCCAGGAGTACCATTCCCTGTAAAATTTAACTGAGTAAGCAGGCGCTTGCTTTTGCGCCAGAATTTAAATTCTTCGGCACCAGTAAGAAAGTCCACAAACCTAACTCTCATGGCAAAAGTGTTGATATCCTTATCCAGGGTATCCAATAGCGCGATTGACTGAATAATGTGGTTGTCGTTCTTCTGGACTGAGAACTTTACCTTGGCCCTGGAATATGCGTGACCCAAACCTAGCTGAGCGCGGTCCATATCACCCTCCTGCAGCTGCTTGAGAAGCTTAGGCCCATGAAGCCTCAGCCCACGGAGCAAGTCTTGGACAACCTCGTTTGTCTCGCAATCAACACCGGGGAAAGCAGCCTTAATTGAACCAGCCAAGTTCTTATCGGTGATACCAAGAATCACCTTCTTCTTCTTCCCACCCTTGGGGAGATTGACCTCAAGGAGAGCTTTAAGGTGGTCGCTCGCGATACCCTCAGAGATGTCGTTTGCGTTCTCAAGTGCCTGCGCCGCACCTCTAATTTTCGCAATTGCGTTAACGACTATTTACAAAAAAGACACCTGCCCGGTATAATTGCCAAATTGAGCGGCAGGTTAAGAGACACTCACTGGAAGGGCGCGAAAGAGACAAGTTTGACCATCTTCCCGAATTTGGACAACTCAGTAGCAGCTTCTTGCACCTCTTTAAGGCGACTACCAATAGTCTCAGGCTGCAAAACGACCTGGTAAAGGCCGTAGCCTACCGAGGTCTCTTGGAGAAGGTAATCGACAGCAGACATTTTGGGCAATTCCGTTGTAGCAGTTTCTGTTTCGAGGCTGCTTGGAGGAATCTGAGAAGTTGGTTGGTGGGTGGAGTGGTTGCAGCGATGGATTGTCGTTGAAAGTTTAGAACTCGCTCTCGAAAATTTCAGATGGATACGCTAGCTGTTTGTGGAACTTAGGGTACAGGGTTTGATTTTGGCGGTCGGGGGGGTCTTTAGTAGTAGAGTCTAGTAGTGAACCACCACTCCTGGGAGTATCACCCAGGACCTAGGCGAGAAGAATTTATCTATTTATACTCAATTGGTCACCGCAGTTTAAGAATATTCCATTTCAGACGAATACCAAAGATGGGAAACGGAGTCTCCCTCATCATAGAGGGCTTGTGACATAACTTTTATAGTATGTCATAATATTCGCTATCATTACACATATCGCCAGCTATCGTAAAAAGTTTCGCAATAAACTGCTACCGTCATGCCTTGTCTTATACTGGGTTCAGTGCATACTTCGCCAACCAACACGAAATTCCTCTCGCCCCAGCCTAAAAGTCGTACCACCCTATCCAACAGCTTCCACTGTTGAATATTGACACTATAGTGTCTATATGTAATGGTGACCATCATATATATATTCTCCTAGGCTCGGAAGCCATATATCAACCAATGGGGTTGAATATTGGATTGAGTGATATGTCATGATTCACACCACAAAACCCTGGCCCGAGATCAGTACCGTCATATTAAGGCCTAAATCAGTAACCACGTGACACCAACGAGAATATATCGTTTTGTTTAGGGATCTATAGAATCTCAATATCATGTGTGTGCGGGTAGGCATACTGAACTATGCTGTTTACCATGTGGGCCATGCAAGTAACCAAAGTTGAATCGAGGGAAACCCATTCAGTGGGGTTTACCTATGAACCGTACTCTAGATATCCTGTAGCTCCAAAAGACAAGGCCTTAACTAGGTTATATTCAACATGAACTATTCACAAATTAGAATAGACGGACGAGAGTACTTTTATACCTCAAAGTCGGACTCACAACCACATTAGTCCGTAAACGCGGGTGCCTTGATACATGTATGTCCTATCAAGAAGCATTCCAATGGCAGCAGAATCTATGGGCACATCAATCGATCCGAAATAATCGTTAATAAAAACCACCTTTGATTCTAGTAGGATGATGGGTCAAATGCCCTTATACTTGCTTAAACCGTTAAGGCCACTATCGTTTCGTTGCATTACTCAACAAACTTTACTTACCCAATTTTAGATCGTATGAGTCTACTTTTTCCTGCAACTGTACTGTACTTTTAATATCCCAACTTCATCTCGAGATATCAAACCCACCTACAGGCTGTATTCTCAACCAGTGTGGGTCTGTGGATAGTGATCAATTAGTACCTTCGTAGCACTAAACGCAGCGCACGTACCTACATGCATCGCTCGATAGATACCTCAGGTCTAGAAAACAACAGGCTAAATATTTCGCAACGCCCAATATTGCTTACAGGCATGGTCCCACGTCACTGATTAATATAGAGCCGCAAGTCACCTCCGGGGTAGCAAGCCTCCCAGTTGGAATAAGATCGTTATCCAGCACCAATCACCGGGGGCTTCCAGCACTAAAGAGTAGAATAGCCCCATTTGATTCACAGGAAATCACTCATACATGCAGTCACCTACATGAAGATCTAGATCATCTACCCCGCACTCTCGCCATTTGGTCCGCATGATAGCTAAATCTTAGATTCTATTTCCGCCCCGCCGTGGATATTTATTATACAAAAGAACTCCGAAACCAAATACTAGATACTAGTTATACAAAAAAGAATAAGGAAATACTGCCACTTGTTTACAGTCCCTGTCGAACCTCAATCGCAGACTTTTATATCCAACACCATTCAAACAGTAAAGAAATATAACGAAAAGACCCGCCAGCCCGTCCACCCCCGAACCCGGAACCCCATGTATTTATGCAGACAAGGAAAAGAGAAAACACGATTCATAAACGAGCGACATATTGATAGACAAGGAAAAATAAAGAGAGAGTGTTTATGCGTATGCAGTTATAAGGGAAAAAAGGTGTCACGGAATTAATAAATCCTGATCCGATAACATATTAGAACAAGGGTTGTTGGATCTGGAGGGTGCTGTTACTCCGGAATACGGCACAGCACCCCACGATACCCTTCAAGTCCAGCACCATCAACAATGGGTTATAGGCACATTTCTCCGCCTTTCATGCATACACGTGAAATGGGAGAGAAAAAGTCTCGCATTCCCGTTGCCCCCATTGCTTCCGTCATCGCGACACCGCTGGCATTTTCCAGCTAACCAGATCCTCCCTTGCGCGCACCTCGTCAACCTCTCGTTCACTCATAGTGCTCCGGATACTACTTCTGCCGCTTGTTCTCCTTTCCGTAGGTGGTATAGCAAAGCTAACAATGCTTAGTGTATCACCGTCCCGCTTTCGTCGTAGATCGCTGGTACCGAGGTGTGTGTTTCCCGTGGTTGAATTCCCCCCACCGCTGCTCACAGCGCTCAACGAATCACTATCACTACCGTCCATTCCTCCCCGACTAAGCCCCCCCTCATATCTGACTGATTTGGGTTTCCCACGGAATCGTTCAGAGCGGGGGGTCCAGCCGTCACCGCCGGCAAAGATATCATCTATGCATTCCTCCGGGTTGAGTTCACCTGCCTGAAGTTGCCACGAAGCTGCGAGGGTACTGCGGTACATGTCGTGGATCGCGCTTCTGTCCCGCTTTTGAAATCTGGAAATAGAACGATCTGTACGTGATTAGGCAAGCTCAATGCTGGGGGTTGATTGCAAACTCACGTCCGGGATCTTCCACATCTCGAGCTTCTCCGATTATTCCTGCTATGCCCCCAAAAACCTGGGCGCCTTGTAATTGTGGGCTATGGCTTTCCGTCAGTATATTGGACAGGCAAAAACACTGGAGAGAACAAAGCTTACGCTATGAAATTCTCATCTCCTCCAACCTGGGTCAGCGCAACAGTGATCTAAAGGCGTCACATCCACATTAGCCATATATCGATATTTTGGGATCAAATATCGAACGACGTACCTTCAAAGTCGAATTAATCTTGCTATCCTGCATCAGATACCTCCTTGTATCCCTATGGACCTGCGTATACTCTGCCAAATTGAGCTGCACCGTCCCCAATGCAATGCGCTCCCTCGCGCCCGCATACTCCTGGCAGACCTCAAAGATGAGGAGCTGTTCCTGCAGCATCCCATTTCGCCCAATGGTCATCCGGATCTCTTCGCAGGTATGCGTGAAGTGCCATGCGACTTTATGGTCCTTTATTGTTTCCTTCGTGGTGCGCCCTCGGGCTTCGGCGCGATTTGAGCCCTGGAGGTGCCATTTGACGTAGGCTTGACCGGAAACGAGCGGGACATTGTTGAGGTCGTGAATCTGCGAAACATGTCAACTCGGGCCCCTATGTCTAAGAAACAAAATGTTTCGCCAATACTCGGGGAGTGGCCGGGGGGGTGGGTTTCTTACTTCTATAAAAAGATCGAATCTAGGCTGTTTGTAGAATAATCACATGTCAGCACTCGAAAAGAGAAAGAAAAAAATGGTTGTTAAGGACACAGTTCGAGTAGAATGGGTTTGATTTGAATGCATACCCGGCGGTTTTTTGGCACTATAATATCGTCGAATGAGAAATCCCTCGTCAGCACACCTCGTCGTAGCGATGAAGAGGACGATGAGGTGGAAGAAAAAGTGTAACTGGAGACGGGGCGGGGGGGCATGTGTGGTGCTTGTGTAGAGACCGTAGGAGACGGGGGAGACGATGATCCAGAGGAGGAGGAGGAGGAGGAGGAGGAGGATGTGGTGGAGGTTGAAGAGAGGGAGTGGGAGGAAAAAGAGGGAAATGTGGAGGAGAACTTCATACCAAATGTCTGCATTGCTGCTTGCACCTAGCGTGAGATGGTGGGGGGTGGTAGTAGAGATATAGTCAAGATCGGGCAAGAGGGGAGCAAAAAAGAGTGACCGGAGTATTGGCAACGGTCATGACATTTAAGCAAGCATGCGGGAAAGTCGAGTGAGGGAGTGAAGAGAGCTTGTTCGTATGGTATGGTATGTAGTATGGTATGGATTGTATGTATTGATCGCTTTCTACTGCCTACTCTATGTAAGTAACGGTCAGAGGGGTGTGGAGTCAAAAATAAGGGACAAGGCCCGGGGGGGGGGGGGTGGAATGGGTGAAATCCGTAAGCGGCAGCAGTTGTGATACCGGAGAGCGGATGACGGGGGGGAGGCCAAGGAGAATAAAATGGGAAATGGGGATGGGGCTACTGGTTGGGTGTGAGTGGTGGTTGGCCAGGCTGGGGTCGGGTTGGGTTGGATGGATGGATGGATGGATGGATGGATTGAATGAGCGGTGGGATGGGATTCAAGAGCTGTGATAGGCTGGGTGGGGTGTGGCTTCTTGACTGGAAACACTCTCCTCGAGGAATATATCTCTAGTGGTGTGAAGGAAAGAAGTAATTACATGTACATACAGATATACCGGAAGAGCGACACTCGACACACCCGGAAAAGTGGTGTTCCTGAATATTGCCGGGGCCGAGAGAGGAAGATCTGATCTAAAGGAGCGACTTTTGCAAGCTTCAAACGAGCGGTGTCTTGAAATATAAAAATACGAAGTGAAAAATAGAGTGGGTTGCCTCTTGTCCCGGTTGTTGGAAGGAGGGTTGGCTGGCTGAGCGAGTGTGATGCTTCCGCTTCTGCTGTTAGGTGCTGCTAGGTACTGCTGCTTGTTGCTTGGGACCAAGGGAGGAGGGTTGTGGCAGCTCCTGGGGGACCTTACAGGCTTGGGACTTGATTTCGCGGTCCTGATTCGGATCTGCAAGCAGCAGTTGCCAAGCGTGCTGACGTCCTCCTGTCCACAAGTGACCTGAACATTGTGCCACGCGTATAATTCTGCACGGCGTCCTTGGCGTGATAAGCGATGAAGCATTCGAGTCAGTCCTGGGCTTCATCCAGCAGCGACACATGCACTCAACCCATCAGGTCCCCTAAATTAATAATGTCACTATCACAACAACCATACACTCGCTTTGAGATTGAGCTTGAGGTCCTCCTCCTCCTCCTTTTCCTCCTACTCCTCCACCCTACTCGTATTCTCACTTTGTTTCATATGTAGCTAGCTAGCTGGCTGGCTGGCTGGCTAGTTAACATACCCGCGCGCAAATCAACTAACATCATCTTGCAGTTCGTTCAATGCTTGGCCAATCCCTTCTACCTGAACTTTCTCGCACATTCAAAGGTCCTCGACGATGAGCGCTTCGTAAACTACGTCGTCTATCTCGAGTACTGGCGCAAGCCCGAATATGCCAAGCTCCTGACGTCCGAATACTCCCCTCTTTTGCCGCGATCATTATCTGGTCGTCTAGCTGACACTTAGCTCCTCTAGCTACCCCGTGCACTCCCTCGCCGCTCTTACACTCCTTCAACAGCCACAGTTTCGTGCAGACATAATGAACCCGGGGGTCGCTCAGGAAATGCTCAACGACGTTGTCACTAGCATGAACCCCGAGACCGACCCCGGCCCATTGCCAACCAACGAGATCGTGGTCCAGCAGCAGCAGAATGGCAACTAGAACATTCCTTCTTTCCGCCTGACACAACTACATGAAATTATCACAAAAAAAAATGATGTGTCTAGCAGCGTAATTTATAATGCCTGGGAATATCCCGATTGACACTACTATGTTGCGATTGTGTTTGAGGCCTTTTTGCGATAGACATACCTAGCTACCTGTCGTCATTTGGACGGATATATTGATTGTTCATCAATGTTACTAGCGTGCGGTGCACGTGATCTCGTGGGACTTTCGTGTAGAGTGTCAAAAGTACCTTCCCGAGCGAGCTATCACGCCATGGGTCATAAGCTTCCACTCGAACTAAGGGGCTCGAGGGCCTGTGCATAGCAGCTGCGGTTCTTCAATGACACAGAAACATCGCCTCCCGAGCACCCCACATTTTAAAATGAAATGAAGAAACCCCCAAGATAGAATTTCGTGTTCGAGCTCGTAAGACTACAAGTAGCACGACGTCTGTTCGTCTCCTCATTTCAGCGGGATTTCACGATTTCACACAAGCCGAAGCCCCCGCAACCGGGCTTCGTGAGAAACACCACTCCGTTAAGGAAAGATCTCCATCCGCGCTCAGATGCATTGTGATAGTTCCAGAAGGACGTCCGCTAAAAATACCTCCTGCCTCATTTCTTCTCGATTCGATTGCTTTCTTTGCTCGATATCAGAGGAGTATCGTGTGGAAAGTCAAAACATGTACTCCTATTTCTTTAGTTACCACCGCAGAGTATGTTGTAGTAGTAGTAGTACTTGAGGCCAGCAAAAAACGAAATGATAATGGTTGACACCAATACACAATGAAATGATACTCATGAATGCCATGTGAATTTAAGATGGGCGTGACCCTTCCAATGCTCTCAACAGTTCAACAAAAACAAAAACAAATCAAGAAACCGCAATGTTCCGGAAGAAGCTCATTGAAAAGGTAGATAGATAACACATACGTAACGCGCACACAGGAACATATCATAAAAATAAAAGAAGTCAAAGCCAGCCCTGTTCGTAAAGTAGGCTGTAGTCTCGTATCCGTTCCCCTACTTAGCAGCAGGCTGCTCAGCAGTAGGAGTAGGCTGTACTTATCGCCTAGAGTACATACATGGTACTTTGAATTGCCATTCTATTTTGCACCACCACCACATCTGCAAATCTCAAACCAGATTAACGTCACACCCCAGGAGTTTAGTTGTTTAGAAAGAAGATGATGATACAGACCCTCCACCGCCTCCGCAACCTCCGCCGCAACCGCCTCCACACGCACTATTAAATTCTCCATGTCAGCTACTCTACTTCCAAGCTAACGCTGCAAAGAGGTTGTCGGTCGGTCGGTCGGTCGGTCAGTCAGTCAGTCAGTAACACATACCCTGCTTCCTTATCACACGCAACCTCCTTTGCATCCCAACCACCGTCAGAGTTGCAGCCACCCCAGCGGCTGGGGGCGTGCTTATGGCAGGCCGTGGTAGCAGCAGTGGTGGTGGAATTCTTCTTTGAGGGCTTCTCGGACTTGAGCTTTGTGAATATGGAGAGCATGTTTGCAGTCGGTGTATATTATAATGTAATAGTGTGGGGGATGTGGGATGGGGATGGGGAATGGAGGTGTAGAGTATATTCAGAGCTTCGTTCACTTTAAGTACTCGACTAGGTACCTGTACCTACACAGTCTACGTGGGGTATGAGCTCAAACTAGCTCATGTATGCATGCCTACATGTTTTATGGATGCGCGTATTGCCTGCCTTGCGACCAGCTGACCCCTGAGGGGAAGAGATCCATTGCTTGCAGACTTGCAGACTTGCAGACTTGCGGTGTCACTCACCCACTGCTCGTCTAACCCCCGCGCAGTCATGGACAAGCACTCAAACGAGATGTTCACGGTGAGAGACCTCAGAACTGTCTGACTGGCATACAGCACCTACAGCACCTGTGCAGTAGAGGATCGTGCTTATCATCGAGGTGCTCTTTCTGCACAACTTCACTTCACTTCTCCTGCAAGGGATGAAGCCAGCAGCCAGGAAAGTTCCGTGATGGGAGATAGGTTCTCTTACAGTTCAGAGACTCTGCACTTCCCCTTCCCAAGCCTCTCTCGCCTCCACTGCACGGCGTCTGACATCTGCCCGCTAACGCACCACGATCCCGCAAAGTGCACTGTTAATTGCAACTCCCCCAACCCACCCGCCAAGCCGCCTGCCTGCCAAGCTCTCGCTTCACCCGCAAGCAGCAGCAGCATCCCTTTCCCTTTCTCCCAGCCATCACCGACGACGACCGCAAAAGACCAGACAGACCCCAATGGCGTCCCCCCCACCACCACTCCCCATGAGCGAGCAGCAGCAGCAGAAGGAGGAGCACCAGCGCGCTATCGATCGTATCGAGAAGGAGCAGCGCGAGATCCAGGAGGACATCGGACGGAAGCGTGCAGAGAAGGCCACGCTGCAGGCGGTGCACGACAGTCTCCAGAAGAAGGAGAGCGAGAAGCAGCAGCGCCAGGGCGGAAAGAAGTGATTGATGGGCCCTGGCGGGGGCTGGAAGTGCGTTAGCATGTAGGTGCCATGCATGATTTATACTCTACCATATATACCCGGTGTTGGGATGTGGGGATGCTTATGCGGTTTGTAGTTATAGATAATGTTTGTTTCTTAATCGAATACCATTCATGCGTGGGCTTGTGTCCCTGGGCTTTGAGGAAATCATAGTATTATTGGCGTCTCATTCCGGGATATAATGCTTTAAAATTACCGTGCTTGGATATCTATGTATCTACCTGTGAATTGCCATCTTACAAGATGCAAAAATTATGTTTCTACGATCCCTCGATTGGACCCCCGCGCAAGAAACCGGTCGCCGATCATTGACCCTTACACAAATCATTGGCCTCCGACCCCAGTACTACTCCATCATCCCAAACTCCCCGCCGCCATTCCTCTCCCACCCGCCCAGCACCTCCCTCGTCTCCTCCTTGGCCCTCCTCCTCTCCACCATCCACTCCCCGCTCTTCACCCCCTCATACGTCTCCTTCCCCACCGCCCCCACCAGCGCCCTCTCCCCCAGCACCCCCGCAACAACACTAACCGCCTTCCAAACCCTCGCCTTACAAACCCTACTCGCCCCCGCCACCCCCGCCCACTGCTTCCTTCCTTGCAACACACCCCCTATCAGCGTCTCACCACCCACCCCCCGCACCCACACCGCCGTCACATTACTCCCGATAGCCTTCCCGGGCGTCGCCCGCTCCGCCTCCCTCTTTGAGCACGCAAACACTACCCCCGTCGTTCGCACCGCAAACGGGCAGAACGCATACCCGCCGCGCCACCTCCTGCCCACCAGCGGCCCCATGCGGCCGGTAGCGCTAAACGCGCGCTGGACAGCGGTTGCGGAGTATTCGGATGCGGGCAGGACGACGATAGAGGCGTAGGCGTGGCGCGGGGTGATAAGGAGGGCGGCGGGAGTAAGAAGGAGAGAGGTGCATTGGCGCAGGGAGAGCTTGTCGCTGCAGGATTTGGAGAGTGTGGGTGGTGAGTCGGCGCGGCCGGGCTTGGTGCGGACGGTGCCGAGGGAGGAGAAGTAGCCGCGGCCGCGGAGGAGGGTGGTGGTTGGTGTGGGGGAGGTGGGGTGGTGGGGGTGGTGGGGGTGGAGGTGCTTGTAGGGAGGGCCCAGGGAGTGGCGTCGGACTGGGCGGACATGGTTAGTTCCATGCTGCCGTCGCCGCCTGTGTTGCGTGAGATTTTGTACTACGAGCTTATCTTAAAAGGAGAGGGGTAATGATCGGGACGGGGGTTATTTACATGGTGCTTCGGACGAGTAGAAATGGACCTTCACATCAGAGCGGATCGTGAAGGGCTGCGGTGAGTCTTCGGTGATATCTTCAGCACTGCGCCGATGTACGAATTGGGAGATGTAGGTACTGTCGCTGGCGAGCTTGAAGCATTCTTCGATTATGAAACTATTCGTAGATAGTTATCTAGAGTTTAGTATATAGCGTAGTTATTATTATAATATAAAGACCGGTTGGGACTCACCAATTAAACGCTCTAATCGCAATAACTATACACCGCAGCACCCTCCATCAGTCTCTAGTCTCCAGTCTCCAAACCCCCCCCCCCCCCCCCCACCACCACCACCACCACCACCACCACAATGCACAAAGCACAAAGCACAGAGCGCATGAGAACTCAACTTCAGCATGGCAGTCATGCAACACCAATCCCTTCGCCAGCGGGATCTTGGAGTGCGGAAGACACTTCATCCCGGTCCTTCACAATCCCATCCTTATTAAAATCTAGATCCACCCATGATACATCCATACATCTAGGATCAGCCAGCACTCACCCCAGCGCAGCACACACAACCTCGCCCTCCCCCGTCTCCAGCACCACGCCCGACAGCGGGACCCATTCCGTAGCGTCGGGGCGGGGCTTGGGCTTGCTCTTTGCCGGGAGCGCATTGTAGGCGCTGATTACGGCGCGGGCGATTGTGTCTTCGAGCTCGCCCATGGTTGCAATTAATTAATTGGCGAGGGATTTGGCACTGGTTGCAATGATAATTTTGTCGGTATGATTAGTACCGCCGCGCTCTACCGGTGTTACAGGTTGTAAGTAGTTGGTAGAGTACAGTAGTCTGCATTTATCCTAACCCTGCCGGTGTTGGAGGGGCTTGATTAAGGGCCTTTCGGGGTGAATTAGTCATTGACATCGAGGAACTAGCCCGAGGTGCCGACGTCCAAGACTTTGGGATGGATTTAATAGCAGATGGATGGGATGGATGGGATGGATCCTGACAGCTGAGACAATTCAATTGCATATCTCATCTCTCATCTCTCATCTCTATAGCGACTGTCGGATTTGTCGAGGTTGATCAGCATCTGCTTTGCTTTACTAAACTCCCTTACAAGGTGAGTTAATATTTGCTATTATTTGCTACTATTGCTATTGGCAAGGTTGCGGTGATATCGATATCTCGGCCCAACCAGGCCCTCCCCCGCAATTTACCCCCGGCCCGTGCCCACAACACTTCCATCCACTCCTCCATCCCTCCACCTGCTAATAGTATCATTACCTCAACCCATAGTATCTCCCCAGCGCAACACCCAAAATGCCCACCTTCCAACTCACCACCACCCTTCCCTTCACCGCCTCCCAGAAGGCCACCCTCGCCGAAAACATCACAAACATCCACTGCACGCTCACCGGCGCCGACCGCGTCGCCGTGCAGGTAATCTTCCGGCACCTGGCCCCCGAGGATCACTACCACGGGGGCCTACCCACGGCTGCCGCCGTCGGAACCCTCATCTGGGTGCACACCATCTGCAAGAGCGGCCGCACGCAGGAGGCCAAGGACAGAATCATGAAGGATGTGCTGGAGATGATTGCCAAGGAGGCCGGTGTGGAGAAGCGCCAGATCCTATTCTATATGCAGGAGATTGATATTGAGAATACGTTGCAGTTCTTTGACGAGCTGAGTTTGGCGAGGAGGGAGTAGGAGGGGTGCGTGTATATATATGTGTGTGGATGGATGGATGTGGGGAGAGGTGCTTGGATGGCGGGATACCCGGGTGAGGGAGAAGGAATACCTTGTTGAATCACTATGGTGGCTAGTATAGAACAATTATTTGCCTGTGTGTGCACTCTTCTTCTTCCCTTTCGTTTTCTGAGGCACAAACCTTCCCAATGATGAACGAGTGATATTACGTGATTCAAATTCTAGTGCAGTTTATAACAAAAGCAAGGGTGTCGAACACTCTGGCGGGAAGTCATCAGGGGGGTAAACCGCCTTAATCTCTATGTATATTGATATCTTCTATCGTACCTGAATGTACGTCCACATTACATTATGATTAGATTACACGAATAATCGACATAAGTCTAGAATAAATACAAAATTGACTATAAATTAAGGGGAGGGTGAAACAAAACATATAAACATCCCATTCATTAATCTAATACAATACCCTCCCAGCCTATGAGTTTCCCAATTCAAAATGCTATATTAGCAACTTCTATAATGGCCTTGTCCTTGGTCCCTTCTGGTACGGGGATAGTAATTATCGTTGCCGCTAGTCTGTAGTCCGTTCTATACTGGCCAATATAGCCACCCTTTTGGTCCTTGATGCTCACCGAGTAGTGTTTGAGATCAGTGCCTTGGTCATGCCAGATGACAATAGTATACGTGTCCCCCACGTCTGGCCTTGCGTCATATTGGTCATGCTTATTGTGGATGGTGACCGTACGGGATGAACCATTTGTAATCTGTAGATCATAAAGTATGAGAATCTTATAGAAAGGTAATATGGATGCGTGTCGGGAAAGAATTACCTGCTTAATACTGACTTCTCGATATTCGTCATTTGCCGTTATATCACAATCGCCTTCGTCAAAATCATCTTCAACCATGACGGGTGACGCATATTGCGGTAAGATACTAGGCGCACTGCTCCGGCTCACCCCATCGTCAAGATACATCTCATAGGTCTAAAATATGGGTTTAGTTACATGTAGGCATACATCAAGTTAGGGTAAGGAACCTACATTATCTCTTCCGGGATAGACATGAATTGTTATAGGGTTTATCTTGCCATCACCAATATACTGACGAGGCTCAACTTGAGGAATAATACCACCTGAATACACGTTAACGGCTCGTCTTATTAATCAGGGAGATAACCTTGATTACCTTCTCTAATGAAAATCGGTGTGATGTAAGGGATATGAGATATTTCGCTCGAGATATGTGCATCAAAATCCAACATGGTGCCTCCTTCGATAGCTGGTTCCAATGCAACTCCCAGGCTTCCATCGATCCTTAGGTTGAATGTGTACCATTTATTCGGTGCCGGGAGGTACACGACTGTGTGCCCATGATTTAACGTATGACTGTCCATGATTGGCGCAATAAGCAGATCCCGACGAACAAGATACTGGCTGTCCAGGAAATCTTGGCACTCGTTGTAAAATGATGCATCAAGTGTATCGGTCATCAACTACATTCGCAAGTTTTGGTCAGCTTGACTGTTCCCACGCATGGTCAATTCAAACCTATCCATCTGGGGTATTATATTACCATAGACCTCGCAATTGGCAGACCATTGATCTGATTTTCGAACATCGCATCGTAAAGAAGTTGAATGAGACTATACCTAAGTTTCACATAGTATCTGCAAACAACCTCTACGGAGCGGTAGAGCCACCCTTGTTCTCTCTCAAGCTCAGGATGCTTATTTATGAAATCCGTATACGCATAAGGTTCCTAATCATGCCACACCCGTTAATACTGCTTATCTCAAACGAAAAGCCAATGATACACATGCCTGAAATAACTTTCCACCATTCTTTTTTACGTAGTGGTTCCTAAACCATGGCAGTAAAAATGCGCCAGAGTACCAACGGATGAGTAGATCCGGGTCACAAAACTTCTCATTCCCATTAGGCATGAAACCGCCGATATCGGAGCCAACAATGCTGACTCCACTGAGTCCAAGAGATAGTACTTGTGAAATTGAAATTTTCCAAAAGTCCCATGTGCTTCCATTGTCTCCCGTCCACAGCCCAGAGTAACGATGCATGCCAGCAAAACTTCCACGGCCAATGATAAAATTTCGTTTATTCCGACGTGAAGGAAGATTGTTAAGACCCTGAAATGTCGCTTTGTGAAGATTATAAGAATAAAGAGCCCAGATCTCGATTGCCGGTTGTTTTTTCAATTTGGTCGCACATATTGCGTCCGATGTTAGGTTTAAACGTGAAGGAAAGCTAAGAATAGGTCATGAGTTTTGGGGCCCAGAAAACTATAATGATTTCACCACATACCCTTTCATATCACCATACGCTGTAGCAATAGAGGGAGTTGTCATATCTTGCCAGACGAATTCAAGACCCTGGTCAAAGAGATATGCGTACTGCTCTCCCCACCACTTACGAACAACAGGATCGTTGAGGTCCGGATAGTAGCCTGCCTATAGTGCGTCATTTTGTCAACAGCTGTATCCTAACCTAGAACCTTACAACTATTTCAATGAGGTTGATAACTTACAGCACCAAGGTCACCCCCGTAACTCACTCCTCCATGATAAGGATTCTTACTATTCCAGGTTTGCTCAAAGTTGCTGTAAAAAGGTTAGTATAATATGCCACAACTATTTTTAGATCTATTTATATGGAGTGGGTTGAAACATACTAGTCATCTCCAAAGCCAGGACGCTGGTGGACATCCTTAGGGTCAATGGTAACCTTCGATCCCCCCGAGTAACAAACATATTTAACATCGGATGCTTTCCCACTCGTGCCTTGAGTATATCTATCATCCGTTACGAAGTAGCTATTACGAGGGGAAAATATTGTTAGCCCCATAAACATCTTATATGTTGGCTAGAGCAAAGATCGAGGGGTTACAAAGTACTAGTCAGGAACCAACACTTACTTCTTTGCCAATCCCTCCTTCAGGGTAGGGTAGTCATTATTGTCGGGTCCACCATTCAGACTGATTATAGGTGTGATGTTAGTACAGCATTTGAAACCACGGTGTCTTAATCCTTCAAACATTTCCTTTGGGTTAGGAAACGCTACTGGATCAATAGTAAACGTTCTGTATTGATTTTGAAAGTCGACGTCAATGTGTATCCCATCTAAAGGAATTTCGTGTGCACGATAGCTTTGAGCGGCCTGTTCAATATCGTGTTGGTTCATGTAGCCATAACCTTACGTAAATTCAGATATTAGCCAATAGATATAAATATTACTGTGAAACCAGGACCAGTGTACTTCGACACGTCCTAGTTCGCAGGATAAACTCACAGCCTTGGTGATGTCCTAAAACATACTTGGGCTTAAGCCTCGGCCTTCCAAGGATGCTGGTATAAAGCCTAAGTACATGTTAGCTCAGCGCCTAATATATCTATACCAACAGATGATATATCGATAGTACGCAATAAAATATATCTAAAACCAGATGACCACATACTTTACAACCTCTGGAATATCCTTGGCACTCATCAAATAGACATCCATCCCACCGAACCTTGTTGCAAGTTTTATACGACCTGCATTGGTTTTTGCAAAGTCAATGCAAACTTGAGAGTAATTATCGATGAATGTCGCCGTGACATTCTGATAGGACGGATTCGAATTTACATCCAAGAAATACGGATCTGAATGGTATCTAATCCCCAACCAAAATTATTGTCAGCCCTATATATGGCCGTAATAGGCAGGCATAGGTTATATCCCTAAATGATAAGTGAGTGCTTACAATGGCTCACGGTTATCAAGAGCGCCTACGTTATATGTCTGGTTATAGAGCATATTGTCGAAGTCTACAGCGTAATTGGATTAGTAAAATGGAACGGGACAGAATAAAGGCCTAGGATGAGAAGAGATCCCATAAGACTGACTGTAATAATTCATGAAAGAGGGTTTCTTCAAAAAGTTCTTTCCTCCCTGTTCCCCAAAGCCTAGAAATTCGCCGGGCCCAGCCTTCACTACGTCCAAGACTATATTTTTGACCAAAGGTTCTTCAAATTTCCAACGGAAAGTTTTCTCTGAGGTCTGCCAAACAACCTTTTCTGCTTCGCGAACTACCGAGAGAGTAGGGTGGCTTGCAGGGATTGGGTAGATATCTGGAGCAGCATGCAATCTACGAACAACCTACTAAATTCAGCAACGATAGAGGTACTATGAATGCATCTATTATAACGCACCTGGATGCGGAAAGGGTGTTTGTACAAATATATCATGGTGATCACCTTCCCATTTCTACTAGCCATGAGGTCCTCTGGCGAGTTATACCTAACGGACTATCAACAGGGACGCGATATAGAAATCAGCGGAAGTATTATAAAAATCAAAATTAAAAATCAAAACCAAGCTATTATTTACCGAGAAGATGTAATGTTTTCCATCGCCGGACATGCTAAGAGTGGTATTCCAGTAGCAGCTTTCTTCGAGATCAAGCTGGTGAGTAAGCCGAGACATATAATCCTGGACGATAGTCCTACTGTACGTATTTTGGCGATCAAAGTCAGCAAAACTAGGACTTTGTATGCATATTCAACAGACAAAGTTGAGCAACTTACGTATTTTCGTCTCTATACCCATTTAGATTTTTGACTGTGGGGTCATATCTAACTCTCCAGAGTGTAGGTCTGATGAATTGAATAACACAAATAGTTCTGTCGTCAAAAAGGAGAGCGATTCCACGTTCCAGGATAATAGGATCGGTGGGCCTTCGAGGATTTGATGAAATTTGAACTTTTTTTATCTTTGTAGGTCCGGTGAATCGCTGTGCTGACGCAAAGAAGTCCTCTGCGCGAATGAAATTGAGAGGATCATCCAAGCCTGAGACCGACATCTCCTAATATATGCACTCTATATCGATCTACTGAGAACTCCTCAAATGGTGGACTGAAAAACTTGATGCAAGTATATTGAAACTGGATGTACAGTGCTTTCAAGCAGACTCGCCGAGAATTTATAGAAAAGGGGACTGCGATTATCACTAAGGTGCCCAAGCTTAAGGGCAGGCGGATCGGAGCCCAAGGATTTGGATTTGTACGAAGTTATCAAAGATAATTCCACCAGTAGCCTCGTGTACCTGGTACAAGGATGTTTGAGCGCGTCTCCCCACACACGTGTCACATAAGGAAGCTAAACAGATCCAAAGGAAATTCTTTCATGCGAAGGCATTCGATTTGAAAGATTTAAATGGTCTAGAAGAAGCTGCCAATTCCGTGTCTGTGCCCAATCGGCTATTACGCACACTTGCTCGGTCCTGTTCAAGTTGCAAGACCTACATTCGATGCTAGACATGGCGACAAGGCTGTCTTAGTTCCTCTCCTTTCGCTTTGCAGCGTTGCCTGGATTGGATTAGACGTCAAGACTCTTGGGCTCAGACTGCCAGAAGGAGGCCCCTCACTGCTTTTATTAGCGAAACTGATTGTTTTGACCTGGATTGTGCATGCACATGCACACAGGCAGTTGGTACTCGACCAGCCGACGATACTCTAGAGCGTCGTAGCCTCGCTCATCTACATGTTACCCGAGCTAGGAAAGATTATGAGTGGAGTACCTAGGGCTACAGAAACATTGAGGGAACAACTCCTATCAAATAGTACTCTATCCCTGAGTATAGCCTCGTGTGATAGGGGTAGTAGAATTCGGTCACTGGAGAGTCGAGTGCTTTACATTAGGTAGACACTCATGACAGTGAACCATGAGCACCTCTTATGTGGCATGTGACATATACATGTATGTTTGTACATATCTACATATTGTACCTATATGTACTTGCAGATGCGCTATTCTCGTTTTTCAAAATGCTAGCCTACAATACGTCTACGACCTACGCACATGTATGTAATTATCGTATTCAAAACAGGTGACTCTGAATTACTGCTTGCCAAGGCGGCTGATTCGACCGGTATTTAAGCTTAAAAGTGATCTCGTGCGAATACAGATTTCTTCCGAGAGCCTTCTAGATACTTTCAAGATCCAGAAGCGTTGTACTGCACGTTTTTGTGTGACTTCCCGAGCCCCTTAGATGATGTGGCAACGAGATTTGGTGGCTTGGTCAATGCCTTCTATGGTGATACCGAATCGAGTGATATCTTGTGATTTGAATTATTAAAATTGCGGGTTGCACATGGTGCTAGGTATGGTGCGCCCACTCCTAAAGGTGACAAAAATCGGGCGAAAAGTCAAAGGCTTATAACTTTGCCAAAAAAGAGATTTAAAAAAATCGGTAAATAAAAAGTGTAGTACTAGTGATGAACTTTAGCTTTTATTTCCAGATTTTTGATATCTACTTTAGTTAAAAAGTTACAAGAGTTTGAAGTTGCGGATTTTTGTATGTAAAAGGCGCCAAGACTGAGCAAAGTGGGACAGTATTATACCCATTTATACCTCCTCAAAAGTGAATTGCGGCAGGAATGCAGCAAAGTGGCTAGGAATAGGCCCTCTCATTGGCCTTGGAGTTCATCTTGCAGCCACGATTGTTCCACTTCCAGATACCGCCGTGTCACCTTCAAGAGTGTGCGCACCATACATGTACAGAAGGTACCTTTTATACTAGTAATTATAAATATATTACCAACCGGCTATGATCATAATAAACCAATATAAAACGAGTCAACCGCATGCGCAGTACCCTGGAGATTCGGTACGATTGCTAGTTTATAAACCTAGTGGTACTTTACAATTAATTAGTACACCGGCCACGGTGTTGTTGGCGACGCCAGATCACGAGAAGTCATTCAGTTAAGGCCTACTAGTTGAACTGAATATATCCGCTAAACACAGTATCTACACATTAAACTCTTTATATTACAGTGCTGAGTATTGAGGCTTGGTCAGTCAGCGTTAGTAGGTGACGGTTTGTCCATATCAAGAAGTTTGATACCCGGGGGACATGTCCAACCGCAATCACGGAATATCAGAACGTTCCGTTCCGTACTGCATGTAGTAAGGTGACTATAGGCAGAAATCATTGCCCAGGCCGCGCTCGCCGCCGCATATCTGGTTGATTTACATAATTATCAAACTATGAACTACTGAAAAATAAAACATCCAAGTATTATTAATATTAGTATTCCATAAACATCTATTACGTGAGCTGTTTTCACAACCAAGCTATCATTCATTACATTAACTTACTCTTATACTGACCAGTGATACTTAGAACGTGTGAAACCATCATTATTCATTAAGTACATATATTCTTTTAAAGCCCAAACAAAGCATATATGATGTATAATATGTGTATTCTACAGGCCCAACCTGATCTGCGTTCCTCTAAACAGTCTGGCCATGTATGTATGTGCATTATGTACTCTACGTCGCCTCCAGTACAATACTTCCAAGTTATTGTCTAATATTGACAGCAACTGTTAGGCATTCGGCGGGGAAACAGCCCTCCTAGCTGATCTGACAGGTGATGTGAAGTAGATGCTTTCCTACCGCGGATCAGGGAGAGTCTGTGGAAGTGGCTGTGGTGGCGCCGGCGTTTTGGGCGCCACTGTTCTGAAACTCACCCCACTTGAGCACCCGTAAGCGAATGGATGGTGACACAGGCTAGAGGTAATACAAGGCTTGGCAACAATCTTGACCTTGGCCCATCTTCAACGTCAACGCGTTTCCCAACAGAGCTTCACAGCTTCATCTGACGATCCATCTTCTCTGACGAACCTTCCAGAAATTTTCAAAACTGCACTCAATTTCACCAATTTTTATCACTATCACAGAGAAATAGCTAAAACAGAAAAAAATTACACTCTTACACTATGTCATCGTTACAGGATCTCCTCAATCCTGTTTCGTCTGGCCCTTCGTCCCCCGTCACCACACGTCTCCCAAGCCCTCCACCTGTGCACAAATATGGACTCGCGACCAATACTCAAGAAGCTGCCAGCGCTCTAGTATTATTTGCGGATCACCATCATCGCAATTCCTTTAGTCTTCCTAATCATGAGCACGACGGTGATCGGTCTCCTGTAACCCCTATAGCGACACACCATGATTCCTCGTCTTCTGATACGGTTTCCTCCTCCCCGGTACCACCTGTTTCTCCACGTCGAGTGGCTCCTATGAGAAGCTCTGCGGTACACAAATCAAACGATTTCACCCAAATTCTTCGTGCAAGCAGCTCAGAGCGAGATGCTGATGGAGATGAGGAAGATGAAGAAATGGGCGAGGACAATGTTAAACCACAGGGCTTGACGGACTACCGTCTTTCGCCGACTCCAATGGTCCAGGAGGGCTTGCGTTCTTCGCCACCTGCGGCATCAGCATCCCCCCCACCTTCTACCGTTTCGCAAAATCTTAAAGATGTTGTTGTAACCACCAGTATTACTACCAAATCTAAGAAACGCCCATCCACAAAAAATGTCCCCGCAAAGAAGAAGGGAATTGCAAAGCCCCAAAAGAAGAAGCGGAAGGTTGACGTAGAAGAAGATGATTTGGAATCCGAGATTCCTGTAAGACCTGCTGCTTCGTCTAGGAAGAAGAAGGGCCTCGCTTCTAATCCGAGCCACGCTCAGGTCAATGGCCAGCGACCCGCCAGTATTCCACCGAGACGCGAAACTGAGTCCCCGCCGCCAACAAAATCATTACCACCTCTCCCATTATCACCCCTCCCGAAGTATAATGCCGAAGGTATGGAACTTTATTGTGTCTGCCGGAAACCTGATTCTGGAAAATGGATGATTGGTTGTGATGGCTGTGAGGATTGGTTCCACGGGGAATGCATTAATGTTGCCGAGAAAGACGGGGATTTGATTGACAAATACTTTTGTAAGCTTCGTGGCCGCGCTTCCCCCTTTATGCCCCACTAACATTGTCTAGGCCCTCGCTGCGAGGTTTCTGGTCACGGGATTACCACATGGAAACGGAAATGCCGTCTTCCTGTCTGTCGCCGCCCTGCACAAGTGGATAAACGCCCAAAACCATCAAAGTACTGCTGCGATGAACACGGCGTTCAATTCTTCAAACTTCAAACTGCTGCACAATCGTCTCGCCCCGCCATCTCATCATCTGAATTAGCCGTCGTTGCTAATGGTGTCTCTTCCGCGGCTGAGTTCCGTCGTATTGGTTACCGCATGCCAACACCACCACTATCCGACGAGAATTTCCGTGACTATCCGGAAGAGATTGAACGTCTTGTAGCAATCGCCAAGGAACGTGAGTCGTTGAAAAACCAAAGGCATCTTGTTGAGGATCGTAGGCGTTATCTTGAGTGGACACATCAGCGGGCAAAGCGCATTCATGAAGAGCTTAAAGCAGATCCAGAGGCTAGAAATGTCGGGAAAGAGATCTGCGGATATGATGAGAGATTTGCACTTGGTGAGGTTGAGTGGGCTGCATGGAGGAACTCCGACGAAGGAAAGGAAGTCTTCAAGGAAGAGAGGATACCTGGAAGGGAGGGCGTTTGTCTCAAGAAGAAGTGTGAGAAACATGGCCTATGGAGACCGCTCTTCATGGAAGAAGCCCAGCTTCATGAGAGACTGCATCAGGAGAGACTTGTCCAGCTTAGACAAGAAGAGAAAAAGATCAAGGAGCGCCAAAAGAGAAGGAGTGTAAGAGATAACCGCGAGGGAACTGTTGAGAAGTTAAAATGAAAGTAGTTGTGCGAATCGATAATAGTTAGGTCTCTTTTATCACTAGTAATTTTGGGATATTATAGTGTTTTATCATTGTATTTATAACGTTGAACGATGTTAATGGAATCATATTATGATATATATAATGACATTTGTTCACGCGTTTGTTTGGAAAATACAGTTGCAATACTAACACTGCAATTGACGGCTTATGTCCCCTGGGTTGGATTTCACTTAAGTTAAGTCATAGGGCCCACAATGTTTTTCCGTTGAGCAGCCGTGATGCTGGACTCCGAAGTAGGAAAGTTGATGCTCAGGTAGACGCAATCCTGGGGGTATGGTTAAACTGGGGTATGACTATATGTAATTTCACCTAAATTCAAGATGGAATACAGGAGAATTCCTGAGAATATGCTCTGCTATTCTTTGCAAGAATATGGAGAATCGTTTTGATTGTTAGGAGCCGCCAAGAGTGTTGTTTACTGGAAGTTCTTTTCGATTTTGTGAGGAGTTGGTCGTACCCCAGTTTAACCATACCCCTAGGATTGCGTCCACTAACAATATCCTTTGGCCGTCACTTCCTGGCGCGCCTATCACCGGGGTTAGGGTTCGAAATACAGAGAGACATGTACATGTGCGCATACCGGATGAGGCAGTAGCATTTTACCCGCTACGCCCAAGGATAACCCGAGTAATGATATCTGTACCGTCGAGATTGTAAACCCCAGCCCTTGGCAGTGAACCCTTTGTGATCGACGACTAGGTAATAAGTGCATGCTTACATGCCGTCTTTTAGCAAGTACTAGAACATGCATGTACATGTAGTTAATTATATGATGTAGATATTTACATTCCAATTGGAATTAAGCCACATACTACATTGCAATTTACGGTACTTCTAGCAGTACAGTAGCCTTAAATTGGAACTTACTACAACACCCCAATTAAATAACTACATGTAGTCTCTACCATTAGTTGGAATTAATCTCCGTTTCCAGCATTTTACCAAGCCTTTCAATTTGCATGCAATTAATGAATTAAACAAAAAGAAAAAAAGAGCCCTTCAATTGTATGTGCCCAGGTGTATAGGTATTCTCACGGAAGGAATATTCGAAATGATCGGGGTCGACTCGTAAAAGATCATGCAGCATCCTTCGATGATCATCTTAGCAGCCTTGCAGAATTATGGGAAGGCCTCGGGCCTCAATGGATGAAGAAGAATTAAATTGAGCTGTCAAGTTCATGTACAGTCCTTAGTCGATCCTGTACCTCACTCTATATGTGGCTAGCTGCTCTATGTATCCCATAATCCGGTGCTTAGATGCTGTCTATTTGACAGAATATTATAATTACTAAAAGAGGAAGGGTGGTAGCCGAATATGTGTGTGATCCAGACACAAGCCACAGCTGAAAATACGCCGCCCGAATCAATAGGCAGCTTTAACGGACTATGGGATAGTCAGACCGAATTGGCCCTACAAACCTCTAATCGTAATAGTAATAAACCTTCTCGGTTTCCATGTTTTAGATGAAGCACACGTTGTTGGCCGGCTGTTGTGTTCACTCTCTGTTTCTATTCTCAACGACGATTCGAGACGAAAATACGTAGAATGAATAAAACGTCTATTAAGAAAACCGAGAGCAACAAGATGATGGTCTGATGAACAGGAAGGTAGCTAGCTACAGTAGTTATACGGCCCTTTTCACTTCGGACACCTTTACAAAGGGATTGTCCTTTTCTGCACTGACTAATGTATGACAAATTGCTTAGCAACAAATGTGCCCAACAACGAAAACCCCTCTTCCTTCCCTGCCTTCTCTTTCCACCTGCCTCAGTACACTATCATTTATCCCAACTACCGCACCAGCAACAAAAGAAATAAGCAACAACCGTATCAGGGAGATGTCTTGTACACAGGCGCGCAAGCATAGTAAGCAAATCATAAGCACGATAGACGCAGTAATCAATACGCAGTAAGCAAAAATAAGAGATAAGAAAGAAACCCGCTTTCAACCACCCCCCTTTTTCTCAATTGATATGCCCTCCAGGCGCTTGTTTCCCCTCCATCGCGGATAAGAAATGAATGATACCGTGAAGCCCGCAGGCCCCGAAACGAAACGAACGCTTCTCGGCGCATGATTTAAACGTTTCTAGGCGCTCTACTCCTCCTCTGCCACCCTATCCTCCCCGCCAGGGAATATCACCGTCCTACTGCCCCATTCTCTGACTCCTTCCTCTTCGTCCTTCCCCAATGCCTCACACAGTCCCACGAACCTCAAGTTCCCCCGCTCTTGTCTATCCTCCTCGAATCCCAGCTATTGATCTTCTCGAGGAACGAATATCTTCAAGTCATCGAGGTGCACCCTCTCGTGAAGCCCCGTATTCTTAACCCTTGCCTACTCGCCGGTGATTAGATCGAATACCCTTCCGGTCCTTCCATGCCACGATATTTTGTCGAGTTTGTACGGACCCTCCCACTTGGCTTCAAACTTGCGGCCATGCTGTCTGTCGATTTCGAATCTGCGGAGTAAAACGAGGTCTCCCATTTGAGGCGCCTTCCATCTTGCCCTTCTTTGCTTTTGCGAGCACTTCTCCAGGGTTTTGGTTCTTACTGCCTCCCGTATCTCCTCTAATTTTGATAGCCTTTGGTGGTATGCCCATAGCTCCATTGGTTCTTCAACACTAGCACTAGCAGGTGCAGCATCTTCACCTATGCTGTCGGTGTACCGCTCAACTATCTTGACTATCGCTTCCGATATTACCGCAGAGGCTAGTTGATCCCTCGGCGTGGCGTCTAGGCGGCTCCTCCGGAGGTTGAATACAAATAGCAGTTGGCTAGGAGTATATCCGTGCGCACGTATCACGCGTGTATTTATGGCATGGGTTACCCCAGGCAACATTTCGTCCCAAACATATCGATTGGCGATTGAGGTCGCTATTAGAGTGCGTAACCCCACTACTACCAGCTGTACGTAGCGCTCAGCCAGGCCCACTGATTGGGGGTGCGACTTAGGCGCCGGGAATTGTTTGACCCCTCATCCATCTAGTAGTTGTTTGACGCTCGCGTTTACGAAGTGCGAGCCATTGTCATTGTATATGGCGCGCGGCCATCCGATGTACTTTCCGATTTCCGAGATTAGCACTACAACTGCCGCGCTATCCGCTCTCGCTACCACGCTTGTGAAGAGGTAGCGGGTAAAGTAATCGACGACGATCAAGATGTATCTGTTACCCGATCTTGATATCGGAGCGATCGGCCTGATGAAGTCCATGCCCCACAAGTCCATTGTCTGCAACTGGAATATGGGTAGTAGCGCTTGCGAAGGTTTTAATGGGCCTACCCGCTGGCATGAATCGCAAGATCGGCAGTAATATGAGGTATCGCGGTGGCGTGTCGGCCAGTAATATTTGCGGATTAGCTTCTTCAACGTGATTGACTCCGCAAAGTGTCTATGTACGTTATGCGCCCAACATAGGATTTCCTTGATGTTCCTTTTTCTGATGCAGATTGCCAATTCTCCGTTCTTTTCTCGGTATAGGAGTCCGTGCGGTCGGTCCGGCGCTTCGGGATCGACTATCACAAATCGCGCCGATTGGTATTTCAGATTCCACAGCCACCTCGCTTTATCCGTTTCTGACAGCTCGTTTCCTTCCTTCCCCGCCTTACCCGCAATCTTGCCCGCCGGCAACGTTCCCGTCAGTTTATACTCCACCATCACGCCATACCAATCATCTTCCAGCCAATCCTTCCATCCCTCTATATCCACCACCGCCACCTCTATCTCTCCGTCTCCCCGCCTCGTACTAAGCCTCGACATCCCGTCCGCTATCACATTCTGCGATCTCGGCACATGATAGATCTCCTTATCATATTCTGCCAGCTGCATTTGCCACCGCGCTATGTGTCCTTTTGCCTCGTCACCTTTCAGAACCGACAGAAGCGCTTGTTGGTCCGTGTACACCTTTATAGGGTATGGCGACCCCAAAACCAACCAGCGTACCTCACTTAGCGCCCTCACTACTGCAAGCGCTTCATGCTCCGTGGTGTGGTAGCGCGTTTCCACAGGCGCGAATGTTTTGGAAGGGAAGAGGACGATTCGCTCACTTTCCCTGTGCCGAGGTCCCGCGATGGTGCCTGGAGGTGCATCTTCCAGCTGAAACAGCACAGCACCTATGCCTAGGTTTGATGCGTCTGTGGAAAGGTGGTACTGCATGGTGGGGTCGCCTCCCCAAACGACGTTGTTGACGATGCACTCCTTGATGTGTTTGAATGACGCCTCGTGCTCTGGCTTCCAATGCAGCACTAAATCTCTGCGCGCACCTATGCTATTGATATTGCACAGTATTGCCGTCTTTAGAATCTTTGCGTGATCAGATCTTCCCGGTACCCACTGCCTCAGGTACGTGCTGATATGCAAGAAGCGCTCAAGCGCAGCCACATTGCTTGCGACTGGATAGTCCCTTATTGCCGCCACTTTATCGATCGATGGGCGGAGTCCGCCTTCCCCGCTGCCCGCAAACCCCAATAGTTTAAGGTTCCTCGACCAGAAGTGGCTCTTTGCAGGGTTGAGCCTCAGCCCCGACCAGGCGATGTGGGGGAAGAATTTCTCATGGAGAAAACGGTACTGACTATCGAATGACGTATGGGTACTGTAGTCGTCTTCCATGAAGTACTCGAATGCGGAGTCATCCCCGGAGCCTGAGATAGCCGCCTCAGCGAGCAGGGATGGTATCGGTCCCGTCAGGATGTCTTTCATTCTTGCGTATATATGCACTGCACCCGATAGTCCCATGCCCATGCGCAGATAACAAAACTGACCCAGCGGGGTGTTAAACGCGGTTTTGTAGGCGTGCTCCCTTGCGAGGGGTATGCCCCAGTACCCTATTGACGTGTCGGCCTGCCAGTAGCATTTGAATCGACTTTGTATGAGATTGTGCAAGATTGGTTCAATTCTCTTCATCGGGATATTGAACTTAATAGTCGCCTTGTTCAGCCTACAGAAGACATGGACCATCCTCAGACTATCATTCTTCCAGCGTACAAACTTTGGCTTGCTCGACCATTGCGAATTCGATACCGTCAGTATGCCCGAATCGCACATCTTCGGCAGGTTTTCCTACATCCAGGCCATTTCCTCCGCCGTGTAGAGCGGGTTGGTCGCCTTATGTGGTATTGAACCAAGGTATGTCGGGATGTAGTGCACAGCTATTCGGCATTCCGGTATATTGCCCAAGTTGTCCCCGAAGATGTCACGCCAGGTGTAGATTAACCTCTTAGCACTTGTTCTTTCGACCTCGGTTTCCGCGGCGTTGCCTATTGTAGTGCGGCATTCTTCAAACCACGCTTCTATCTCCGCATCGGTCGTGTGTGAGTCCACCTCCCTGTGGTAGCTCGTGGGCCTCTCTTTCGTCAGGTACCCTATCGTATTTATGCCGTATACGCGGTCGTCCTCATTGATCAGGTCGTAAATTTCGCCATGATGATTCTTGACCTGGCGGCGATCGTGAACCTGTGCTAGCCGCATCGTCTCGTCTTGTGCCTCTCTCTCCTCATGCTCAGCCCACAATGTTTCACATCCTTCCCCGTACCCGGTTCCGCCCCAACATTCTCCTTCTTCTTCTCCTCCGGGTTCGTTTTCCACGTCACTGCTAGGCCCCGGGCGACTAGCAGTGGGGTCCTTTTAAAGCCTCACCTAACTGCAGTGAGCTTCTCCAGGAGTCCCGAAACCCTTCATTCCATTTGGCCGCCCGCAGCTCTTCCTCGTTCCCTCCCCGCTTCGCACCCTTCTCCTCAAACTCTCTCCTCTCGAGCTCCAACTCCCACCTTTCTTGTTCATCACTCTCTCTTGATATCCTCTCGACGATGGCAGACATGGTGTCGTCTTCCTGTTCGATATCTTCCGCCATCTCGTCGTCGATTTCGATCCTCGTGGACTCAGCGCTGATGAAGATCCTCGGGGACTCCTCATGCCCGCCTCTAACTGCGGGCACCAGGAATTCGTTGCCTTTCTTATCTTTGATGACATACGTGTCCAAGCGGTAGTCTCCCCGCGCTTGGCACTGACGGAGCCATCGCCTACTTAGCAGAATCGAGTAAGATGGCGTTCTCAGCCCTGGTACAAGGTGGCAGGTAATTCGTGCAGTAACCCCCACCACATTGAGGTCGAAGGACACCACGGACGAAATTGGAGCTAGTCCCCCGTCGGCGGTCTTGATATTGAATCCCGGCCCGCGTTCTTTGCGTAGCCTCATCTCGTCCGCGATGCTCTCGGGCATGAGATTTACGACGGAGCCGGCGTCGACGAGTATTTTCTTTACTGTGAAGAAGCCAGCGGGCATCCCCGGTACTCTAACCTTCCCGTCGGTGTAGAAGTTTACGACCGGGCCCTCGTCCTCACGTGCTCTGTTTACTGCTTCGACTGCGTGGGTTTCGTCCGGCTGGGTAGTCTTCTCCTTAGGGACTCTAGCAATACGTTCTAGTACTAGGCCTTTTGCCAAATCTCTGCGGGCAGCCGGGCAAGGTCGAATAGAGCACCCCACGTGAGTCCTTCGATTTTAGTATCTCTCAACCTCTGGACCACGTCTTCGGGGATAACCCCTTTCATCATCCGAATGGGCCGCTTAGACTCGGATGGTTTTGGTGTCTGCCTGGAGCTCATGCCGGGGGCTTGGTACGCCTTAGCTTTGCCTTTGCCCTTGTCGGGAGCGGCAGCAGCATTACCCATCTCCTCATCTTCCTCTTCGACCCTCGCCTTCCTCTTGCTCGCGGGTCCTTCCGCTCTACTGCTCCACCTCCCAAACGCTTCCTCACTATCCTTCTTTTCCACCTCATCAGCGTCAAACTACTCAACCAAGCTCGCCTCAGGCACCCTGATGCCGCCAACCTCTCTGTCTCCCGCACACACCTCTACCGCATTTGCACCCGCCGATGCCGCGTTTCCCTATTGCGCTGTGCGTACATCTCCCCCTGGGGCGCCTCTGGGCCTGATCCCGAGTGGTACCAGGTTTGCACCCTGCGCTACTGTGTATTGCCCACCGGTGGTTTGATTTGGGGTAGCCCCTGGGGGCCCGACTGAAGGCTCAACTGTGCGCGTATCTTCTCGATTTGATCCTCACCTACTCGGCGTCTAACCTCCTGCTGTTCCATGATTGATAGTGGAGGGTTTATGCATTCGGGGCTGTAGTGTCCTGTCTGACCACACCGGAAGCACGTGACGACTGGTCTGGCGTCGTTCTGAATAGTGTGCCTCCTCGGCATGTACCCCGTGGGCGGGTAGCTTTGCTGTCCCGTCGCCGCATAGTGCGGGGGTCCCATTGCGTGTGGGTTCAGGAGTTGCGCTTGATTAAACGTGGACATCGAATTCCCATAGCCGCTCGGGTACTGGGTGCTGCCCATAACTGGCGCTTGGTTGTTCGGCTGCCTCGGGTGACCGTAATATCCACGGTTTACCGCGAAGACCTCCGTCTCTCGGGTTGCGGGTGGGATATCGTAGGGGTTATTGTATTGCTGCTGTGTAGAGAGTCTCTCTACTAATCTTCGCAGGTTGGCAACCTCGCCGGTGAGTGTATCTTCTTTCTCTTTACGCTCTTTCTCCACCATCTCTTGCGCCTTCTTCTCTTCCACGAGGGCCTTATTTGCCTTCCTCTCCTTCTCTAATGCCTCCCTAATCTTGCTGCCTCCTACCCTCCTCTTGCTCTCCTTTCCCACCTCACTGAATTCCTCCGAGTCTGAGCACTCTTCGCTGTCGCTCGTGTCGTCATCACTACTCTCGCTGCCACTGCGATGCCCACTTAGCTCCCTGGTGCCGGTGGCGAGCACCTTCTTTGCCACCTCAATGGCTTGTGATAGGGTGTAGTCGTCGTTGATGTCGAACTTCCCCAGGCTGAGGAAGTTACACCGGGTTTGCTCGCGGGCCAGGCCCACGTAGAACCTTCTACTGGCAGACTTGTGGAGGTCAGACGCTATCGGGAGGTCAATGTTAACCCTCTCCCTCTTGCGTATGTATTGTTTTAGTGTGAGCTTCCCTTGCTTGAGATTGGTGACTGCGTTCTCGGCACGTCTTTGCCTTTCATCCCTCTTGCTCTTGTTGTTAAATCTCTTCTTGAGGGCTTCGGTGAGTTCACTCCACGAGGAGGCTACCTCTTCGTTTTGTCTTTCCAGCCATCTGGCCGCCTTTCCGCGGAGATTCGCACTGAGGATTGCCACTCTGGCAGCGTCTCTTCTTCCGGCGGCACAGAGCTTCTCTTTAGGCTCAAAATTGAGGATCAAGGATTCGATGAAGGCTTCGACTCTTTCTCCAGTGCGTCCACTGAAGGTCCTGGCCGGTACTGATTCGACGAAGATAGAGGCCATTTCATTTTCAGAACTAGAGGAGGAGGGTGCTTGGTTTGTAGTGAAGAAAGGTCTGTCTAAGATGGAATTCCCTGGCTTATGAGCTCTTCGGGAGGGGGTGCTGTTCGTGCTTGGTAAGGCAGTGGCTTCAATGGAGTCCGCCTGTGGATGGACCATCTGCCTGATATTACGTATAGTTGTTCGGGTATGATACCTCCGTCGGTTCGACCTTGACAATGTAGGTGCGGGGATTCGTTTGGTTGATGACACTTTTGGCAATTTTGAGCGAGATCTGGAGGTTTCGTTTGCTTTGATGATGCGGTGAGCAGTGAGGCTGATTCCATTTGCTTCGGGGATGCGGGCGATGAGGTTGTATGCAGGTACTGTGATGAGACTGCAAACAACAAAACGCCAATCACCCTTCTTTTTTTTTTTTTTGAGGAGTGCAGAGAACGAAGGGGTCATGTAACGGTGATATTATGTTCCGGCTCGGTTGATAAATGAGATCGTGATGAGAAGGTATTGCGCAGTCGAACTAGGATTTGAAATGAGATTTCTGTTATGTTCTTTTGGTTTCTGTTACTCGGAGGATTAGTCATCAACGGACCAGGAGCTAGATATATAAGGGGGCATTGTCTCGTATCTTTTCATGTTTTCCTTTCTTCCCTTTACTCTCTCACGCAACCTCCTGTACTTACTCCACAAATACTACTTTTGTTGCACGTCTCGTCATAGGGTCCAACTGGTTGTCGTACCAAGTCGAACCACCCTATAGTTCACAGTTAAGGATACCTATTGCTACGTCTTGCCTCGGTTGTATTCCTTGGCACCATAGTCTCTACGCCCATAGACCCCCGTTACAGGTCACTATAACGGGGCTACTATCAGACCATTATAATAATACCTGTTCTACCAGTCAAAGCCATACAGCCCTAGGGCAACCGCAGCTTGTTCTTCATCGACGGGTGAAGACAAGGGCAGGTGAGCCCCTACCTCTATTGGTATGGAGGGTAGGGATCTTAGCGAGCAACTAGCCCCATGAGTCAAAACAGGCGATTGAATAAAACTAGAACAGAAGAACAAGCATGCCAATAGGAAGGGTAACCCCTAACATAAGTTACCCTACCTTGGTGGTCGACCTTTGAGGTGCAATAACATTGCAACCGATGTCCGGAAAATATGCTTTAGCACGTCAGAAAGGATCCTGGCGGCGCTCCGGTCAATTTGGGATAATCTAATGAACGCGTTGCGGATGTAACGGGGGCAGCCTCTTCTAAGTATCGCTAGAATCCAATAGAATAGATTCGGCCGTGCAAGATAGAAATCAGGTGCAGATTTATTCAAAGATACTATCGCTAGAACTCAATAATCTTTAAGGGCTCTGCTACCGATGATGGTCAAGATGAGGATCCGGACAGTTGCGCGGGAATGATCCTGAGTACTTATACTCCAAAGGACTCTATTCTCTGTTCCTACTTCCTTACTAAGTTCCGGTGCTGCCTTCTAGCGGAGGGGAAGCAATACCATCGCTACCCCGCTTCTCTCTAAGCGTCAGTGAGTGCTTCCGGTTCCGAAGGCAACCACCCTTAGTCAAAGCCTTTGCAACACCTGCAGCCTTTGTTGCCACACAACTGGGGCCTGCATGAATGAGCTACCGCTCAGGCGTAAGCTTAATCATTGCTGTAGAGCTTTCGCTTATTGTAGACTTCCCAGGCATAGTCCCTTCCACTACCGGCGGACTTCCAATGCTCAGAGGATGTAGAGGATCGCCGAGCACTCAGAGCTTCACTCTGGCCGGCCTTTTAATCATTGGCGAGGCGCAGACTCGTCAGTCATTGCTCCCATGAGTAGATCCTCCTCCTAGCGCTCAGAGTGTAGTTACTCCGACAGCTGGTAGCTAACCACACTGCCGGCACTTGCATGTCACTGTGCAACTGGCTTCTAACAATAACTCTCAGCATGTAACCGGGCCCTGTGTGTACTCATACACCAGACAGTTGAATTGGCTCCGTTACAGCGGAGTTGAGGAAACACTGCAAAATAAACACGTTTTAGACACCAAAAATAACCTCCGGAGCGTCAAACCGCCAGAACCCTCCTGTTTCAGCCCGGTGCATTTTTGGGGAGTAGGAGTACTACCCAAGCTACTAAAGCAAACCTCACTTTACAAATAAAACAAATTGAATAAGCAATTGCTACCTGGTCGGTCGTTTCCGCTAGTTCTTAGGACCCTGACCCGCTCTTGGCAGAGATTGCGTGATTTGACTCGGGCGGAAGTTCGTCCGAGGTGTGGTAGCAACTCCTCTCGCCCCTAATAGGAAATAGTCGCTGTGCCCCCGACTACTGACAGGTAGTCTGCCCGTCAGAAACAAAAGAACCTGAGCAAGGGAACCGAACTTCTATAAAGAACTCGGTAATGCCCCAGGTTGGCCTCTCATAATTATCGGATCTTTACAAAGCGAGAAGACCCCTTAAAGTTATTAAGTTTCTAGACTACAAATAACGATCAAACAAAAACAAACTCTATCTTTCTGTCGAACGGGTCCCATCATAACTCGTTCGCACTCTTTATCATTTCTACCTGATCGAAGTCACGGTCATGCCCCATCATAGCACCCCCATTACAGTCACCATGTTGTTGGCCGGCTGTTGTTTTCACTCTCTGTTTCTATTCTCAACGACGATTCGAGACGAAAATACGTAGAATGAATAAAACAACTATTAAGAAAACCGAGAGCAACAAAATGATGGTCTGATGAACAGGAAGGTAGCTAGCTACAGTAGTTATACGGCCCTTTTCACTTCGGACACCTTTACAAAGGGATTGTCCTTTTCTGCACTGACTAATGTATAAATTGCTTAGCAACAAATGTGCCCAACAACGTATATGCTTGATCGAGACAACCCTAATATTTTCTCTTTTGGTTTCATACTAGACTTGACTTTAATGGTTCATTCTCAGGAGAGCTCTCAGCGCACGGCCCACTAACCCAAACATTTAATTACGCATTCCCTAGTCTGACACGGTACCAGATTAAACGTTAAATTTTCTTCCTGTTTTCTAGATCTAAAAATACTCAAAAATGCATCTGACCTGCTTATCTTATCGGATCTCCGCGTGTAGCGTCGCCCCGCTCGGAATATTCCTTTGATTAAGGGGTGTTACCTTGGCTGATCAATTCTCCATAGAACGAATGTGCAGGAGCAAGATGTCTTAACTGTATCCCAAAGATCACTAATCGAGCACATAGCCAGCAAACTCACTTCAACATCCCAGGTTCTTGAGTCAATTTACAGAGTCTGGTAGAATTATTGCGAAAGTGGGTTTCCGTGACCCGATAGTCCCATTGGCTCTTGAAACGACCTTTGCTGTGAGCACGGACCAAGAAATCCACTCCTTTAGCGCTGACTTTCGCATTAATTCTACCAGACTCTGTATGGCAGTCTGCCAAACACATCAATGGTTACAAGGAGTCCCCAAACTGGCCAAATCTTTGATGACGGATTGGCTATAGGATGCACGTGTCGATTACGACGCTTTTTCTAGATTTTTTCAACACGTAAGGTACACGTATAAGTAGGAAGTAGTATGGACAAGTTTGAGGCTCCACCTCCTTGGCAACTCCTTTTCTTGATAACAACTCATCAGAAAATCTCAATTCCCATTAAAACATTCTGCAGCAACCGATTTACCAGAATAAAGAACTTCTTGGTTTATTTGCGCAGAATATTACATGCCTAGGCATTACTTATACTGTTGAAACCGACGACACAAAGTCGCAATGAGTTTTCTTGCGAGTCTTCCATCCCCTGGTTTACCCTTTCGGTCTCCCGGCCTACCGCCAATTGGATTCAACGCTGCCAAGGCATATGCCAATGGTTCAGGATCCCCAGCATCTGCTGTACTACTTCTGGGACTCAATTTTTTGTGCTCAGTATGGAAAATTGACCAGCACTCGCTATTCGCGTCAGCACTAACATGGGGGATAATATGGGGTGTCTGTACAAGGGTTAAGGCTAGGCGGTATTCGGGAACCGAAACGGGACGTCGAAAAGCATATAGTATTAGTGGTGGGGGCGGATGGTCTGGTGGAGGAATTCCAATAATGTTGGCGGGGAGTATACTACTTGCAGGTATCTGCGAAAGCGCTAGCGGTGTTGAGAGTCCTTGGTTGAAGGTTTGTGAAATGTCTTTCGTTAGTAATGTGCGCTCGAGGTGCTGATTAAGGATCCATAAAAATTAAAGGCAGGTATTCCTTCAGCGGCATATTTCATACGATCTTCCTGGAAAATTGATAATGCCAACGGATTACCGCTCCGCGGGATGAGAAGGGTTATGGTGCTAGTCATGATGGCTTCAGCAGTAGCTTTACAACCGGCATTTGTGAGCAGTTCTGTATTGGCACTTGGTGTTTGTAGCGCTGTATTTTCAGCCTTAGCATTGGTATTACTGGAGCGAAGTCTGGTAGAATTGTCAGATGTTTCTGGGGTGCCCAATTCGAACTCTACAGGGAGCTTTGGCCCCTGGAGAAACTGTGCATTGATTGGGAAGGATTTGGGGATGTATTTGTCCCTTGGGTTTTTGGGGGCAAGTCTCACGCTCGAACGGTTTCCCTTGAGAATCTTGGGGCACATGGGCGTATATTTTGAAGAAGGTGTAATCTTATTGGCATTGAAGCTGGTTGTTATATCTGCGCTGGGCGCCGCTCAATGGGCTCTTACACTGTTTGTGGTGAGTACTGCTATTCTTCATCTGATCTGGGATGAAATCACTAATTTATCAGGTGATGAGATACTCCGCTGTCAGTGTAGGGTTTCTAGAATTAACTACGACGCTCCTGATGGGAATATTTTCGGTATTCTCGGGGATAAGGCTTCTCGGCACGGTTGGTGCTTTCGTCGGGATGTCTGGCTACTTCACTGCAAAACCTGGCACCGAGCGTGCAGCTATCCTCTCGCAGCTATTCCGCACACGTTCAGCGCAACTTGTGACGACCCTTGTATTTGTTCTCACTGCTCTGGTGATGTGGGGGTTTGCGTACTTTAGCCAAAACATTGGAATGTTTCCGAAAACACCCAGTGCATCGGTGCATGTGCATGTACTTAACTCCGGGCATCCAATTCCAAAGCTTATCCAAGATGCTGAGGCACGCTACAAGCAAATGCAAGAAAGCCAATCAAACTCGCTTTCAGAGGCCGTCATGGAGTATCGGCGACGCTATAATATGAATCCTCCACCAGGCTTTGATAAGTGGTACGAATATGCGAAGAACAGAGACTCCATCATAATAGATAACTACGACACCATATATCACTCGCTCAAACCTTTCTGGGGGCTTCCACCACAAGAAATTAGGAAACGCGCTAGGGAAGCTATAGGTTTCAACGACCCCATCGGACTCCATGATAATAAGCTTCTGCATGCATCTATCCGAAATGGTGCTATCAACGTTGGCGGACAGGGCCCAGATTGGCAAAAAGAGGCAACTCAGCTCATGATAGAGAAGTTTGTCACTTTCTTACCAGATATGGAACTTGGCTTCAATATACACGATGAGCCGCGAATTGTTGTTCCGAGCGACATGTTGACCCAGTACCTCGACCGCGCAGACACCGTGTTGTCCAGAATCAAGAGCTCCGATCCTCTCAGCGATGATTTCACACCATTACCAGCCGAGGAGCGCGGATCGGTACCGGACTTTCCTCGAACTCTGTTCAATGTTTTTGCCCATCAACCCACTTGGAATGGAGCTCAAATGTCCTGCCCAGCTGATTCACCTGCCAAATCGATTGATATTGACGTCAAAGACGACATTGATCGATTTTCAGTCCAGCCACTTGGGTTCATTACCAACACAACAGAAGCGTCAGATATCTGCCTATCCCCTAGTCTTCAGAGTCGCCATGGTTTCTTCGACCGTCCCAACGCATTTAACGTCGCGCATCAACTTATTCCTGTCTTTTCTCAAAGCAAGCCCTCCTCTTTTAATGACATCTTGTACCCATCTCCCTGGTATTGGGCCGGTAGGGTTGAATACGACGACGCAAAAGACATAGATTGGGACCAAAAACATTCAAATCTCTACTGGAGAGGTTCTACCACCGGTGGATTCTCCCGCAATGGGGGTTGGAAGCGTCAACATCGCCAACATACCGTCACAGTTATAAATAAGAATGAAACCGCCAAAATCTTGGTCCAAGAACATCACGGTGTGTCAGGTGATTGGAGCGTCCGCGAAGTGAAACGAGAGAGCTTGGCAGGCCTATTTGACGTCCGCTTCTCCCATGTGGGCCAATGCGATGCGAAGGACTGCGACGATCAGCGTGAGTTCTTTGACATCGCGCCCAAGGCCGATCAAGACGATGCATGGCAATGGAAATATCTCCTTGATATGGATGGCAACGCTTTCTCAGGACGATATTACGCATTCCTTGAAAGCAACAGTGCCGTATTCAAACAGGCGATATTCCGTGAGTGGCACGAAGAGTGGATTGTGCCCTGGGTGCATTACGTTCCTGTTTCGATGGATCTCGAGGAGATTGCAGAGATGATGAGGTACTTTGAGATGGAGCAGGAAGGAAAACGAGCCATTCAAAAGATTGCGCAGGAGGGCAGGAAGTGGGCAAAGGCGGTGTTAAGGAAAGAAGATTTTGAAGTTTGGTTCTTCAGGCTGTTGTTAGAGTAAGTCGGGCTAGCTCCATCCTTGAAAAATCAGCGGCTAACAAATGGTATCCAGATATGGAAGAGTCATAGATGACAACCGGGAGACGATTGGGTTTCTAGGCTAAAAAGTGTAAACGTCAAAGGAGGTATAGACAAGGGAGAATGGTTAATGACAACTTTTCTTTTGGATCATGATTATATTACTTACCTGGGAGGGGTTTAAAGGATTATACCTACAAAGCGCTTTTAGAAAAAGAGTAGAAGACTGGGAGAAGGGGGCGTTCATTTTGCATAGGTGTCAACGGTCTTAGCTGGCAGTCTTATAGCACCTACTCAGTAATATCTAACTATAATGTATCGTCGTTTTTCTTTTGGATGTATCAAAGCTCCGGGAGGATCTCGAGCCCGGCGGTGTTTTTACCCCCTTTAATGCATTAGGTCCTATACACAAATGCATCTAGTTGAGTTCCCTCGGGCCTATTTTTGATCTTTATCATGATACCAGATGTATAGAAACTGTTTATTCTCTTGAGCAAAGAGAAAACCTCCGAGATCAAGGATTTGGGTTTCTCTGGGGGAAACCCCTTTAAACAAAGACTCGTTCGTCGCCAAAGTGCACGATTGGAGCATGCTCCAGTCTCGTAGAGACAATACGGAGGGCAGCCACTTGGTAGTAAATGAAAGGAATCTTGGAATGTAGCTCAATAAACATGAATTTATATTAATCACACCAACTACACTTGAATGACATTTGATGCCAGGTGGATGGGGGCGCGGCGGCGTGGGACGGGCCAGGGAGTTTTATTGCGGGCCCTTTATGGTTGTACTTGGCTTCATAGCCCGCAGGAACCCCCACGGCGCAGCGGAAAAGTCCAGGCCTAGGGTGTAGTTCAATTGCTGAAATGCCTGACCTACACAATCATGACCGGTCACTCGCTCGGTTGACTTGCCCAGCATTTCCTGTGGGCTAGCCTAGGACTTTTTTTTTCATTAATTACATGCAGGCTAGCCTAGGACCTTCACCGTGCTAGTATGATTTTTCGGAGGTCTTCCCCGAAAAGCTCCGGCCGGAGGAAGGGAGAGAGCTTAATCTCCTGAAAGATGATCCGGCTTTAGGGGAAATATCGATATCTAAGGGAAAGCTTGACGAAATCCGCACTAAGTGTCTCTAATCGACCCCTCATCGCCCTGGTCGCTGCATGAGGAGTAGATGAATCTGTGAAATCGAGGAGTCTTAGATATCTATAGCTCTTGAGATGAACGGGCTATATCGTACTCAATTAGACCTCCTTGGATTTATAGACATTCAAGGAAGGTCCTACTGTCTGAGTAGCTAGCCCACCGCCTTGTGTCTCTGATTGGAAGTAGTGTGCCTGTTCGAAGTCAATATCTGGCCCCCCCATCCGGTCCTCGGATGGGAGAGATTGAAGGTACGTACCTGGAAATTTACCTCTATCAGTACTTAGAGCTGTTATGTAGGCATACTAATAAGCCTCTGAGGAAGTCCGGGTGAGGGATACTTGCTCTAGTTTGGTTCTTCCGTTCATCCGACTCTCCATTCCGGGAAGATGTTAAGCTGTTGTGAGAATTACAAAAGTATCGTACGGTAGCTTCTTTTCTCCGGGAGGGAATGAGGGAGTGGAAAGAACCTGTAAGATATGGGCACCGGCATATCGATTCGATACAAGGCTAGGACAACGGTGTACCCGACCCTTAAATAGGTTCTTCTGTTGTAGTGGTATGGAAGAGGTGGTTGCTTGCATCGGGATAGAGAATCTCTGTAGCTGGCCATTGTCTCTATGAAAAATCTGGCCGAACTGTGGAGAAACATGCGGCGTACATGTAGTTGACAACGTGTCAGTTGTAGAGAGTGGTGGATCACCAACTATCACTCATGTAGTCCACTTCACGCTAAACAAACACGGCTAGCTACCGAGCCCATATAACAGAAATTTAGCTTTCCTCAGGTAGCTCTACATGTAGATCTATGTCCTCTGAGTATTAGAATACAGTCATTTTGATTACACGACAAGAGCGATACTGCAAGATGCCTTAGGGCCGATAAACTTTCCATCCTTTTCGGAAGTAAAATTTACTGCCTCTCACTTTGGGCTTGGCCGTCGAATGGGATATCATCTCATATATATCCAGGGCTAGAAAGTTATTTTATTGACTCAGAAAACTCCGCAAATCTTTCTGACAGCGATAAATGTCCAAGTTCTGGTAACTGACATGTACTTTGTATCCATGATCCAAAGACACCTTAGCACATTTGCACCACCCCCTAAACCAACCTAATTAGCTAACTCAATTCGTGAGTGCCTAGAGTTATTACTCAGTTTTACAATCAGCGAAAAGCCAGATCTTGGTATTCTTCCCCATCTATATAAAACAATATTCTCCCACCACTTCTCTTTTCCTCCTTACACTGCGTTGATCTTCAGGTAACTCGACTGAAATTTATTTTCCTTTTGGGAGCAGTTATCATTATGCTTTTGCCCTACCCCTAAAATTAGGGTTAGGATTGTAATTAGAACAATTTTCGATTGGTTTTTTCAATAGGTTTTTTCAATTAATTGATTCCCTCTCGTTCTCTCTTATACCCCTCTTTTTTGTGCGCCCCTCCTTAAATACATGTACGCATGCTAACTTTACTTCAATGTAGCATGATTGTAACCCATGATTATGTAGTATTCCGTACGTATATAGACGCCGACATTCTAATGACCCTATCCAGTCCGCCCAACCTCTTCGCCGTAGCGCTAGCCTTTTACGAACCTAACGCGACGGACATGTTTTTATTTGTTCTTGGTTCTATGCGCCACGTTCTAGAGGACATCTATTATAAACCAGATGTCATGCTCCGGTCACTGCTTAGGTTATGATTATCGGGACATTAAATTCTCTTTACTTAAGGTCATGTCAACGAACTCGAATACCTCCATTCCGAGTCCCCGCGACGTTACCCCCAGCGCGCCGGGTGGAAAGCAGTGAGAGACTTGACTGCCGAGCTTTGACAGTCTTTTTTCAGCAAAAATATCTTTAATTGTTTATTACGACATAGGTAGGGTGCTCAGAGTGGCTGCGTTACTTTTTACCTCCGTTTTTTCGGCAACGTACATGACAGCGAACACTGGCTGTGCAGTTCTTAGGTCATGTTATATCACTCGTACAAACGTCCGTTACATAATTGTGGTGTGGTTTTTTTTTTTTTTTGTTTAATTCATTAATTGCATGCAAATTGTGGTGTGGTTAGTTGGCTTTTGCGGTTTCAAACTACGACGAGAATATCTAATTCCGGCCTTATATATAGCAAGTGTTATTTCTTGTGTAGTAGTGATTTAGCTTCGACCAGCTAACGCACCACATCTGTGGTTTCGTATTCGGCATCTATACCAGACCATCAAGACGCAATATATTATTTTATACGGAAAAAGTCTAAAATTACACAGTTTTCGGTAGGCGTGCTCTACAATAACACATGAACGCAAGATGACACAGTTCGGTATAATCCAAAACGAATACATCAATTAGTATAAGTACGTATTGGCTAAACAATAATAATATCGAAGGATCAGGGTTCAAGTTCAATCTTCATCTTGGCACACTGCCAAGCTAGCTCAAGTATCACTTCGGGCACAGCATCAACTATGGGCGGGTGGTCTAGTGGATAGACTGCTCGTCAGGTGAGACACCGAGAGTACCCAGGATACAACCAATCACACATAAGGTCCTGGGTTCAAACCAGGGGTGGGGGTAGCAGTCGTAAATGTCTAAATAAGTCGCTGTAGTACCTTTTGTAGATTTATAGAACGCTTTGATATTTTTTTCTTCTCTTTTTTTACTTGTAGTGACAGCGAACTGTGTCTTTTTGCATCATGTGTTATTTCGGAGCACGTATACCGAAAACTGTGTCATTTTAGGCCTTTCCGTATCTTATATAGGATACCCAGTCCCACGAAGGATCAGTGCTACAAACAAGCAGCATTGATCAGAGTCAATGTTTACTAATTATACCCAAAGTGCAGGCTTAAGGACGACATCTCATGTGCAACAATTGATAACTTTAACCAACCCCACCCAAAAGCCCCATAGATACATGTAGCTAGATCTGCTGTTACTCGTACCACGAACCAGAAACCATGTTGATGGAGGTCACTGTCTCTAATTATACTCAAAGTACAAACACTGTAAAATTAGTGGTACCTAGCTAATTCAACCAACCAGAAAAAAGCAAAACCCATTCTATTCAAAGTTCTATCCATAAACATAACTAAAGTTCCACAAGACAATCACCCACGCGACAAACTAGCAGCCATGATGAGAGTCATTACATGTATTTACTAATTATACACAAAGTGTAAAAAACATTTCACGTGCAAATGGTAGAATTGATGGTTAAGACCAACTAAGCCAATCAATTGAAATGACTAGAATTCTATGTAAAAACGTCCAAGGTCTTACGAACCAGTCAAGTCATTATTTCCTTATTTATACTCAAGATGTAAGGCAAGGTTTTCACGTGAAACAAATGACAGGCAAATTTTATCTTTTCGTGGGCAGTTGAACTGCTTAAATTCGATCACATTCTCTTTATTAACAAGAAAGAAATAGTGATGCTAGTACTACTAATACTCCTATAGAGGGCTACTTCGGTTGAAAGATAATCCGAATGAAGACTAATCCGAATGAAATAAAAAGATTAGAGGGCTAAGAAAAAGAGAAAAAAGAGAACAACGCCTTATGACCAGTGTAGTAAGAAGAATGAATACAAATACAAATGCCGAGTTCCCAAATAAGACCCCTAAACCAAATGAAGAAAAAAGAAAAGAGATATACCTGAAGTAATATTTACTTCTTGAAAACCGTGGCCACATGTCCTCACCCAACTTTTGGTGTCCGCCAAGAGAGTCGAAAAAAAAAACCCCCCCATCAAAAAAAAAGAAATATAAACCCGAATTGAAACCTATCCAGTAAGAAAAGATAAAAGAAGAAAAAAAATGTAACATTAATGTGTATGTGGTTAAACCCTCAGTTCAAACCCATTCGCCATAGCCCAATTCCTACCACCCAAATCGATGCTGCTAAAAGACGGATCGTTATCCCACTCCACTTCCTGCAACAAATCGTCTACCATATTGGCCCCGTCCCCAAAGTGGTTCCAATCCTCAAAACTTCCACCCATGCCTTCAATAACTCCCTCAAAACCTTCAGGACCAGACGACCCCGGGGTGTATGCGGGGGTAACAATGGCAGGGTTCATAGTTGACAGATATAAAACCCCCTCCCGGACACCGCCAAAGCACTGCCCTACCACATCCGGAGACATAGAAGAGCTCTCCCATGGATTGGTGCTTGGGGGAGTAGGAAGTTGTTCGTTTGCATTCCCTTCCTTTAGCTGAGATTTAGAATTCGGGGTAGGTTTTCCGCCCGGCGTCTTGGCGTTAGACAATTGTGGTGTCTTGAGTGCAGCTGGAGACCTTGCAGGAGCAGGAGTGAGCCCGGAACCTCTATTAATGGGCGTTGTGCTAAGAAGCGGTGTTGATCCGGGCTTGATCTGCGGCGTTGAAGCAGCTTTCGTCGGCATATCATCCTTCATGATCTCATCAGGTCTTCCTTTGGGCTTTCCATCGCTATCGAGACATAAAGCTTCCCGGGCCGAACTCAAAAGGTAACCTAGTGGGTTCTCTATCTTATGCTTGTTCCTTCTCTCTTCCTCCACTAATCTTTGCCTTTCCCTTTCATGCCACTTCTGGTGCTCCTCCAGCTCTTCCTTTGTTTCGAATTCCTTCACACCACTACCGCAATTCACCAGGGGACATTTGTGAAGCAACTTCGGGGCCTCTTTCACCTTTATGGCCTCTGGCTCAACCTCCCGCTGTCTCTTCTTTCGGATAGGAAGCTTCAGATCTTCAGGACCAAACTTTCCTGGAATCATTGTCGGCGGGCTTCCGTCTGGTGACATTGATCCTAGTGGATTGGCTTGCCCGGTTATTTGTTGGGTTTTCTGCGATTGAATAGATCGCGATCTTTCTAGCGCTAACTTTTGGGTGTGTTGCTCAAGATTGCTAGCACTAAGGGGGTTTGGCGGGGACTGGGGGTTAGGAACCTGAAGCTGTGCCCGGCCCTGCATTTGTGGCTGAGGATGAGCTGGCTGCTGCTGTTGCTGCTGGGCCTGCTGCTGGGCCTGCTGCTGGGCCTGCTGCTGGGCCTGCTGTTGCTGCCTTTGCTGCTGCTGCTGAGCCTGCTGCTGCCTTTGCTGCTGCTGCAACTGTTGCTGTTGCTGTAACTGCTGCTGTTGTTGGAGTTGTTGAAGCTGCAGTTGCTGAGCGTGTTGCTGGGCCTGCTGTTGGGCCTGTTGTTGGGCCTGCTGTTGGGCCTGCTGTTGAGCTTGCTGTTGAGCTTGCTGGCTTGCTGTTGAGCTTGCTGTTGAGCTTGCTGTTGAGCTTGCTGTTGTTGTTGGGCCTGTTGAGCCAGCTGGGCCTGTTGCTGTTGAGGAGTAGATATACGAGGTCCAGGTCCGGTAAGCGTCAAATTAGGAATAGGAATAGTAAATCTATGTGCCTCGATTTGAAGATCCTTTGCCTTTTTCTCGTCCCTGCTCACCAATTGTGCCATGTTCTGTTTCACGAAACCAAAACACTTAGCCAAAGACGCCCTCGCTTCGGCCAGTTGTGCCATGTTGATGGTAAAAGCTTCTTTAGGCTCCCCGTTTTGTTGATATTGCGATGTAAGCAAGTTTTTCTAGGCGATATATTAGTTAAAAGAAGACACATGACCAAGATCAGCGGAAAATACCGTTTTTATCAGCGACCTCGTGTCAACAGCTTTTCCACCCAACAAAACAAACATCGGCAACAACTGCGTCATACGCTGTATCATGCTCTTTGTATTTACTTCACACAGCTGCTGGCGAAGGCGTTCCTTCTCCTCTTTCTGAAGTGCTAGTATCGGCCGGCCCTCGTGACTACCCCTTTCATCCATGAGCATTTTGGTAAGATTGGCGATCATAGTTTTCTGTTCCATAGCATGCTTCGCATCTAACTGCTGTTGATCAGGATTCTGTTTCACAGTGGGAGATTGCTGTGTTGACGAAGGGGCAGCGTTTGGTCTCTGTCCCTGTACTGCCGGGTTTGCAAACTGTGACTGCTGGGGAGACTGCTGGACTGTACGTGCAACAGGAAGTTGTTGGTTGGTCTGTTGCGGCGCCGGTCGTTGATCAAGAAGAACAACTTCTTCGCTCGTATCCCTTTCCCTTTTCAACTTCTTTGCAGCCGACGGCGAGTCAGAACCGGCTGATTGCATAGGTCGAGCAACAGCAGGCGGCTGTGGAGCAGGCGCCTGGGGAGCAGCATTCTGCTGCGCTGCCGCCGCCCTTTGTGCCATCATCCTACGTTCCTGATGTTGTCTGATGGCAAAAAGCTGTTGGCTTTGCTGAGGGTTAAGTTTTCCTTGCTGAGCTAATATTTGGAGTTGTTGAAATTGGGCCATCGTCATACCGGCAAGTGGGTGCTGGACAGGAGTTTGGCCCGCTGGATGTGGGGCAGAAGGCTTCTGCGCAACAGCTGGAACAGTGGGGGCGCCCTGGGATTGGGGAGGCTGAGATATAGGAAGCTGCTGCTGTTGCTGCTGCTGCTGCTGTTGTTGTTGTTGTTGCTGCTGCTGCTGCTGCTGCTGTTGTTGCTGCCGCATCTGTGCCTGGATGTGGGCTTGCATCTGAGCCTGTTGCGCCTGGATTTGCTGCTGCACGTGTTGTTTCTGCGCTTGTTGCTGCTGCTGCTGGAGCTGTTGCTGTTGGAGCTGCTGTTGCTGAAGTTGTTGAAGTTGGAACTGAGCGTGTTGAGCTTGCTGGGCTTGTTGAGCCTGCTGCTGCTGAGCCTGCTGTGGGACCTGCTGCTGGCCTGGCTGCTGCTGAGAAGCGCCTTGAGCCTGCTGCTGCTGTTGTTGTAATCTCTTTACCATCTGGGCTCTGACTATCATCTGGTAGTGCTGAGCTTGCTTCGTCCGTATAGACTCAATATAATGTGGAGGAGCATTGGCCAACGTGAGATAATTTTTGACTTGACCCCATGTTGTGTACTGTGCAGGGATTGAGTTACCTAGCTGTCCTAACATGGGTCTTGGAAACGGCTTAGTATCCATCAGAGCCACCCGCTCATCGGTCAAGACCATATCCGGATTGAGAACTGGTATGCCTGGGACCTTAGCCTGCGCATTTGCTGCAGGCGGAACACCAGTTGGCTGTTGAGCTGGCCCTTGCTGCGCAGGGTTTTGTGCCATTTGTTGCATCTGAGGCTGGGATCCTGGCATTTGTTGAGCAGGTTGGCCTGGTCGTGACATAGCACCGACCGGTGGCTGAAAGTTGGGCTGCTGGGCTTTTCCACCTTCTCGCTTGTTAAGATGTTCCTGATACCTCGCTTTAACAAGTGCAAGTGCTTCGGTGGATTTACCTTCGGGAATAGCTCCTGGACCAACCATGGTAGGCCGCTGCTGGTTCATAAGTGGCTGCATGGGAAACTGCTGTGGATGGCCTGGTTGCTGGGCGGCTGGGTTAGGTGTGCGCTGAAGGCCAGGCGCGTTACCCTGGTTTGGGGACGCACTAGGAGCCTTCGCTGCTTGTCCCACGCCCACACCAACGTTCTGGAGCGTTTGTCCCGGAGAACCTTGAAACTGCGCAGCCTTTTATGGAAAATTGTCAGTTTCTTCAAATTAACGTGCCATTAGGTGACCTGGAAGGAACACACCTGTAAGCGGGCATTTTGCAATGCAGCATTCCGTCTTAGTTGCTCTGCCTGTGCCTGCGCCTGCGCTTGTGTCTGCGGACTAGAATTCCTCATACCAGGACCAGCGGAAAACTGGGGATTGTTTTGTGAGACCGGGACAACTTCATCGCCGGTATCCGCCCTCTGCTTTGCGTCGGCCTGTTGGGCTTGGTAGCTCTCTGCGGTGGTGAGGAGGGATGGATTCCTCATCACTTGCGCTACCCCCCCAGGCATAAGATTGGCGGGCATTGGCCGGGCCTGTTGCCCTGCGGCACCTTGGGCCATCTGCTGTTGTTGTTGCTGCTGTTGCTGCTGTTGCTGCTGTCGATCCTGCAACATTTTCTGCCTATAGAGATTCATGGCCTGCTGCCTCAGAAAAGCCTGGGCCGGTTCCATATTCCACTTTGCGGCAAGCTCTCGGATGTCCGGATTCGGGTTTTGGTTCATATTTGATAACATGGCCGCACCCACTTTCTGGGCTATTGAGGCCATCAAATTACTTATTATGCGATTCTGGTCTGCCAGTTGAGGATTAATTGGGGGGCGCTGCTGCTGCTGTTGCTGCTGCTGCTGCAGCCCAAGCATCATGCCCTGTTGCTGCTGTTGCTGAGCTTGCTGCAACTGCAGCTGCTGCTGTTGTTGCACCTGTTGCTGCTGTTGAATCTGTTGCTGGATCTGTTGTTGCTGGGCCTGTTGCTGCTGAAGCTGCTGAAGCTGCTGCTGCTGCTGGAGGCTGTGGCCCTGCTGCTGCTGGTGAAGTTGCTGGGCTTGTTGGGCTTGCTGTTGCTGGGCCTGCTGCTGACGCTGCTGTAGGATCTGCTGCTGTTGCTGAATGGTCAACTGCTGTCCGTCTGGCATGCCCGGAATCTTTTGCAGAGGATTAAATGGCATCCCTGGCTGGTTGTTTCGCATCTTCAGTTCTTCGGCAGCCATCTGTCTCCGTCTCGATTCCCGGATCTGGAGAAGTTTTGATCGGCACTGTATTCGGTAGTCTTCCTACGAAAAAAAAGGGCAGAAGGAGTTAACAACCGAATCTGACGTCACTATTCTAAAATACGCCCTAAGACGCTTGGGGCGATGATAATCCCGTGAGGAAATAAGCTAGACGGAAGCGTACCTTATCTACTGCTTTATCATATGTTGCCTGTTCGAAGGTTGTTGCGATCTTTATAGCGTGTTCTTGCTCTACGTCGGTCCGTACCAGTCGTAATGACGAGGCGCTGTTTATGTCATGAACTTCTTAGCCCTCACGATCCAGGGAAAACGCAAGAAGAAGAAAGAGAACGAGGATATCCGGGGAGAACAGGTCACACCTCTCCCCCCTCCCTCCAAAGAAAGAGGCAAGAGAGTGCGCCCCCCCCCCCCCCCCCAAACCCCCCCCCCCAAAGCTCCCAAAAAGAAAAAAGAAAAGAAATAGAATGGAATTAATCAAAGGCGCAGCAAAGCGGAAGGGAGAGAAAAAAAAAGAAAGAGAAAGAGAAAAAAAAGTCTATACATTTGAAGGATAGTATTCGCACGCTCGTTAGGCGTCATCTCTTGCTGCCACCCCTGTGGGTTCCATTTCGACTTGAGCTCGTGTAGCACAATCTGCGAGAGCCTACTATTCTCCTGCCCTCCCGGCATTCCCCCTCCTGCTCCTCCGCCGCCCCCAGCTACTCCTCCGCCCATTCTTACGCCGCCAAATCCGCCGGCTCCTTGGCCGTTCATGTGTCGCGTAATGCTTTGTTGCTTCTCCTGCGATCGTCGCCGTTGTCGTCGTTGAACCGACTCAGCTTGTTACAGTGACACTGGAACTTTTTAGTTGTTACTCTTTGGTAATGATATGATATCGTTTTTCTTTTCTCCTCGCGCGCGTCAGAAAAAAATAGTTGTTTAGAAAATAAGGTTGTGAATAATGTTAAAGTGGGAAAACGTTTTGCTGATGGTTTGACTATAGTAGTAGTAGAAGTGACAAAACTCCCTGTAATCAGAGGCAAGCAGTCCAGCAGCAATGAGTGGTCAGTTAGCCCCCAAACACCCCCGTTCTCTTCACACTCAAGCAACTGCAATCCCCACAGAAGCAAACGAACATAAGCCGTTGTTGCGTGAATCCCTTCTCCGTCTTATTCCTTCCTGCGTTGCGTTTCCTTTTGTTCCCCCCAAGTACCCCGTGCTGCGAAAAGCGAATAGTATAGTTAATGGGGGTAGTAGGTGATGTGGGTGGATGGGAAGTTGCAATGCAAAAAAAGTCACCCTAGGTGCCCCGTCGTAGTCAAGTTATAACAGATGGTAGTAGGGAGGGGGGAGCGGTGGGTGGTTATATGGCTGACTGGCTGGGCTGGGCTGGCTGCTGCTGCTGCAGTTGTTTCGCCAGGTTCGAGGATCGGATCGGAGACTAGGGTTGTTGAGGAGGGAGGGTGGGGTGTGTGTGGTGGGTGTGGTGGACAGGTATCGCACAACAGCAGGTACAATTAGGTCACAGGCACTGATCGCTCTGCAGCAAAAAAACGAAGTCCTAAACTGCTTACCTACCCACTTAGGGATGTAGGTCTCGCGAATTCAATGAGAGAGAGGGGGGTCAGGACCGGAATAAACTGGACTGGCACTGGCAGAGGAGAAGAAAAGAAAACAAATGACACTGAGCCCCCGAGGCAATGATACCTATGGCACGTATGTGTATGTACCTACGTAGGGATTGACGGCAATGACACCCACAGCTTGAACAGAGGAAAAGATGAAGTAGAAGCTCTACGCTGCTGTTACTACACACACAAAGGAACGAGAGAAATGGGGGAAAGGCAAGGCAGAAAAGCGAGTGTGAGGTGGGTGAGTGTGAGGTAGTGGTGCCGGTATTAGAGAGTACCTCCCTTCTAGAGATAGAGAGACGCCAGATTGATTTTCGCGGGTAAAGGAGTGTACGTTCAAGTTGTTCACTTTTTCAACGGGAAGGGGATCCCAGAATGAAAGAAAAAAAAGAACAAGAGTCCAGGAGGAGGGAGGTCAGGTCAGCCAGGGAAGGGAAGGGGTGATCAAAAAAAAAAGCCATGACCACCAGTACGTCCTAAGCAGGCCTACAGGCTACAGTAAACTCTGGAGTCTCTACATACAGCATACATGCTCCTACTCCTCCTACTCCAGCTCCCACCTACACATACCTACTTACCTGAGCTACACACAGGTTTCAATCCTTTATTTCACTACTTCCCTGGCGGCCCTGGTCCGTCTATCTGTCTCGTAGACTGCTTGTCTGTGTCCGCCCATCTATCTGGTTGGGAATGCGGAGTGGATGGGGCAGCCACAAAATCCCTGGCCTGGCTATTTCGGTTTCGTCGGGGGGCAGAGGGCAGAGGGGGGTGGAGGTCGCCATCTTACTGGCCCATGTCCGTCTTCGGTAAGTGATCCAAATAACGTCTCCTAGTGACATCCTGGTCCGCTGCCAAACCTGATGCATCCACCAGGGCCCAAAAGATCCGTTAGCGCCACCACCCATCCGTAAGGCGCACTCGCACTCGCTCACTCACAAACTCAACCCCTAGTGCAAGTAGTGTTACAGCGAGCAGCGACTCGACTGTAGATGCTTTGCGGCTCCAACAACCAACTCGGTACAATCAATAGGCATACCGCCTGGGTGACCTTCCCTCCAGCTACCCTGACAGACAGACAGCTACGTAGGTAGTGGTGACCCTCTGGCTGATCATGACGGGGGAACAGAAATAAAAGAAAGGGAAAAAAAAAAGCAAGAAGAGCAAATAATAAAATAAAAATATCTGATTTGCTTCGCACCACTCAACCTTCTCTTCTCTCCCAATCAGGACTGCTAATAGCAGATCATTGTTTGGCACCCGCGCCGTAGAAAAGAGTAAACTGGCACGCGCATCGCGCACACTCCCCCTACCTTGGGGTAAAAGCCCTTTTTTCTTTTTTTTCCTTTTTTTTATCTTTTTTTTATCTTTTTTGGGGGGGGAACGCCAGTGCCAGTATTATGGTGGTGGTGGTCGTCTTGTCTCGTCTCGCCCTCCCCTACCTAACCTGCCAGCCAGATCCCATAGATCCTGTTGAGCACTGATCATCTTTGTGATTTGATTTTCTTTCCCTTCTTCGGGATATGGGGTAGGGGAGGGAAGGGAAGGGAAGGGAAGGGAAGGGAGGGAAGGGAAAGGTCCTAATAACGGCGGCGGCGGCGCGCGCGCGGTACGGTACGGTGGTTATGACCAGAAGAAATATCTCCGGGTTTGACATAAAACTGGTGATGGTTAGACAAGACAGACGGATGGCCAGGATGGGATGGTCATGGCACACACACACACAGACAGACGAGTAATCGATTGATCCGGTTGTTATTTCGACTCTTCTTTTCGAAAAAAAGAGCGCGCACAGGAAATGGAGTCAACCTAGATCCTGGAGAGAACTCTTTTCTGGAGGATTGAAGAGAGATCACTCATAGAGTAGGTTCTCTACTACCTATTGTAGTAGCAATCATAGACGCATTCCTCCTACGCCTTTGAGAACACACATTCACACATTCACTCACTCGCCCAAGGCACCCATCCCATCCCATTCCCAATTCTCGCCCATCCCATCCCATTCCCCCAGTCAGTCAGTTCGGTCAGTTCAGTCAGTCACCTCTGTAGAACTCCCTCCTCCTCTCCATAGCCAATATCCCCATCTCCCCACCAAAACCGGGCGCAACCAACCACCTCCGTCAGTCCCTCCAGTTCACTCACTCACTCACACTTCACTCACACTCACTTCTTGACCCAGACCTAACCAGGCATGGGTACATACCCGTCCGTAGAGTACATGTAGCTACAGTAGGCCAAACTGGGTTTGGGGGGGGCGTGGACTTGACACATCCGGCCCACCTACTCTACCACTCATCCACAAGGCACCCTCTCTTACTCTTGCGTAGGAATATAACTTACAGAAATAAAAACAAACCCTAACCCACTAATCAACGTGCGCTGCGCGGAAGAGGGAGTTGGTGATATTGGCTCCAGCAACCCGTCGTTTGTCACGCGATCGCACGGCGGGCGATACACGTATCGATGTGCAGTTACATAGCCAGAAAAAAATATGTGACTGACCCAAGTCTACCTATGCTGCCTAGCTACGCTGTCTACGCTACAGAGAGAGGGAGGAGATAGCACGTGCGGACCATTGACTCGTTCGCTGAGATGATTTGGGGGGTGAGAGGGAGAAAAAAAAAAGTGATGGACGGGCGAGGTCCATCGCAGCCAATTGTGAGAGCGCAAACCCGAAACGCGGTGATGTGGGTGCGTTATCGCCCCATGGCTTGTTGCGATGATATGACGGAGGAGGAGGAGGAGGAGGAGGGTGGAAGAGCGAACTGACTGAGCGGAGATTAGGGTGGGATGGGAACAAGGTAGCGGTTACTCATCCAGCGGTGCTCTTCTCTCTACTCAGGCAAGGATGGAAAGGAAGGGAACGCCTGCCAGCTGAGGGAATCATGGTCATGATTCGGAATAGGGTTTGAACCTTGGGTAAAATGTGGTGGTGGTGGATAGTGGGGGATTGATGATTGAGGTGCGTTGCCAGGATTGGGGGGATTGCATAAATAGATGCATAGATGAGATTAGATTAGATGGATTGCATCGTGGGATATCTGCATCGCGCATCCGCAGGATCTACGACGAGCTAGATCTATGCAGTTCGGATTCTTATATTCTCATGAGAGATAGATGGACAGGGGGCTACACTGCAATATTGGGGGGCCGGAATGCTCTAGGGTAGTGATGGGGATATATACGGGCAGCACCGTAAGTACAGTACCAGCAGCGTAGCTACATACATGATGTAGCTAGAGACTAAGCGCCCATCTAAATACTCTCTTCTCGTACGCAACACAGAACCAGCCAGCCCTGGTCATGAGTATCATCACCATCATCATCATCATCACTACCACCTCATATTCCCCATCCCATCCCAACTCTACACAGACACCCTACACAGACGCCCCCCACACGTCACACCCTCTGTCCAATATCCCACCGCACTCGTAGCAGCAAGCAGCACGTGCCCTCGCACCCTCACAGGGCATCACTCGGTCCACAGCCTTCTCTTCTCATCCCACCCCACCCCCTCTGCCCTACCACTACTGCTACTACCACCGCCTCACCCCCTTAGCGCGCAGTGGCACAGACAGCCTCCAACCCTCCCCCTCCCCCCTCCCCCGCTACGCTACCCGCGCGGAACACCCCGGCTAAACCATACACGTGCACGCCCTGCTTGGTTGGCGAAACGAAACCTTGCGCGCCGTTTGGGAGCGAAAGCTTATTTAGCCGGGTCTGTGTTTTTCACCGGTGGGTTGGCTGTGACGTGACTCTCGCTAGTTGTACCTATATACTGTACCTACTGTGTTCTGTGTAAATGGTAGAACAGAAGCGGAATACCCAAGAGAAGAGAAGCTCTGTAGAGGTATGTAGAGAAGAGTAAAAAAAAAAAACCTACGTGGAACCACTCCACCGCCGTGATAGCGGGCCCGCTTCAAGGCAAGGAAAGACAGCATGGCGCCGGATGAATTGGAAGAAACGAGCTGTCTGTTCCAGAGGCTTAATTCTGGACCAATACTAGTCTCTACCTCTCTCCCCGTCGAAAACAAAGGCTATGGTAGCTAATAGGGAGGCTTCAACCCGTAGAGTAGGGCCAGAGTAGAGTACTCTGGGGACCCTGTGCATGGAAGACTCCTCACTAGCTACAACTCCAATTCGCCGTTTCGAACCCCGACGGAAACAATAGAACTAGAGTACTCTAGATGCACAATATCGATGCATACTGCGCGCCATACATTGAAACCCCTTCTTCTCGCAAAAAGCAAAATTCCCGTGATGAGCAGGATACATGTAACTGCCCTCTGCGCTCCGCATGCAGCAGCGGCCATAGCGGTATTCTCTGACACTGGTTGGCCGCTGGTTTTTCACCATCGTTGATCCAACGTTTGAGAACCGCTGGTAGTGGTGGTGGTGGTGGTGCTAGAACAATGGATGGATGGTTGTAATGCGTAATTGGGGAGTGGTGAGGTGGAGAAGGGGGCAGACGCGCGAGTGATATGTTATGATCTACAACCCCCGTTTCCTTCCAACGCAGCCCACCCGCGCGCCTCCCCTCTTCGATCCGTAGCAAGAAAAAAATAAAGGAAGGGGAAAAAGGAAGGAAAAAGCAAACCTCCGACCACCACCACACCTTCCCGAACCAGTAATCACGCCCCATGCCCATCCATCCCATCCTCCGAGACAAACATGTTCCAAGACAGAGTCAGAGACACAATCCATACACTCCATAATCTAAACACACAAAAAAACAAAACAAAACAAAAGAATAGGTACATGTGTAGATAGGGAAATCTAGAATGTGTGCGTGAGTATAGGATGGTCTAGGCGTCAACGTCCCGGAGAATTCTCTTGAGCGAGGCTAGAGGGGTGCAGTGGCGCTCGGACATTGAGGAGGCAGTGGTGGTGGAGAAAAGAACGGGGGGGTCTAGAATTCTGAACCGGGGGTTTGGGTGCATGTTGGGCATGGGGTGGGAGATTGGGTTTTGGGGATAGGAGATTGGGGATCTTGACGAGTTAAGAGTGAATGGAGGGGTTTATCTTATTTTTAGATGTTTCTTAATCTCTGGGACGGATTGTGGGCTGTGAGTGTGAGGCATGGGCCGTCACTCGGCTGGTCTAGGTGTATGTATCATGCGTGGTCACTTATGGCGCTGGGAGCTGTAAAACAAGCCGTTCGGCCATGTTAAATTGGGCCCTTTGCAGGCTCATGTATAATCACTCGAAACCACAAGAACATGCGTGTAACCGGTTGTATTATATTTACTTTCGCTACAAGTACCTACTCAAAATCCAATAAACCCAGTTCTGACAACTCACTATTCGCTTGAGATGTTCAAACTATAAAGAAACATCTACTCCCAGGTATATCTTCCATCCGCCTGTGCCACGCTCGTCAAAATAACCGACCAAAATGCAGTCACATCACAGCTCCTCGGGATCTTCACAAGAGTCTCAACCAGCTCTCCCGGTGCTCCCAATTGCTCTCCACGAACCTCATTGACCTCCTGGTTTCTGGGCCTCTTGAGCGTCCTTCCGACTTGATCGTCGTCGTTGCACGATACATGCACACGAACTGTCTCAATATCCCACGAAATCTCGTCAGTAGGCAGGATTGCTGCAAGAGCGACTGGGTCATGTAGTGGTGGCCCGTCGGTAATACCAAACACTTCGACATAGGTCTTGGAGAAGAACGTGAGAAGATCGTGGAGCATCTGGCGGAGGTTTGATGGCTTCTTAGTCATGTCGCCGTCGGGGTATAGAAGGGCCTCGAGAATGTGTGGACCAGCGAGGACGGTGTGTGTCAGGTCGAGCGGTGCAAGTGTTATCCTCCCGGAAAGCAGAGGATTCGAGAATATCGATTGGGCGGATTCAGGATCACACTGGGAGTATGGTTAGAAGCTGTCGGATTAAGATAGGGCTGATACATACGTAAATGTTAAACTCAGCGCATTTCGTGATGTTACCCTTTGAGTCGCTACGCTCTCCAAAGGCACCTCCCATAATTGAAACCTCTTTGATATGCCCTACCGTCTCCGGGAACGTCGCGAAGCACAATGCAACATTCGTCAATGTTCCTGTCGCAACGATCACACAAGTGCCTTTTGGCGTCTTCATGATCGCATTGTACATCGCCAACACCGCATTCTCCGGCTGTACCTTGATATCCGCCGGGGGTTTTGGAAGGAGAGTTGTTCCGTCGATACCAGAGTCGCCATGAATATCCGGGGCGTGGACAGCAGGGCGCATAAAGGGTTTGCACGAGCCGGAGTAGACCGGAATATCGGTGCGGCCGATGGCGGTGAGGAGAGAAAGGGTGTTGATTGTTACCTTGGGGATGGAGGCATTCCCGTGAACGGTGGAGATCTGGTAGATTTAGCTACTGCGTTATAAAGAGTGGAATTGGGTATATTTTACCCCCAGGAGATCGAAGCTTGGGTGCTCTGCGGCGAGAATAATGGCAAACGCGTCCTGAATGGTTGATATATGAGTTTTTGTTTCTAATGGGACATTTTACGGCCAGCTAGGGAGTGAATTTGATTGAGATAAGGTGTATATTTACATCGTGACCTGGGGAGGGCAGTATTGTCAGATTATCTCGCAGCAACAAGCTTAAGAGATATGTGCATGGGGGGAACTAACCGGGATCGCAGTCTAGCCAAAGGGGAGTTCTCGTAGTCATGGCGAGAGGGCAATTGCAGAGACAGGTAAGTGTTCAGTATAGTAGAAGCAATTAATGGATGCAATTGTTTACAAGGTCACAGGGGAAGTTGAATTGGACTGAGTGGAGAGGGAAGTAAGATAAGCCAAGAGGGGAGAAGATGCCACGAAGCTGGATAAGGGCGAGTTTAAGTAGATACGGGGATCGATGTATGTAGCTTGGGCAACTCACTCACTCCCACTATCTCTAGATCTCAGCTATCTATTCTACAGTTTCCCCGCACCCAAAACGGTCCTAATCCTCTTCCCTTCCGGTGGGGTCATAATTCTGTGTGTATGGATGAGGTCGGACATGCGCCTATCAGGTTTGTTTCATCTGCAGAATCCCTGGACTCACTCGCTCACTCAGGCAGGGTCCTCTCAGCTTCAGCCCACCGTCTGCACTACTAGACGATCTTGGCCCCACGTGGCTCTGCCCATCACCGACACACACACGGCAGCAGCGACAGCAGCTGAAGGGTGCACGATGAGGAATGCTAGCTGATATGTAAGTAAGCTGGGCGTGTGATGGCGTCTATCGATCACAATTACACTAATTGCACTTCAATACTTAGCTGCGTCACACGTTTTGATCGTTGATACTGCATCCAAAAGTACCTATATATCCAGATAGTTGAAACAAAACACCACAGTAATGTTCGGGGGGAAAACATTCTACAATTGCTCTCTATATCAGAGCCCCAGGGCTTCAAAGCTCCCTTGTAGCACCGTACTACATACAGAACCTTCACATGTATATACATGTGCATCTCCTGCAGGTCCCTTGCCCAACGTTCCACGCCTCCCAAAGGCTGGGCTTTGCAATTATTTACAACCATCCGCCCCGCCCTTACTAATCCTTGCCCCCTTCCCTCACCGGCCCAGCAATTCGGATATCCGCCAGCGATCACGTAAAAGCCCTTCTCTCTCCGTAGCCCTTCTTTGCATCTGCACTACTTGCACTGCAAAAACAATGCTCGGTTACACCTACAAAGACCTCTCGCAAACCGAGAAGCACCACCGCCGCAACGCGCTCGACGCACTCGGCCACCACGTGGTGCTGTCGCAACTGGCGGTTGCGCTGTGCGCATATGTCTACAGGCGGCTCTTTTGCACGCGGCAGAAACGCGGTCAGAAAGGCTTCTTGAGGAGGCTGGAGTGGAGGCTCACGAGGCCATTGTCGTGGGAGGACCCGGAGTCAAGATCGGTGGGGGATTTTGTGGTATGCGTGGGATGGCTGGTGTGGATGCTGTGGTTGGTGCGTAGAGACGCGGGCGACGGTACGTATGCTGCTAGAGTGATAAACAATGATTCTGTTTTTTCTTTCTGGACTCGTACGAGGGGAGACCTGATATTTATTGGGCTTGTTTTTCTTTTCCTTCTACCAAATACGACTGGATTAAAAAAGAAACAATCCCGATACCTGGATAGTTGGTAGAGCGGAAGCTTCCGAAATGGGCATCGACGAGCCGAATTATTAGGCCCCCCAAATGGGCTAAGAGCTAGTTTCACTAGTTGGATGTAAGCCCAAATAGGCTTTCATACAGGCTGTATGCCAAAAATCTCTATCAGTAATTTCGAAAGATCATTTGGGATCTGATCTGATTAGACACCAATTTTACCCGGTAATCATATCAGATCCCAATTGATCTTTGGCTATTGATTGCTCATATCCAAACCTCTTTATTATCTAAAGCCTCGAACTATAATAATAATTATAAAACCCATAAGCTAACAAACCCAACAGACTACCTACACTTTACCAAGGCCTTTGGCATGGCCGCCTCTGCAAACTTCCCAGCCCTTATCCTCCTCTCCATGAAGAGGAGTCCGCTGCGGTACATATTCTCCGTCTCCTATGAGGGCAAAATCAATTATCTCCACCAAGGACTTGCAAAGATAATCTACATGCTCCTCTGTACGCATATGGCCCTGTATCTAAAGTTCTTCTGGGACACAAGCCGCATGAAGACGCGTCTACTCGAGTTTGACGTCATGTGTGGTGTTGTTGGGTTCGTTTCCATGGTAGGTCACGCATTGTCAATGATAGCTGGGTTGATCATACTGTCCATGATAGAATTTCTAATTAACTCTACGCAGACTGTTCTAAGTACACTGGCATACCCGTGGGCGCGAACCCACTACTATCGGGTCTTCCTCATCTCTCACATTGTTCTCTCGGCCGTCCTTCTCCCCCTATTCTACCTCCACGTCACCCATCTCCGCACTTACATCCTGATTACTGCATCTCTCCTTATCTATGACCGTGTCCACCGGTACATCGGAACCATCCCCGTTACCGCCACAATAACTCTCCCCACACCCTCCACCCTCCATATGACACTGACACTCCCCGCAACCTCCCGCCACGCCCCCACCCCCGTCTCCCATCTCATTCTATACATCCCCAGAATCACCACCCGCCTCGCCTCAAACCCGTTCACTGTCGCCTCCTCAGCTCCAACCTCCCTAACCATCATTTCCCGTGTCCGCAGTACCACCACAAAACACCTTGCCACCCTCGCCGCCGACAAGACGCTACAGCTGCCCGCGCACATCGACGCCTTCTACGGCGACAGCCCTTCCCTCGCCACGCTCGCGGATAACTTCGACCGTGTCGTTGTTATCGCAGGTGGAGTCGGCGGGGCATGGGCCGTACCGTGGGTGCGGCATCTGGCACGTGAGGGCGCGCTCGAGAGGTGTGTGTTTGTGTGGGCTGTAAGGAGCATCGGGGACGTACAGTGGGCAGTGGAAAGCGAAGGTACGCAGGGAAGGGTTGTGGCAGGTAAGGTGGAACTATTCGTGACGGGTGAAAGAGAGGGGGAGGGCGAAGAGGGCGAGGAAGGTGTTGAGATGAGGGATCGGTTGCTCGGAGGATGGGAGGGGAGGGAGGAGGTTATGACACAGGTTACGGCGTGGGGGATCTCGAGGGATAGGGTGTATTTTGAGAGGCCGGATGTGGATATGTTGATCGAAGATGCCGGGAAGGGTGGCAGGAGGAGTGTCGCGGTGTTGGCTTGTGGGCCGTGGGCGTTGGGGGCGAGGGTGAGGAGAGTAGTTGGGGAGAAGGTGCTGAGAGGAGATGCGGCCTGGGTACACGTCGAGGAATTTGCGAGGTAGGCCTTGATGGCTTGTTTGTTTGTTTGTTATTATAGAGTTTCATTTTTTACATTTTTTACATTTTTTCATTGGCTTCTTTTAGATAGTTGAATTAGTTAAAATAGTAAGTGGGTTTTAATAATCAATTTATATATCATTCGCTTGCACATGAACCATTGTCCTTAATTGTAGTTGGGTGTTTTTCGCTTTGAGTGCAGTTACAAATAATGACTTGGGCCATGGTCGCTGGTTTGGTGTGCGAGCGATAATGGATCGTTCGTGAGGGGTTATGTATTTTGAACTTATTGTTTTTGGCCTACTTCAACAGTTTGGCTTAGTTGCAATTGGATTACTTAGCTTTAATTATCTCCTTGAGTAGAATTCGTTCTAGTTGAAATATTGTCGTGTGGACCTTTGAGTATAAATAGATAAATAATGACTTGTGCGCCATGATCGTTCGTAGGGCGTTGAGTGTTTTTATAGTATATAGGATTTGAAGTAAATCATTTTTAGTCTTTTTCAGGTGGTCGCGAATTAGTTTAGACCATTCCTCTTTTTGTCTATTAGAGTGCTCGAATCACAGTTTATCACTCGTGGACTAGTGCCGCCTCCGACAAGCCTTTTTTCTAACGATAACCCCGCAACACCACAAATGTCAACAAAGCCCTAGGTTTCATGGCTGAAACTGTGAAATAAAGGGAAAGAAAATAAGTTCAGCTTCAGGGTGTTCTTTCTCTAATTTTCTGATATCCTTCACTCCACCTCTGGGGGCTGCACTCAAAGAGGAAGGTTGGCTGCCATTGACTGGATAAACTACCTAATACACCCCCTAGAACACCAGTTATGAATCATGGAGTTTTCCAAATGATCTTGACAGATGTAAATCATTAAATTTACAACTGTCATTGTTTTTTATTATATATTAATAGTAAATTTGTGAGATCTTTATTGTACTTACTGATTGCCAATAATCCTATGTAACACTAACACTGACGTTACGCAGTTGACCGTAGTTACTACGGTGATCAGTTCATTGTTTACACTGTATGGAACGCTGTAGACTCTACGGTATTCTTTTCACCGTTTATGTTATACTGTAGACCGTAGTAACTACGGTCTACTTCTGATTGCTTACATTGTATGCAACAACATAGGCTCTGTGATGTTATTTTCACTGTTGGTGTAGTATGGAACACTGTAGTCTCTACAGTGTTGAATTAGTTAGAGTTAGTTAGTTAGAGCTAGTCAGAGTTAGGTTTTTGATGCATGTGCTGGTTGCCATACATGACACCCTAGATATATATGAGAAAACGCAGTCGCATTTTACTCTTTCGCCGTTTGTTTAATTGCGTTTTGAGTATGGTTAGCGAAATAATGACTTCAGTTTTTCGTGAGACATTAAGTGCATGTTCCTACGTGGGCGATAAATGGGCAAATATTAGTTAGTTCAATTGCATTTAGTCATATTAGTTGACTTTTGTTTTGTTATTCGGTAAAAAAATAATTTCGTTTTGAGTATAATTCGAGATCATGGCTTACATCATGACCTATGTTTTGTCGTGTGTGTGAAGGCCGATAACTAGCCGGATGTTGAGAATCAACCAGTGATCGATCATAATTTTGGAGGAGGAACATGTTGTGGAGGTGGTGGTGGTGTGGGCATGGTAATGGGGACGAGGGTGGTGTGAGAGAAGGTGCTGGGAGAGGGCGCGGCGGAACCAGTCTGGTCATTTTGCGAGGAAATTTGAGTATATTGCTATTTATATATACAGCCACTCTGCAAAAGTGTTCGTGATTCCGAGACATTTCTCCATATGTAACCGCGGCGGGCCATCAAGAACCCCCAAGAGAAGACCTTCCCAGTGACCAATGGCGCCCAAGTTAATGAAGAATAAGATCAATGACCTATCCTATTTTTATATATAGTCACGAACTATATTATATATTTCTCGTTGTTTTGAATCTCAGCTTTAATAACATCAGTATTACGGGTGCGCCACACTGCGCACCGACATTAAAACTATATCACGAACACTTTTGCTGAGTGGCTGTATGTTTCCAGTATGATTGTTTTATAGTTGAATTGATTACATGAGTTTAAATCTGTGCGCTGGATCAAAGGAAACACAGGCTGGGCACGAGACTAAGGACCTTTCCGTATTGTACCTGGGTTCCCGTCACACTACATCACTCGAAGCACAAACTCAACCCTAGCCCCTGCTAGCTACCAGCTAGCCCACCAAACAGAGTTCTCCCAGCTACAATCCCATAGCACGTGTAAATGTCTACAGGATCTTTCCTAGCCCTCTTCTTTCTATATACCGGAAGGCTAAGATATCATATCTCCGCCTCCCATTGTCGGGGCCGCGGGCTCGGGGGACTACTATCGGAGCTCGTATTTACGGGCGTAGCCGGTCACTCACCTTCATAAAGATAGGAAGCCTTCTTACAAGGGACAGTAAGTCCACGGGCGTAAAAATGTAAACGCCTTCTCCACCGATCTCTTACCAGTCGCCCCCAGTGCCCCTTTATCGGTCCGAATACTGAGCTGCCTCGTTAATGTTTGGGGTGCCTTGGTGCGGATATAGCGGAGTTTAAGGAGGAGTTCCGCACCTCGCGCCATTAAACAGTCTCTATATAGATTTAGATGGCTTGTACTTACCATGAATATCGAGCAAAGGCCCAGAGAACTGGAATCGAGAAGCGCCATTAGTAGGTCATAGCACTTTGTAGAGAGTTTGTTCTCTTAAGTTAATATCCAGGGTCTGATGGTATGGGCCCATGGTGCGAATTTGAGATTGGGGATGGGCGTGGGATAGTTGACTGAGGGGCTTGACGGTAATGACTAGAATGTCCTAATGCTCTATTTCCTCAAGACCTCAAATCTCTGTTGGAATAGTCGTTGACTACTCATATATTATCCTATCTTATTGTCCCTTGTTGTCTTATTTCTTTGGCTTGCTGAACTGCGTCCTTTTCACTTCTGCCTTGTAATACACTGAATATCATTCTCATTAGTCACGACAACAATCTCTACATAGACTCCTCAGATCCATTATCCCCTCGCACGTTGACCAGAGCGATAAAGAATCTGGCAGAGAGTCCCAGCGGGCCTCTCACCTGGAGATGGAAAGCCCTCTAACCTGTAGTTCGTTGATCTGTGGAAGTCAAGACGTGAGATACATTTCTTCCCCGCTTCAACAAACCCTATCTAATCCCACCCCGCATTAACACATATGCTAACCAGCTACGCCATTGTATGTCTACACTCACGTTAGTATTTAGGGCGTCTTGATCTCCATACATGGAGTCTATTGGCAGGGTTCTTGGAGGCGAAATCTACACCTACCTTACCCACTTCTACAGATCTACATACCTGACATGCGCTCGCCTTGCATGTCGACTAAAAACACTTGGAGAGTATTTACTAAGGATGAACTGTTATGACTGGTGCGGGGTTTACTGTACAAAAACCATTAGGAACATGTGGATACTATCGAATACTTGGATAAGGACGCTGACTAGACCCGTTGTGCATTGGTGTTGGAGCTTCACATGTTTAGGGTGAGGTTGGTATGGGAGTGGAATGTGCATCAACTTCCTTAGCTGGAGGTGTGAAGATTAGTGGTTAAGTGATTGCACTCCATTCTCAGGCGTGTGTGAAGTGCATGCAAAGAGTGGTGAGATGGGCAAAGCGTAGTTGCAGTAGGATGGATCATCAACCTCCCTCACAAATCTTAACTCGCCCAACCAGCCGGGCACTAAAGCTCTCCAGAATGCGCCGATCCATCGCACCACCAATTGCAAAGAAAGACGTAAGATAAAAGAAAAAACGCATCGAACTTACGGTCTCCATCACAGCACCCCACCACCCGGGGAGGCCGGGGGTCAAAACACCGCAAAACCTCATCTCACGACCTCCCTCGGAGCCAATAACTACAGGCAAAACTACATCTGCAATGCAATACCCATCATCCGGATCCAAATCCACCGACAGGTAAGATACCGGAACCCACGAAAACGATGAAGATGCAAACCCCGCACTATGTATCTCGACAAAATCTTCAAGATGATGAATTCTTTCTTTCCCGACTGAGCTAAAACAGGCAGCAGCAGCGGGGTTGGTCGTGGTATCGTATCCTATTCGTGAATAGGCAGAGAAATTGTCGTATGCCGGATAAGAAACGTACATGCATGGTACATGCACATATGCCATGCGAGGATCACCCGCTTAGAGTGTGTTTGTCGTGTTTGAGGTGCTTGAGTCATGATATTGATATCATGTATCTCTCTATCTCATGTGGCTTGTGAAAGCCCAAGACCATGCTATCTTACGAAACAACTCGGGGACGCTGAGGAGGTTACGGTACCGTGTAAACAATCCAACTACCCACGGCTAAAGCATGTTCTCGACGAACAACCCGCTACAGGCAAGGCATTACTCGTGAAGATCTCCACGACAGCCAATTCACAAGGTTGATCATAAATTATCACAACTTCACAACAACGGCACTTCACAACCCATCACTCGCCAAACCATCCATAGTACCTCAGTAACCAGTGAGGGTCGCTTACATAACAGCTCATTAGTTAGTTACCGCCTCAACCGCACACCACCGGCGCTAACACTTCTCCCCACAAACCAAACCTGGGCCCCAGAATGCAGATCTCTAAAGGCTGGGTGAGGACTCGGAAGGGTAGCGGTGGGTTAGGTGTTCCCCTGTCAACTATCCACAGCAGCCCAGACAAGGCCAGGCCCGTGCGTCTATCAATCTGTCTGGTTCCCCGCCGGCGCCGATGCATTCGCTGAGAACCTATCCCCCACAGAGTGCGAGCCATGGCACGCATAAACACCAACAACTTTCTTTCGCCAGACTCCAGACTGTACATTCCAGACTGCACACTCCAGACTCTCGACTCCAGACTCTGGACAAAAACAAAGGTCCCTCTGCACCCAGACTTTCCAACAAACCAAGATGCGCAATCGCTCCAGAACCGCACCTTGAGAATCTAGCCCTGAACCACCTGTCAGAACCAAATTAACGCAACCCACACACCTGCCCACCTGCCCACCTGCACACCACCTGCACACGTGACTGTTCTGGCAGTAAAACGGGGGCCGAGAGCCTAATCCTAATAAATTTACACCTAGTAATTGAGTGGAAAAGTCCGTGGTCGAGAATTTTAGCGAGTGTTTCTCCGAAATTGCGACAGAGATGATCGTCCACCTACACCCAGCAGAGTAAGAATTGTGAATGGCCAAGGCTGTCAAATTGGGGTTTTGCCAAGAACACCTTATTAGCGTTGCTAGGGTCGAGAACTACTCGTGTTTTCACAGCGTTTGTGAACACAACCGGCATTACATACACACAAAAAATAGCCCAGACAACCTTTTTGTATGGCATGCAATAGCGGTGGTGTTCACAAACGCTATGAATAGACGAGTACTAAGGAGCATGGTGATTGAACATGGTGATTGAGCACTGAACAGGAGTGAGCTCTAGTTGAGGCTCTGAAGCTCTGAGGCTCTGAGGCTCTGGGTCTGGGGTGCATGAAGATTTTAAAGTCAACGATAGATGTCTAGAGACTTGAGGGCTAGAATTTAGAGTTTCGCTCGACTGTTCTGCTGCTCTCTAGCTCAGACTCGCTTGAGGTTCCTGCTCGGTTTATCCCTTGGTCTGTTCCCGCGAATCACGACGATTGTTTAAAGCACTACTCGATTGAGGATTTTTGCGTGACGAGTGGAGACAATTTTGCACCGCCGACAGCCGCTTTCAGCTAGACAGTAGATTTTGTGTGGTGAGCCACGAATTGCCACAAGTCCTGAATACAGACGAAAGGATCTTGCTGTCAACTTAAGGTTAGGTTTGCACATCAATCACAATTCTGAAGATGTCACGTTTTGATCAATTGAGGCACCAGTTTTGTAATGGTAAACAAAGATAAAGTTTAATTTGAAGTAAAATAGAACGAATGATATGCAGCTAATAGTTCCAAGGGTACAAGTATACAGTTTTTTTTATTATCAAAAAATGCTCCCCAAAAACGCCAAACCAAGAAGTGAAAATAAAAATAAAAAGATAAACTTTTATCGAAACAAAAAGAAGTCTATCACCAAGAATGAAGCAGCACATCCCCAAGTACTGCTCTGTGGTCGCTGGCATAAACACCATCGTCAAATCGACTCTCTAGCACGCCATAGTCCTCCACCGTCCATGGCGCATCCCCCATCATCACCCCTCCTCTCTCAATCTTTTTCCCCATCCCGCTCAAGAAGAGGAAATCGATCCTCTTCGGTCCCACATCCTCCTCGTACCCAAACCCTGTGAATGTGTTTTCGTGCCCATATCTCAACCGCTCATCCAAATAATCCCTCAAGTCCGACACGGGTGATCCCGAGGCATTCAGCACCGAGTAAGCCTCCTCGTTCGGCTCGGAGTTGAAATCCCCCGCAAGGAAGGTGGGGAAGGCCGCCTTCTCGACTTGCGCAATAATCATTTTTGCCGCGTTTTTACGCGAGACCGAGCCCTGGTCGTCGAGATGGGTGTTCATAGCCATCACTGAGGTGCCCGTCTCATTGTTTGTAAACTCGCCAATGGTCAGGACGCGGATACTCGCTGCATCCCAGCTCTTTGACGGTACTGTTGGTGTCTCAGACAGCCAAATTGTTTTCCAGAAATTGAGCCTCCAGACCTTGGGGCGATATAGGATGGGCGCGTATTCGCCGGCCTCGGCACCATCGTCCCGGCCGACCCCTATGTACGCCCACTCACCAGGAGTGGTAGCATTGAGGGAGCCGAGAATGTCGAGGAGCTGCGAGTGGAGGACTTCTTGCAGGCAAATGAATGAGGCAGGAATGTAGCGAGTGTGTAGCTTGAGCGAGTTGACCACGTATGGGAGTCGAACAGGCCACTTTTCCTCACCACGGAATGGGCTGGTGGTGGCATAACGGATGTTATGGGTGATAAGACGGATTGGTACGTCTGAGGAAGAAGTCCCTGATATTTGCATATTGCGAATCTGACAAATGGATAATGTAGTTCGGTGCAGTGTGGTGGAGGATTGTTTGTTGTTGCGGGGGAGGGTGGGTTGTTGTGAATTATGGAGGGATATATAGGTATGGTTGTTGAGTAATTAACAACCGATACGGATCCGAATAAATGAGTGTTTTCCACCATCCATGGGCCAAGCTTTTACTTGGACTGTCAAAAAAGTGTTACAGTTACAATAAATATTGCTTCAATCATCGGAATCCTCCAACTCTGTAGTAGAGATGTCTGGATTTCTCGAGAGCCTCCTCTTGTAACTTCATCCTGGCCTCAGTCTTTTTGAATGCTTTGCGTTCAAGGTGCTTGTCCGGGGTGCATGCGAGAATAAACAATCCAAAGATAGACATTTTTATTGGGTGGTTGAGTGTTTGCTGAGGAATTAGAATTGTTTGTAATTGGAATTGTTTGCAATTGATCTGGCGGATGGCTGATGATGAGTGTGGGGATGTGAAGTTGAGAATGGAACTCGGGGGAGGTATATGGCATTTATGGATTCTTCTTCTTCTAGGCCCCTCTGTGAGAATAAGCTCGAACCGGATATGTAATACGATTCGAGAGTCGCATATCCGGCGGGGGCGCGCGGGCCAACGGTGTTGGATGGGCCGAAAGCGGTCGCGGTCGGGGTTAACTAACAAACTATGCACGATTGATAATTGACGATCCAATGGATACGGCCTTCAACCAACCCAACCTCCATTCTGCGCATGTTTCTGCATTATTCCCCCTCTCTTCTAACTTCCCCACTTCTTCCTTCACAAGAAGAAGTCTATCGGTCAATGTTGAAGTCTCAAACGACGCAGGGCGTCCAGAGCCTCAGGCACAAAGTCATCATAACGCTACTAACAGGGGCTTGTAGACCACTGGATTCTGATGAATCTCCAATCTCTTCATCGTGTTCTTTTCTTTTTTTTTCGAGGCCCCCAGCACAGCCGGAGGTGTTTGACATCCACCTTTTCCCCAATGACCTAGAACCCCGAGATGATACTCTATCTCCAAAAGGTATGGTGGTGTGGGCCCTGAATACGATTCAGACCACCCTGTGCAACGTGCAGACACACGATCTTTGGGCTAGACGCACCCTGACGTGGGTTGTGTTGGCCAGCCAAAGAACTGACGACTCGAGAGACTAAGCGAAGAAGACGCCAGGCGCATCCTGGGCACACTCCGTACATGGTCGGAACATCGAAGCGGAAGATGCTGCTTTGGATCAATTGTCCAATGTCTAAGAAAATATCTGGATGTTTCACCATGCAGTCATATTTAGAAGAGCGACCTGGGGGCAAATAGTAAAGTCCCCAGATACACTACTCGTAGGTAGAGAGCAATGGGCACCACTGATGTCATGACTCAATATTCGTCTTCTGAAGAGAGTTCTGTGCGCACAAAATCTCTCTCCCAAAACAGTACTCAGCATACGGCTGCTTATGTGCTTTAAACATCGTGACGCAAAAGCAACTTGGAGCCTATGGAACAACACCCATTCGTGCCTAAATAGATATGTAAGCCATCGAAATATGCCATGCACGTTAATCAGAATTTTTCCCTCATCCCGAATGGATTATCTTCGTCAACTTAGCCGAAACGTCCGAATAGCGGTTTAGGGTTCGGAGTTTACGCTGGTTGGTTGCCGGACCCGACCGTTTTATTTGTATCGATCATGGTTTATCATTCGGCGCATTCGACGCGCAGATATATCATTAATTGTGCCCTGAATTATGCCCTGGAGCGTTTCCGAACCACAATCCATCCCGATATAATAGATGACGACAAGATCCAGGTGCCTGCGTTTGTGTGGGCCAGTAAAAGTCTTTGTGCGTAGTAATTCGTACTCAGGTGCGTACGGTACGTATGAATTGTACAGTATAAACAGCCTACCAAAGTTCAGGGCCCAATCGTAGCATTCTTCCAGAAGCCCCAAAGAGCCTCTCTCGTCTATTACCTGGTACCAGGTGCCTGGGTGGTACTACGAAAAGAATAAGATTTGGCCAGTATCTGCCCAAATGCTGGTACCGATCTACGAGGCTGAGCCTCTGTGCCCGAATGAAGGCCCTTATTCAAAACGTTAGTCCTGCCTTGTGCATTGCAACGGTTCCAAATGGAGCATTAATGTGCATCTTTTCGTCTGATGTTCTTACAGGATAGTACCAACCTCCTTGTTTCAAATTCCCCGATTTGCTTCCCCTCACTCCATCTCTCTACACAGCCCTCCTTTATCGTATGGTCAGTCGCTGAGGCTCTTCGGATGCCCCTCCGGTCCCTTCTCGTGGTACTGTTGTTCGTGCAGCTAGTAATGAATGACAGTGGTTTTGAAAAGAAGACCAGAAATTGTTACACAACAAAAACATCTGGTCTTGCGTCATCCTAAGTACTGTGGCTACGAAGCTTTGGCTAGCAAGGTGATACAGGCAGCTACTAAGCTGGACATATACAGGTATGAGAACTTCTCAACAACACTGTGGAATATGAAACACAAGAGTTCTGAAAACACGCACAGGATCGGAACTATAGCTATACCACAGCCTCTACGCGCACACAGCGCGAATTCTGACAGGTTTGCTGTACGCCGCCTGTCTACGTACAACATTGATATCGAAGCTGCAAATACAACAAAGATTTATTCATGGCTGTTCTGTTACACCGTCGTCTGGACCGGTCCAGGCACACTCATCCCTACCGTTTTCCTTTTTCCAAGTCTACTGATGTCCATCGGTACCCCTGCAGCTGCAGTGGAAAAAGGTTTCCTACGGCGGATTTTATTTTATGCTTTTTGAGGCTCTCGTCACAAACTCCTCGAATCATGGTTTCTGGGTGCGCCAAGAATACACTTCAGTGTCTTACAAACGTGCAGTACCGAGAAACGTCAGAACGTCACTTCACTTTCGTACCAAGGTTCCATGCTCTGCCTACATGGTTTCCTCTTTAGTCAGGTAGTTCTAGTGTGCGCAGTAAATAATTATTTGACAGGTACGTCTGTTTCTATTCATAAGCATAAGTAAATACAGCTACACAGCTTGTAGCATAAAAACGCGCAGTGGTGCACGTGCACGCCAGCTGGTTGACAATCGATTTGGAATGTTGTACTGACCTACATACTCTGACAGACACCGGTACATGTAAACTCACAACAACAGTAGAGGCAGAGGCAGAGGCAGAGGCAGAGGCAGAGGCAGAGGCAGAGGCAGGAGCAGGAGCAGAAGCAGAAGCAGAAGCAGAAGCAGAAGCAGAAGCAGAAGCAGAAGCAGAAGCAGAAGCAGAAGCAGAAGCAGAAGCAGAAGCACTGCTTCAAACCAGACACTGCAACTAGCTAATTCTCTCTCGTGAGAGGGTAGGTTCAAGCTCTAGCATCTAGCCATACATTATGGCGCAATAAAGGGACAGCACGAAAAAAAAAAAACGCCCGCTGGAGCTGAACATCTAGCTGCACTGCATCAGATCAATGCTATTGTGGCGATAATAGAGAGGGAGGGGATGAAGCTGCTGAATCTGCCGACACCTACCATTATGCGCCTACTACGTCTTTGTCACCGCTACGCTGGCAGTTTCACAATGGGATTGATATTTAGCTAGCTAGCTAGCGACCTTCCATTGTATGTACGTGAAGTACGGCATTGTGCAAGTACAATGATGTAAGGAACTGGTCTTCTAGAGTGAAAAGTCGCTGCATCATGGAAGGTCCATGTTCTGTTATTGCTCAAGATCGACGCATAGGCGCATATCGCGATTCAAAACAAGCCTAAGACAGCATCGATAGGGTGGGGAAATTTTTTTATTTTTTTGCACAGCCTCTATTATTGTTTATTTTTTTTCAGCCGCCATTGGAGGACGATGACCTCGGATGAGAGAGGGAACTCGATGGTGGAGAGGTACACGTTTACGTCGCGTTGATCATTGCAGACAAAGCTCGTAGGTACTGGGGGTCCGGCCCTCAAATACCAACAAATACAATGAAACGAGGTCTCTATTGTTATCTATTATTACACTCGCCAAATCAAACGCAAAGAGAAATATTCGGATAAACTATTAACTGGAGAGCCCGGGGTATCGGAAACATCTTAGCCCTGGTTGAAACAACTCGACGTCCAATTATCGATATGGTAACAATCTTCATTACCATAGACTGAGCTCAGCGCATCTGAAACAGAACCTGCTTTCATAATGCAGGTACCTCATAGGCTGCATATCGGCTTTGCTTTTTATTTTTTTCTTGGTGATATGCCGTCAGCACGGTAGTTAATCTTTTTAAACAAAGTCCAAACAAATGTTTATCCACGGCCACCAGAGAAGGACTTTTTTCCCCTTTACAACTACAAGGCATATCAGTACTTGGGAACTTTGATACGGCTTAATTAACGTACGATTCTAATTTTAAGCCAGGCAGTTCCATCAACCAACGTATTTCTGCATTCCGTGGCTTGGTAGTGGTCACCTTAATATATCAATCTCAGCTGGAGTTGGATTTTTGGGCTAGCGGGGAACGAACACTGAAATTAGACAGAGCAAGAGAAGAATTTTTCTGTCTAGGATTTGTGCTGTAACTGCCCTCGGTATCTCCTTGATACATGTTTGATACTTGTGCGCGCCAGAGGAGAATCGGGCCAGCCAAGTCATGACATATCACCCGCACCAGGGGTCCATACTATAGAAATCACTTTCCTCGAAAAACGGAGGTGGAACACTGCGGGGTACGCCTTTTGCCCCTAAAACGAGCAGAGTTACAATACTTACTAACTTTACCCAGTTCTTGGAAGTCCTTTGTTGCCATCATGGAAACTCTCCATAGATACTGCTATTAATTCAAGCCTTTGGCCATGGCTAATAGGTAAAAGCGTCGACATGGTGGGCTAAATGGTGTTCCCCAAGGGCCTCCAGCATCTGGAATCAAATCCTAACTTGTATAATACGAGGCTCTCTCCAAAACTCTCAAGGGAAGCAAAAAGGCAGAATTCATGTTTCAGTGATATCCCCTTACAAGACATAAAACAGTTGCAATTCGTTAACCAGTACACAGCCATACCGTCTCTCTACTAACACTCTAATTTTAAGGGCCGAAGATGTGTTATAATAAAGCTACTCTGTGCTCGGAAGTCATTTACTGCTATGTGGGCGCTCTCTATAGATAGTTCTACTAATGCAAGGGTCATAGGTGAAACCGTCGATCTGGGCTAAATAATATTCCAGAACATCTAAACAAAATTATGGTTCGCATAATGCGAGGCCCCCCCCCCCAAAAAAAAAGTCCTCAAAGAAAGAAAGAGGCAGAACCCTCGTTTCAGTGATACATGTATCTACCTACGAGACATAAAATCTCCTTACGGGGCATAAAACGGCTGCGACTAGCTAGTTAGTAACTACGTGTACTCAGCCATACCATCCCTTTCCTGATACTCTAGTCTCAAGGACAGAAGATGTGTTATCATGCCAACTTAACCTCTGAAGCTGGTTGTAAAAAAGTCCTCCTCTCTCCCCGAAAGCTAAATTAGTTAAATAATAGGCACAAGTAGTAATTGCTTTTTAAGCATGAAAAAAGGAACCGTTTTTTCTTCTTCCTGTCTGCCCCACACCCGGACTAGCGGGACACATGCAGTCATTGGCGTGCCACTGCAAGTTTTCAGCTCCAAAGATTTCATCTTTTGATATGGTTATTACCAATCTTGAATTTCGCTTTGTTCGGACTTGGTAATAGGGTTCTTTGCGAGACTGCTACGTATTTTCAGCCCCACGCGCAATCGGGGATGAGACAATACAGTAGAGTAATTGTTGATGACGCTTTTTTCTGTTGAGGTTGCGATACAAGCCGGGTGCGAAAAATTTCTTCGCACCGAAAGTCAAGAGTTACGAAAAATGCAATGGGCGACTCCAGATCCAACCAGGTGTAGCATCGTAGCTAGAGATTAAGAAATTTGTAGTGGATTCAGCTCCTATATCTTTTTGCGTATTGTGCTCAAGAATCGAAAGGAGGCAGAAGAAGAGGAAGTTTCGTGCGCCTGCCAGACACCGAGAATTTTTTTAAAGAAAAAAAAAAGTTTGATTGGCCTAAGCCACAACATTACAGTTAAAGTTCACGCTAGATATCCGCCAAAAAAAGCTTAATTGCTCTTGGAACTAGCTAGAGCCACTGCTGCCTACACTATTCTGCGTATTGTGGAGCATGTCACTCGGGAGTATTGGAGTACCAATGTCAACGTCGGCGGCATGTATGGGCTTGCAATTGTGAAAAGGCACCTGTATGTTCAGTTGCAAGGGCCTTTGTCCCCAGCTTCTGTGTTATGGTAGCGGCTTAGCTAGTCTCAATTCGTCTCAACATCGCTCTATTTTAGCTGACTGCTCATCACTGGTACCTGATATCCCTTCTTGTTTTTTAAATCCTGTTACTAGCTAGTACCTTTTTTAGTTAGTCTGATAAACATTCTCCAGAATAAGTAAACTGTAACTCAATTCGTCAAGAGAGTTTGAGTAGTACCGTAATAATTCTCAAATTGGGAGCTTATCAGTAGGTTAATTAGCCCAATTGATATTGATCAAGGACAGGTAACCAACTCCATGCATGTACTAACTGTAGACAACGGAACTCTAAGAAGAGGATAGGAACACACCAACTAGTTACATGTAGCTATATATCGGGCAAGAGAGACTACACTTATACCCCTCTTATCAACCAATCAAGCCTACTATCCTCGAGAAATCTACTTTATTTGTATGGATATGATACAGTACACTATTATTTACGTAAATACTTGCCCTCAAATTATTTAATAACCAAATATGAAATGGATTACCCTCACCGGCCAGCGCGCATAAAAATTCTGCTATGGCCTGTGGCTGGTAGAGTGAGGATCGTGAGTATCAATTCCTCTTATTCAGCGGCAAATATAGTACAGCAAGTCTTGTAGCTGACAGTCGTCGAGTCCATTAAATACCACAAAAGATTGCCATTGGTTGGTCTTTGTGTATTCCTGTATATATTCCCACAAACAGGCGAACCATCAATCCTACAGCTACAGCCATCTGACGATTCTGCATGCTCCTCGACCGTATTCGGTCCCAAGCGAATTTAAGGATATTGTTTCCCCGTAAGGCGCTGTCACAGCTGTTTGTTTCTGCATGCACGCAGGGGCTATCCCTGCAGGATGACATACCGAGGAATCTCAAAGTCGTGATGCAACCGTACTACGTAGCACATTCACTAACTTGGCCAGCTATATAAGAACCGACTGTTTCCAGGAACACAGCTCGTCGCCCAACGCCAATTCCTCCCCACATCACCATAGCGAGTTACCGATCTCGGCGCAAAGCAGAAGCAGAAACAAAAATAGGATGGACCCCATAACCGTCATCCGCTATGCCTTCCTCTTCAATTCCGCTGCCGTAAGAAGCCCAGCTACCACTGCCAAAACCAAAGACCAAAAACCTGTAACTAACACGCATATATACACAGATAATAGTCGCGAAATACACCCCCGCCCTCAGCCGGCGCTTCATTGCCTACGGTGTCTCCGCCGAACCCATCCCCGAAGGTTACAAAGAAAAGCGGCCCCCGCCATCCGACACCCCCGTCTCGCAGTTTCTCGACGCCGCGGCCGAGACCAAGACGCCGCACAGCTGGTTCACGCACTTCTACTACGTTTGTTTCGCCTGTAACCTTTTCTGGGCGTGGCAGATCGTCACGCACGGGAGTGTCTACCAGCTGTTGAGCAGCTACATCACGCCGGCGGCGGCAGCAGGAGTCAGTGAGAATGGGAGAAAAGAGGTGGTGGGACAGACGATACACCAGGTAGTGCTCACGTGGCTGTGCTTCATGATCCAGGCGTCGAGGAGGATATATGAGTGTCTTTATATCCAGAAGCCGGGGGCGTCGAAGATGTGGGTGGGGCATTATGCGATTGGGATATGGTTCTATCTAACCATGAGCATCGCGATCTGGATTGAAGGGACCGGTTAGTATTCCTTTTATTCACTGGTGGTATAGTATAGCGTTCGCTGACTGGCGTTCACAAACCTCCACAGCGGCGATTAACAAATTCAACTTCACGCCCATGAACTTATATAACCTCGTCGGGCCACCATCCTTAAAGTCCCTCTTCGGGATAATCCTCTTCCTCCTCGGCTCTGGAATCCAGCATGACACTCACGTCTATCTCGCCACCCTCAAAAAGTACACCCTCCCCACGGGACCCTTCTTCGACTCGCTGCTCTGCCCGCACTATGCCGCCGAGTGCCTCATCTATCTCGCGCTCTCACTCCTGTCGGCGCCCCGAGGAGTGGGAATGCCAGTGAATGGAACAGTGCTCGCGGGGCTGGTGTTTGTGGTGGTGAATTTGGGGTGCTCGAGCTTGTCGACGAGGGAGTGGTATATACAGAAGTTTGGAAGGCATTCAGTGGAGCGTGAGTTTTTACCCGTTATCTTTCTTGCATTGCCGTGTCTAAGGAGCTTTTACTGATGTATGGATGATGGTGAAGACCGGTATAATATGATCCCATGGCTGTTTTAGGCAGTATCTTGTGTTTCATGGCTTGAATCTAGGCCACCCTGTAGGCGATATCTTGTGTTTGACAACCGTGAATATATATCAAAAGTCGGAAGGCTCTTGGTCAATGACTGGGGTTGCTGATACTTTTATTTTTATTTTGTTTAATTCATTAATTGCATGGTTGCTGATACTTAATGCAAGTAGTAATAATTTTTTTGTGTTTGTGGATTGACATTTAAAAGGAGCCACATATGCCAACCAAAACCATCCATGTATATGCACATGACAGTATTCATTGTCAATAACAGAAATTACCCGAGTAAACTGAATATAAGTATCTAATGCCGCAACTTTTAGTGCTGATGGAAAACTTCATTTTTCCACCCACTCCTGCAGCTGGCTGGCTGTAATACCTCCTCTCCGTCTTCACAACATATTTACTCAAGCCTTTATGAATTATAAACATATATTCCGTCTTGAATTCTCAATAAATAGCCTTGCAAAACGTTGCCTTGTGAATTTTCGGTACTGTCCATCGGATTTACAATATTCTATACAGCGTAGAGCGGGCGACACTGGAACGTTCAATAGATCTTGTGGTTCCTATCACCGGGACTATTGTATCAAGCGCCCAAAGCCCCCCACCCCTCATCCATACGCCTATATATCGTGAAACTCTTCAGGTACCGGGAGGAAATCAAGCTAGCGCCGGGCTTCTTGTATTAGCCCAGACCTCTACGGTCATGGAGAAGTATACGGCTGGTCTAAGTTATTAATTTTGCGTGGTCGAGAGGCTGGTACTTATATGCTGGACCGGACTTGTAGCCCTTCACATACTAAATACTGGGTATTTATCATCTTCGGTAGTAGCGGTGATACTTGAGGTAATATCCCCTACGGTCCTGTAAACTAGAGGTTTCAAGGTAGAGATTACTCTACAGCTTTGTTCAATTGATTATGTTATCCATATACCAGCGTTTCCGACTCTTGGCCGGAGTGGGGATATGACATGAATAGCATAACATGTAGCTGTCGCTTTGCCAATTTCAACATAAAGCTCGTGGGAAGCCCATAGAACTTTCCATGGCTCAAAAATTATGTTTCCCCATGTTACTCAATTAACTCATAAAACAGAATTGGTACCAATGCCCGACTAACTGAAACAAACACTCTAGAAGGGAGGGTATAACAGAAACGAAGGGAAAAGAAAGACCCCCCGAAACTTGGCCAAGCATAAGTCTTAAAATACACATTGAATACTTAGTATCTATATTTATATACCTCTTGTTAGATGGTATAATTATATAAGACGCATTAACGCTTGAAAAGCGAATTTCCAAGATTAAATTTGGCCACTTTGAGGACATCTCTATATGTCAAGCTTGTCCTGATCTGCCGGTCATATCGACCATCAGCAAAGAGGTCCTTTTCCCCTAGAAGATCCCAATTGGCCACAGTTTCAGGGCCAAGATTCTCGTCTGCTGTTTGTTGCGCGATTCCGTGCAGATGAGCTGTGTACATGTCATCCGTAGTTACTAAAAGACTGTGGCAAGAAAAACAATTAGATTAGCTAAATTATCCTAGAGGAGTTCGCCGAGCTGCTCGTAGGGGATGGCTACGGGACTAGGGTTCACCGTACCTTCTTGGCTCCTGCAAAATTCCAAATTTTGCTTCACCCAGACCTTCTTCGCTCTTCTCAAACACTTCTAAAACAATCGGCGCTCCCAAGCTCACAGTTGCCACCATTGGGTGATAGGCTGGACCATCTTCATGGGCCATGATTCCTTCTCCGGGCTTGTACTCATTCACCAGGACATGGTTTGGCTGTTTATGAGGGGAATTGTCCCAAATACCCAATTCTTGCATGCGGGGAATTATTGGCAATTCAAGCCAGGAAGGAAGCGGCTCGGCAAGAAGAATGTTTGATTTTGACAGAGCGCTGGGCCAGGTTTGGAGACGACGATGGGTGAGAATTGTCCATTTTGGCTTTGGGGCGGAGGCGATCTAAAATTTTGGGTTAGTGCAATGCGGGGTGCAGCGTCTACAGTGCCAGGGAAGATGGACAAGGTGTACGTACTTGTGAGAGCAGCTGTGACTCTTCAGAAGGGCTAATGAAGTTTGGTATGTAGTAAGTTGTCTTTGGTAGTGATGGTACCAGAGCGGTGTCTGGTGGTGTTCTTGAAGCTCCCATCGTGAGTTTAGGATGTGTTTTATTTATTTCCTCTTTCCGGTGTGTGGGGGGAATGGGGATGCATCTAAACCGCGGGAGGGGCCGCTGGAGTGACGTTTTGATCCTATCGGATTATGTATCATTACCACGACCCCACATTATCAGGGTTCGGTTTGCAGGGGCAGCTTGCGAATTGTACCTACCCTGAAGGGCCGTACATGCTTCTTTGCAGGATAAAAGAAATATTTGCTTGTCCCTCCAGGTACAAAGATGATCTGCCTCCTGAAGGTATGTGCTTGCGAGATTCTCGATCCCTAGCAGAGCAAATTTGCTCACATCCTCTCCTCTCGGGAACGTGCTTTCATTGCAGGGTTTCTTTCGGTTATAATTGACGAACCCCACGCGCTTCAAAAAGAGAGCTGTTTGTTTCTGCTCGCCGTGCCGGCAGATAGACTCAAATGCTTTCCGCACGCGTTTGCCGGATGTTTGACGATACCCCACCGTTTTTCTCCAGAGCAGCTCAGCCGCCGGCAACATTCTCTAATAAATATGTGAAATCGTTCAGCCGAGGATCCTGGTACCGGACAACAGCCTCATGTTTCTGTGGTTAGACTTGGGTCAAGAAATTACAGGAGACGATGGGGTTTACATAATACGCCAGCTAAGTGGTATAGCTCTCTGAGGTACATGTAGGTAGGTAGCTGGGAATAGAGAAAAACACCCAGAGGAAGAGGAGCAAATAAGGGCCCGTCATCATATCTCAAGTCCTGGAAAGCTAGAAAAATAGGACGGCATAATTAATAATTCGGAGGAACTGGATCCAGAGATTCGGAGATGAGAATACCGCCATGAAGGAGCTTAGAAAGAAACTCAGCGAGGTCTTCTGGTGAAGTACATGTAGACAGATACCAATAACTGCATTTATGCTTTCCCGCATTATATGTAGCTTGTAAACTCAAAAAATTAAGGTACATGTTTGAGTATTCTGTGGCTTTATAGATCTGAACACAGTACCCATAATAATTATATTTATAAACACTGAGATTCATTTCAATAGCAATTGCTTGATTCCTTTGACTTTCATACTTATGGTCGCTGAGAACGGTAGCATGTACCAAATACTACCTCCCCAGAGTAAATGCCGTACGCTGCGCAATGCTTCCAAGTCCAGTCATGTTTCCACTAGAGAACTAAGTCACCGCACTATTCCACCCACAATTCAGAGGATGACAAGGTGCCATCCTATGTTAATTGTTGCGACGATAAGTGACGTTGGTTGCGATAAAGTGTTGTTGTGGTCGTTGTTGTGGCTCAACACCCGATAAGGGCTTACCCTACCCCTTGCGACTGTCTTTATGTGTGGCTTTGCAGTCGCGCACACAGCGGCGCGCCCACTCACAGTCACCCATCGTCAACCTCACTCACGGAACCTTTCCCACAGACGACAATCAACATCAACAACAGCATTCCGACGACGACAAACCCGTTCCGGATAACCCTCCCCCTCCGACGTCAATACCTCTCGTTACTCGCCAAACCACACACTAGCAAGAATGTCCCAATTCGAGCCCGTGGTGAGTCTAAACTACCCATTCCGGAGCTATCAGCTTCTTCGAATTTTTGCCATTTGGGTGGTGGAGATGATAGAGCGAGCTGGGATTATGTGGCAGGGTAGCGAGGGAACTACGGTGTAGCAGTTGCGCTAATGGGTGGGAATTTGCGCATAGGTCGTTATCGATGGCAAGGGACATCTCCTTGGTCGTCTGGCCAGTATTGTGGCCAAGCAGCTTCTTGAAGGCCAAAAGATCGTTGTTGTGAGATGCGAGGACCTCAACATCTCAGGCGAGTTCTTCAGGAACAAGCGTACGTTACTAGCTTCTTCTTTTATGCAGTTTCCCGGCAAAGGGTAAATGATAGTTTTCAAGATGAAGGGCTCAACTAATATCTTAATCTTCTACCCGTATAGTTAAGTACCACGCATACCTCAGGAAGGGTAACAGGTTCAACCCTACCCGCGGTCCCTTCCACTTCCGCGCTCCTTCCCGCATTTTCTACAAGACCGTTCGTGGCATGATCTCGCACAAGACCGCCCGTGGACAAGCCGCTCTCGAGCGCCTTAAGGTTTTCGAGGGTATCCCTCCCCCATACGACACCAAGAAGCGCCTCGTCGTTCCCCAAGCCCTGAGGATCTTGAGGCTGAAGCCCGGAAGGAAGTACTGCACAGTCGGAAGACTGAGCACGGAGGTTGGCTGGAAATACGATGATGTTGTCAAGAGGTCAGTGAACTCGAAATCTACGATTCTGGAGGAGGGATATAGAAAACGGGCATTTTGGGAATATAAGACTGATTATTGGATGTGCACAGGCTCGAGGAGAAGAGAAAGGTCAAGTCCAAGGCTTACTACGCCAGGAAGTTGGCTCTCGCCAAGAGGCTGGGCGAGGCACAGAAGAACACCGCTACCAACAAGGAGGAATTGGCGGCCCTCGGGTACTAGACGTGTCGCATATGTGTACTCCCTTAAATACGACGCGAATCGATTCCAAAAGTTCCCAGTTTACGAAAATCCGCAAACAAATTTTCTCATTCTTTTTTTTCGCACGTTTGGCTTTTTTTTTAGGTCTCTTCTGCTGAGGGCATAGGCAGGAATAGAAGGGACTGTCAAAAAAATAAAAGTAGTTACAAGGTTCTAGGGATTCGGTGGGTTTGTGTTGCGGGGGTTATATTTGCTCTCTCTTCTGGGTACTCGGCGATTTTTTTTCTTTTTTTCTTTTTTTCCTTGTGGGTATCATGGTGCGTATTAAGAGTCATGGGCAAAGAGGGTTTTGTGAATATCATCAGCTCTTCCAAACAAATGAAACCACCTGACCCGGAATAATTGGTTTGTTCGATTTGTAGCGATGGGGTTTAGAGGTTAGAGGGGACTCTGCTAGGTCTGAGCTGAGCTTTGTGAGCTGAGCTGTGCTACTACCCAAGCTGGTCTTGTGATTTCTTGATTTCTTATAGGCTGGTATTAATTTTATTTGATTCTCTCTTCTCCGTCCTGGTGTCTCCATAAATTCACCATCACAATCGATAACTCGGTCTAAATAAGGGAAGGTTCACAAGAAGGGAAATGCTAAAATGTCTTATAATCTTAAGTGTGCATTGTTTGTCTATACTTATATCGATTAGAAAAAAACTTTTGTCCGGAAAATCATTACGCCGAGACACCATAATAATAACCATTAGGAACCCTTCCTCGCCGTGTTCTAAATTGTTGACACTCAGTTCTCCTTCCATTTGTGACCGCATGTAACGCACTAATATTACATCATAAACGTCAGCGCACATCTGGTAGAATTGGACGACAATAACCCCCACCTTGAAGAACGCCGTCATCGGCTCATCAGCGCTTCTAATTTGCACCATGTAGAAGTATGCCTTTGTTCCTGTACAGTCCTCGCTCGGGCATTGCGCTGCGGTGAGTGAAAGAAAGCAAACACGTCAGTAAATCCGATGTTTCATAACTCCCGATAACTCGAGGTTTTCGGCCTGTCGGCGCGGTGGCCGATTGGGTGACGGAGGGAGTATCAGTCATACCTTCTGTCTGGTCAACGTTATCCCAAGCGCCCTCTCCGCCCATAACATCGTCGACTTCCTTCCGCTTCATGGGCTTGCGCTCATAGTATTTTCGCGTGAGGATGAATTGGTATGGGCAAGTGCGACACTCGAGACGATTGGTACCGGTTTCTGGGGATCGCGAAACCTATTGTGACTGTTAGAAATTATGAGTCTGATTCGATACCCAGAACGAGAGAACACATGGGTATGGACACAAGATAGGGGTAACGCAAGTACCGTAAGCGAGTTGGAGCATTGAGGGCAGAATAGCAACATCGCGACACCAATGTTGTCAGCTCGAGTTTCTTAACAGCTTCCGTCAGTCAGAGTTGGGAAAGAAAAAAAAGCTCCCAGGATCCATTAATGCCAAGCTTTATACAACCCTAACCCCGTATCACTGCCCCACCACTAGCGTGATACGCGCCGCGCTTGTCCACAGTTCACTCCTGATTACCTAGAGTAACGCGGCCAAAGCAAGCTCTCCTCCTTTTCTGTTCCGCTCTCCTCCGGTTTTGCATCAAACACTTTCTCGAGCTCCATTTTCCTACCAACCTACATCAAAACACTCGGAATTCTTGCAGTCATGGCTGGAACTACTACTGCACACGAGGACGAGGTATGTGGCTTCCCCTCCCTCCCTCCCACAAAGCCGTTGTTGTGAGGCGGGGGTTGCTCCCTGGCTTTTTGGTCCCTAGGTTTCGGTTCCTGAATTTCGTCACTAATAAGGATTGAACAACCATCCAGGGTGCATCGCCGAAAGAACTTCTCCTCGAGGCTGCCCGCCGGAACAACGTGGACCTTCTCGAGGAAGTCCTCGGAAATAAAAAAGTAGATGCTGATTTCCTCAATCACTCTACCGATGGAGTTGGAAATACTGCCTTACATATGGCTGCGCAGCACGGATCCTGTTAGTTACTATGACCCTTCACCCTTCCCCTCCTTTACCCCTCGTTTAATAGGTTCTAATAGCTTTTTCTCTCTAGTGGAAGTACTAGACCATCTTCTCGACCAAGAGGGCCTCGAGGTAGACCCCATAAACCGCATGGAACAAGAGACCCCACTCCACAAGGCAGTGCAGTACGCGAACAAGGAAAAGGAGCACGGCGTGGATGTTGTGGAGATGTTGATTGATGCTGGTGCCGATCCCAGGTTCGTTGCCTGTCATACCGTACCCCTGCATTCTGTGCCGCATTTATTTTTAACTTCACTTGGGGGGAGGCGGGGGGAAAGAGTTACTGTTCCGGACTTGAGGCTGACAATGGTTGGATAAAACAGGATACGAAACAAACAAAAGCAACGACCAATAGACATTGTGGATCCCCGAGACACAAAGCTCAGGGAAATTCTACAGAGGGCGGAATACGCTATGACTGTCGGGAACGACGTTGTAGATGATGACGATAACGACGGCCCAGCATCAGACTCGGACTAAACTTATTATATTCATAATAAGGAGGTGTGTTTCCTGGTGCACAGTTGTTTTTGTTTTTATTTCCTTTTTATGGGCTTGTATTTTTTTTATTTCAAAGCCTGTTTTCGGTCTTTCGTTAGGTCTATTTTTACCACGCTAGAGATTTCGTATATCACGAGTGGGAGTATGTTTTAGTTTTGTTTGCTCAATTTTCTCCATTGTTTCCTACTCCTCCGGGGTGATATCATGCCGTATTAAGAAATTCCGCCTGCTCCTTCTCGTCTTAGAGCTTTAAACCGTGGACTCAGTATATGGAGCTCCAACTAGAAGTTTGAATGTTGTATGGATATCTGTGATGTTTCAGTCAAGTTAGAAGCTTCTAGATTTCTGTGTTTAACTATAAATTGTTCTCCATAGAGATTGTTTACTAATACTAGCTTCCACTTTTAATTTTATTCCTAAAGGAATAGAAAACCGGAAGTATGATGCTCTAGCTAACATGAGGTCTTAGAAAAGGGCCACAAATACAATTATGAATGCTAAAGCTCACAAGACTACTGAGTACCGTCTTTGACAGTGAGAGGGAGAACTATTGTACTAGAAATAGGGTTAGTATGGCTGGTTGAGCCAATAGGACTCCTAAATAATCTTACCACAGGCCGTATCATTTCCTTTATATTATGTAATCTAGCTAACTTTATCAGTAGTAATTATTATCGAGTGATAATCCATGAACATTAGCTATTTCAACCGTTAGTATGCTACACACAGGACGGAAACATCTCCTCTATCCGTTTAATCCTTTGGATCCCCTGCCCACTAGGAATGATTGCACAGTCTTTGCCAAAGGCACATCATGCATATTAGATGATGCGGACTAGTGGCCTTTGCCTTTATCGATGTTTGTCCATTTAGACCCCTAGCCCAAAACAACCACTGCATCAGTGTCGAGATGATAGCTTCCTTCACCTAGTAATAGGAACGCATGGGTAAGCAGACTTGTGAATCTCCTAACTTACCAGACTTTAAAGAGAGATGGATTCGTCGCCGGGGGATACGTCTAGTCCCTTTACCCCCAATGTTATCGTGAGGTAAAACTCATATTTGACCTCTAGAAACCACAAAATGGTCCGGATTAAGCGGAGAGCTGGATGAAACTCCACCATACAGCCCACGATAATTCATACATACTTTGACCACCTGCATACCAGAGTCTGTTTAATCATTCATGGGATAATCTAACGAGATTTCATTGGAGCTTTGATGTCCGGTCCCGGTATCGAGAGCATGGTTTGTGTAGAAACATTTTTTGCCCTACAGATGTTTCGCTAGCCAGCACCAATGCGTTTATTTTTCTGGTAGCACTGTACCGGGCAGAAAAGTCCGGGCGCCAGGCGGTGTGCATTTTATCTTGTTTGTTAATAAATACGCGTTGTCACTTGGATTGCTTGAAAGAGAGCGGAATAAGAGGATATTTCGAAAGCTATCGGGTAGCATGTTCAACTTTTTGTGTTAGCCAGCTCTTCTCGCTCATATCACCCCGGAGAATACGCACGAGATATGATGTTTCCTAGATGAATCTGTCGGGTCTATACTTCTGTGGGTGCGCTTGGAGAGGTAGGAGTTTTGCAGTTGTCTCGCTCCCATTGGCCCTCAAGGAGGTTCTGCCTATGAACACTGCAATTAACGGGAGCTTGGAGAATTCTAGTTTCACTGCCAGTGGCTTATCAGCGACGCATATAGGGGTAGGCGGGCTACAATAGCCATGCATGAGTAGAGTTTCAGTGTTGGAGAGATCGATTTCCTAGGCCGCCCCGGAGGTCCGTCAGTCTAATTCTTCACGCGTGCACCAGCAGGATTTAATGAGCCAGCTATTTGATTCCAACTGTTCTACACTACCCATTAGACTATTTAGCAAGCCACGAAGACCTATGCTTCGCGAGTGCCTGGTCAAAACGGCCTATCTGTTCATTTGTGTACTACTGCGGCCGAGGGGCCTGTCGAAGAGGGAAGAAGACACACTAACAGGCGCCTCATATCGTTTAACAAACCAAAAGTTATCACCCCACATTAACGTAATGGTCCCAAATATCAGGGAAATTTACGGACGAAAATTATCCTATACTTTAGATATGAACTTTTTCGATGCTTATCAACCCATCGAGTGATAATCCATGACTACCCTACCACCCTACCACCCCACCACCCCAGTCATCCCGCGATAACATACCCGCGATAAGGCCGTGCGTGCGTCCAAGACACTCTCGCTTTCTCTCCTTATTTCCCCTCAAATCTCCACTATGGATGGATATCATTCACTTTGACAGCTGTTAATTATCCCGTTCGATGCACAACGGGATGAGTGTTAATTTTGTAGGTCTCAGCCACCCGTCAGTTGTATTTTTGGTAGTACAGTAAATACATCACAATTACAATATCGTATAGATAAGTAGTGCTTTAGTGGGAGGCTAGCTGGGACTCCTTACGTTCTAGCTAAGGTACTGTATGTACCCTTGAGCCTCCCCTCCTTTCTTGTTTACTCGGTTACAACACCACTCACAAAACATCACTCGCTCTTCCTCCCTTCCTTCCTTCCTTCCTTCCCTCTCCGCGGCCACCCCACCAGACACACACAAAGCCACCGAAACATACAACATCTTCCCAAAGCCAGGAATCCCCGTCTCACCCGCCGATCCTCCAGGCTAGCTACTCTACCGAGCAAGCCACCCATGTCATACCATACTATATCTGAAACACCCCAAGCCCCTACTCCTTAAATATTGACCGGTGAGTTACATAGCTAGAGTAAAGTGTAATCTACAATATCATTCCTCGCAGGGAGGCAGGGATGGTGATTGATACTGGGGTTAGGGATCAGTGGGTAGAGCTGTGGAAACTAGAGACTAACGGTCACAACCAGGGTACTGTATATTACGTATATGGCGCTTTATTAATATCTGGGGTTTTTAGACCGTGAGCCGGTTTATGGGAGCGTAGTGAGGTCGGTCGGCTGAGGTCAGCCCAGTTGATCTCGTGAGGCCGGCTCAGTCGGGCAGGCAAGCTCAGTCTGGTTTGCATGTTCGCTCAGTCAGGCGAGGTCAACTCAGTCTGCGCATATCCAGCACTCCGTTGTATAGAGTTAGCTTAGTCGGACGAAGTTAACTCAGTCAGGAGGAGTACAAGATCAGTCCGTTTTCCATGTTGGCTCAGCCGGACAAAGTCAACTCAGTCCATCTTGAAGGTGGACTCAGTTGGATGGGTCAAGATTGTAAACTGACCCTTGACGAGGTTAACTCAGTCCAGTATAAATGTCGACTAAGTCGGATGGATAAGCTTAGTTGCGCACACCTCAAGCTCAATCGGATAGATAAGCTCAAGTTCAGTTTGGGAGATAAGCTCTGTCAGACGAGGCCAGATGAGTGTCTAAATCAGCTTAACTAAACGACAGCCAGATCAGTCAGATGGGGCCAACTCAGTCGAGTAGAAAAACTCAGCCGAGTAGAAAAACTCAGCCGGACAGTCAAACTAAGTCGACTATAGGAGCTCAGTCTAACAGAGAAAGCTCAGCCAAACAGTTAAACTCATCCCAGGCCCAGGCCCTACCAGCTCAGTCGGACCCAAACCGCAAGCACTTTCGCAGGCTCAGTTGGGCGGGTAAGAAGACCAGTTCAGTTTGGGTCGTATGTAAATATATTGAATTAGTCTGGCAGATAAGCTTATTTGGACGGTAGCGGTCTCGGTTTATAAACTGACTTAGCCGGACGGGAAGGCTCAGTTGGGTGGACCAGATCAGTCGGACAGATATACTTAGTTGGACAGGTACATTCAGTTGGACTGATACAAGCTCGGTTTATAAACCAACCAGGCAATTGCAAATTCAGTCAAACCAAGGTCAGTCGAATTAAATGAACTCAATAGATTGGATACATGTACAATCAACTTCATTGGCCTGCATCAACTCTGGGTCAGTTGAGCTTAGGTCAACCACACCCTCGTCTGTCCATTGGCCAAGGTCAAGAACGCAAAACACGACAGCTGCTGCTGCCAGACTGTCCGGTCCATCACATCCAATCAAACCCCATAACATCCCGCAGAAATATTTATTTATGAGTAGAGTAGATAGAGTACACATCCGCCCCCCGCCCCCCCCCCCCCCCCCCTCTCCCCGTCCCCTTGTCCCCTTGTCCCCTTGTCCCCTGTCCCCTCTCCTCTCTCCCTCTATATTCAATTCCAAAAAGGTATATATATATATATAATATATGCTCGCAACACAATCATAGCACACCCATCATAACGCGTCATAAAACCTCCAACTCCCCTCTCCTGGATCCCGCGCCATCGTAACTATGCATGCATAAAAATAACTAAGACGCAAAAAAAACAATCAAGAACCAACTGCAAAAAAGACCAAGCGCAAAAGAAAAACAAGCACAAAGCAATTGAGGTATAGAGAGATAGTTTACCGCCCAGTCCAGTCCCGGTCACCAGACAAATAAAATAAAAAAATGAAAAGCCCGCTCCAGCAAAAATGAACAAGACGATGATGACAATGACGATAACGATGATGATGCCAAAAATGCTCCCAAGAGGAAAAAAATAAGCCAACACTAGCTTTTTCAGAAGTAAAGGAGTATGATAAGTATGTAGTAGTTGTAGTAGTAGTAATAGTAGTAGTAGTAGTAGTAGTAGTAGTAGTAGTAGTAGTAGTAGTAGTAGTAGTAGTAGTAGTAGTAGTAGTAGTAGTAGTAGTAGTAGTAGTTGTAGTAGTAGCGGTTGCAGTGATAGTAGTAGAGTAGTAGCAGTACTAGTAGTAGTAGTGTTGTTGTAGTAGTAATAGTAGTAATAGTAGTAGTAAGTAGTAGTAGTTGCAGTTGTAGTGGTTGTCTCCCCTACATTTAAAGAGTAACGTCCGCCAAAAATAAAATAAAAGAATAGAAGGGAAAAAACAAACACGAACCCACCCATGATGACGAGATACCAAGAAAAATTGGCTTAAAGGGGAAAAAGAAAACCACAGTACATAACGCAATTGAAAACCCTTTGATAAACCCCCCCCCCCCCTCGAGGGGGAACAACGACCAATAAATAGTCAACAAAAAAGGAAATCCACGGTATCATGTACACATACGTAACATTTGCTCAAAAAAAAAAAAAAAAAGAAACATCACCCCATCCCCCCCGCGATCCAAACAGACATAATAAGTATGAGAAGGATGGCAACCCCAACCGACCAACCGCAAACCAAATAGAACCAGACCCTCAAACAAAAAAAAAAAAAAAGATGAGAAAAAAGCCAAGCGATAAAAACTTAACAAGAAAAAGCGCCAAAAACACCCGCCCAGTTTTATGTTTCAATTAGAAGTAGTAGAAGCAGCATTTGTCGCGTTAAGAGGGGGGCGGCATAGATACTGTGAGTTGGGAAGAAAGAGGTGAAGGCGAGGAAGAAACATGAGATTGGTTGTTGTATTGGAGCGAAGACGATGTCAATGGTGTGCCAAATAATCGCTGCAATCTCTGGGCCATTTCCTCCTTCGTAATGGTAGGTGCAGAAGTGGGAGTAGTTGGCCCGTCCCCATTGACCTTCATAGGGGTTACAAGGACAGAACAGCTTAAATCTACGTCGACAGTGCGGATTGTTTGGCTTGCGAGATTGTCGTACTTGTGGTCTTCCTGAATGATGGTGCGGAGGTCGTCAACCTATTCCATAGAAGATTAGCATGATCGTCCTAATTCCCGGACGGTTTACATACCTTCATCCAAAAGACAGGAGACATCTTCAAGAATTTTTCCCTCTCCTCCCTACGTGATTTCTCCAATTCTTCAATCGAACGGTGACCGCTGAGATGTACACTCTCACAAAGCATGACCGAAAGGACTGACCACATCCTCGACCGATGCTGGTCATTAACTTCAAGTCTACGAATGTCAGGGTCTGGAGATTGATTTATTAGCGCAAGACAAAAGCTGCAAGAAGAAGAGTGCAACGTACAACTCGAAAACTGAAGGTCAGTACTTCCAAGCACTAAAGCTGCTTGCACATTCAAAATGTACTGCTGCGGCTTTTGTGGCCCACAACCATTCATACCCGGTTTGACCGGAGTCGAGCCCGCAGTTGACTGAGGAGGAAGCACCGCAGAGTATAAAGGCATAAACCTTGAGCTCTCGACAGGTGTATTGCCGTTCTCCATCTCTCTAAGTGCGAAAGGCAGTGCCCTTTTCCTCGCAAGCTCACGCTGCTCCTCGTCCTCAATTCGTTTACGCTCTGCCTCCAGCGCAAGCTGCTGCTGTAGTTGCTCGGCCTCTCGTCGAACTAAGGCCTCTTTCTCAGCTCGCTCAATTTCTTGGCGCCTACGAGCCTCCTCTTCAGCAAGCTTCCGCTCAGCCTCTGCTGCACGACGCTGATTCTCAGCTGCTTCTAGACGCTGTTTTTCGGCTTCCTCTTTGCGGCGTTGTTCCTCGGCAAGCTTCTTCTGTAGTACTTCCTGCTCGCGGCGTATGGCCTCTTCACGTTTGCGGGTTTCCTCTGCTTGCCGGATTTCCTCTGCTTGCCGGATTTCCTCTGCTTGCCGGATTTCCTCTTCGCGGCGTTTCCTCTCGGCTTCGCGCTCTTTGATCTCGCGTTCTCTGGCCTCGCGTTCCCTAGCCTCACGCTCTCTTGCCTCACGCTCCTCGCGCTCTTTTGCTTCCCGCTCTTTTGCTTCCCGCTCGGCAGCTTGCCGTCGGGCTAGTTCTCGTGCAGCAGCCTCCTCCCTCTCCCTGGCCTCCCTGGCCTCCCTTTCCTCCTGTTCCCTTTCCTCTCTCTCTCGGAGCTCCTTCTCCCGTCTCTCTTTTTCCTCTCGCTGTCGGCGGACTTCTAGCTCGCGGTCAATGACTTGATCCTCGCTGGCCCGTTTCGACTCTTCACGTGCCTTCCGGAGGATTGACTCAAGCTCCTTTCTAAGAGCCTCCTGGCGTCTCTGTTCTTTCGACTCCTCCTGGCGCTTCTGTTCTTTTGACTCCGCGCGGCGCTTCGCCTCCTCTTTCTCGCCTCTCGCCCGTTGCCTCTTTTCACGTTCACGCCGATCACGCTCTGTATCTTCCCGTTCCCGTAAGATACGCTGACGCTGATCTTCCTTTTCCGAAGCTTCAGTAGTCGATACAGATTGCCGTCTGCCATCGGGGGAATCGCGCCTTGTTTGGGGTGGCTTCCGAGATTTGCCCTCCTCCTTCACAGTTACCCGTTTAAGCGTGCTGTCACTGTCATATTTCTCTTGCTTGTCGACAAGTTTTCGTTGTTTCCTGGGCTCTTCCTTTTCTAGTTTTCGGCCAGAGTCAGAGTGAGCTGTGGGCGAGCGTGTCCTATCCCGCTTGCCGCCCAGTTGAGGCTTTTTATCTTTAGAAGAGGGGATATTATCCGGTCTCAGAAGATTTGAATCGTCGTTTCTGGCTTTATGTGTAGCTCGCTCAGTAGCTGAATCTGACATTCGAGTATCTTCCGATCCCATCCTTAATTTCCTCGAAATAATAGGCTTTTGTTCTACCCGGATGGTTTCTTCCATTGCAGAGTTTGCCCTGTGCTTTTTAGTGGAATTTTTGGCAGGAGGTTTCTCTTTTGAATCAAGATCACTTTCTGGGGGGACTGATCTTGTTGGCTCCTGTGATGAACGGGCCAATGATTCCTCGGCCAAATCCTTCCCAGAAATCAGACGTCGTTTTTTCTTCGCAACTGGAGGGGCAAGTGAGTCCGATTCGCTGCGTTTCCCCTTTTTGGAACGGTTTTTGGGTGGTCCTAAAGGCTCGGCAGATACTTCCTCCTGATCCGAAACAGCGGTCGTGTCTTCATATTTTGCCGGGTTTGCGGAAGTGGATGACCATCTAGATGGGCCCGTAGATGCGGATCGTCGGGGGGTATTTGCCGATGCGAGGGTCGAGTTTGGTCTCCGCGATCCAGATGACGTACCTTTGGTGTCATTAAGCTTTTTTGGCTTAGGTGATGTATTCCTGTAATTTTCTGGTGAGTGTCCGCGGCGAGAAGCCTTCTCTATTTTACCACTACCCGCCTTGTCATAAGCCTCCTGCAACATGTTAACCTCATCTTGCCAGAGATCCCCTTCTCGCTCCCGTGCAATATCCATGTATGATTTCCCCTTATGGTCCAGTCTTCTCGGGTTCACCCCATTTGCCAACAGATAGTTTAAAACAGTCAGGTTACCTCGACCGATAGCTGCGAGCATGGGTGTTTCCTCCACCGCCGGCATTGAATTATCCCTCGTCTTTCGATGGCCCTGGGACGACCCAGGCTCGGGATCCACTATTGTGTCACCATACGCCAAGAGTAGACTAACTGTATCAGCGTGACCGCCTTTAATAGCCCCAATTAAACACTCAGTATCCGGCTTAGTTCCCCGCTCCAGTAATGCGTGTACCATCTGTTGATCCCCCTCACGGGCTTTTTCCCTTAATTTCTGCAGCCCGTTTTTCCCGGGATCTAGCCAGAGCAGATCTTTCCTGCTCTGTTCGGTCCGAGCATTCCGTCGGCGGACTCCGGTGGGAATGCTTGGTGCTGGTGGGGATTGGTGTACTGGACTGGCTACTGAAGGATCACGGGAGGAATGGCTGTCGGCAGCGACGCTAGCCCGTGCGGTCTCATCGTCAGAGGGGCGTTGTTTCCGCAACTCGCTGATTGCAGCCTTGAGCAACCCTTCGATTTCTTCAAAAACCTCCTCTGTTTCACGGTTGGATTCATTGGCGTCCATGGCTGTCTGGCCTTGCTTATTCCTTTTTCGTGGATTTGCACCCAACTCAAGAAGGTATCTAACAACCTCGGTATGTCCATTGTCCACCGCATCCAGCAGTGGTGTATCCTGTTCAATTTTGGATGGCTGATCGATTTGTGCACCATTTTTGATGAGAATTTTGGCCACCTCCAAGTGACCATGTAAACACGCCTCATGTAGGGGCTGGTACCCCGCATTATCTTCTGCATTCAAGAATTCTTTACCCGCATTCAAGATAGCCTCAACCTCCGCAACATCCCCCGTTGGCAGGCTCTGTGGAGATGTGTCCGGCCGGCTGTATCTCGTTTTGGTTTGTGGGAAGTGCTCATTGGTGAGCCAGGAGTTCGGACGGATTGGGGTCTTCGTGATCGGGGAACTGAGGAGGGTGAATTGTCTCGCGACGAAGAGGACGATATGTCGCCACGGTTGGTAAGTAGGGGCGCAGGCAACTTTCTATGCTTCTGCGTCCTCTGCCCTGCGTGAGCCTTCTCTCTGCTTCGTGTACTCTTTATGGGGCTGCCGAGAGGCTGGGGAGAAATTGGGGGAGATGATTTAATACGATGATTGGGGGGTGATGAATCCATCAGACTTCTTCTTCTTTTCCTAGATCTCAGTCGGCTCTGACGAGTCTCTTCCCGGTCCGAGTTATCTCCTTCGGACGCAGAAGAACCACCATGCACCTTCGGCTTCTGATGGCCTGTGCCGTGTTTGGCACGACGACGCATGGGATGTGAAGGTGAATTGGGACGGGAAGATCGTGATGGGGCGGAACTCAAGTCGGAAGAGTATTCTTCATCACGGTCTTCTTCTTTGAGACGGCGTTTGGCGGGACCCGTCCGTAATGGTCTTGTTCGTCGAGGTCGTTCTTGATCAACTGGAGGACGTACTTCTGAGCCCCGTCTCCGACGACCGCGTTCATATTCACTGATTTCATCGTCATTTTTTCGCGTATTGGGGGCCACCTCGATTGATTGCAAGACGACAGTCTCTGCCTCCGAATCGCCCCCACCGTTATTTCGAGGAGACTTTGATGGCGACACGGTTGGGAACGGAGGGCGGTGGTGTTGGAGTTTCTGATGCTGTTGTTTCTGTTTTTGTAGACGGTTGTTTTGGTGTTGTTGGGATTGTTGTAAATGGTTGTGATGATTTTGTTGTTTATTTTGCTGCAAGTGGAGTGGTAAAGGTGTGGTCGTAACCTGTTGTTGTGGAAGACCAGGGGAAGAGGACATTATGATCGCAGGCAGTGGCGATGGAAGACCTTCATCGCTATGAGAGCGCGGGGCGGCTAGGGAAAGCAGCGTCGTATTGTAGTCACTTCCCACTATCTGGGGGAGGCAGGCAGGGAAAGTGGGAAGAATATTTAATTTTAATTGTATAATTTGGTTAATTATTGAGTGAATGAGAGCGAGTTACCGTCTCCACCAGGCGACGGGGGTGGTGGGAGGGGGGTGAGAGCGAGTGAAGGGAACCAGAGAGGGAGAGGGAGAGGGAAGGAATCGAGAGTGGAGTGTGGATTGAAGGGAGAGACGGGAAGCGAAGGTGTGTGGTGTGGAATGGAAGAGGAGGAGGAAAGAGCGGAAGACGAGTGGACGGGTGGACGGGTTTGGGGGGGGGGGGATGTGTACGGAATAACTGGAATCACAATATGTATTGGTTTAGTTAACTTATGTATGCCAGGTAGGCAGGACAGGACAGGACAGGCCGGGAAGACTCGAGTGAGTTACAACTTTGCAGGCAGGCAGGCAGGAGAAGCAGCAAAAGCAGTTGGGGGGTTATGTCTGGGGGGCGACGGGAATAATCGTTGGTTTGTGGAGTTTGAGGTCCAGAAAAGTGGATCAGTTACTCCCACACAGTACCACGACAGGGAAGGAAATTCAACTTCCCCTTGTATTAGTCCACTCCCTTACGTCCCCTCTTTCTTTCTCCCTCTTTTTCTACCTCCTCTTTCTCGAAAGCCTTTCTTTCCCATCTTCCTCACTAACTCTCACGCACCCCCCCCCCCCCTATTATTGTGCTTCCTCTCCTGCTTCGTGCTTGCTTGCCTGCCCGTTCTTCACTCACACGCTCACTTGCGGATTCCTCCACTTCTCAACCAAACCAAGGCACCCAATAACTATCCTGGCACCAAATCTTCCCGTATCTAGCAGGTCCTTGCCCCAATCGGCTGCCTGAGGGCCTGCCTCGGTATGTTCATTGGGCAATTGGGGCATAATGCATGTATGGATGCACCTGTTTTCCTTTTCCTTTTTTTCTTTTTTCCCTCTTTCTTACGACTGTCCTTTTTTGTTTTGTGGGTTATCGCTTTCTTCTTCCGCTGCTTCTATCGGTCTTCCTGCTTTTAAGTTATGTCTCATGAGTGAGCGGAGTGAGTGAAGTGCTCGAAGTGCGGGTGCGTATGTAGGCTGTATGTGTGCAAAGTGTGTAAGAGGGAGTGTGTGTCCTCCCGAGAGTAGTTGGTGTGGTAGGACTGGCACTGGACCGGGGGGGCGGAGGCAGAGGCAGAAGAATGACGCCTCTTCCTGGCGGTCGCCAGAGAACACATAGCTTATTTTCCCATGCACACAGAAACAATCTTTATCTTTCCTCTTACTTACACATAGGATGTAGGTACTCTGCTTGATTGCGGCTGAGAGACTCCAGGCACATCAAGGTGTGTAAGAAGCAGAAACAGAAGAAGTACCCACCCATGAGTATGTGATCAGAGGTAGGTATATACATGTAGGTGTTACATTACGCGGGCCCTGTCTGATTGATTGAACTCAACTCGATGCAGTTTCCCCCCGTTTCCTCTCTACCATCCACTCTCTCTGGCCTTTAATTCTCTCCTCTTATTGGGGAACCTCATTAACTTGAAAACTTTACCGGATTAATGATGATGACGGCTTGAGAGAGCACTTATCTACTCTACACCCGGGTCGCCGGCAAATTAGCTTTTTCCTCACTGAGTCTCTCGATCATCTGCTAAAGTCGAAGATGTATCATATGTAGCATTACCCACCCTGTAGTGCCACCGCAAATTGGTAGAGTAGCAATCCGTGAGAAGCAAGCTTGCTTAACTGCTGGCTGGCTTGCCACGATCGACGCGGTGCGTGCAGTTGCAGTAGATAACTACTACATAGTGTGAAAAGGTGGAAGAGACTCTAACACCAACACTCCCCCCGCCCACTCACTTTTCTCAGGGCTAAATAACCTTACTCCAACCGCACGTGTATACCCCACAAAGCCCTCGAGAGAGAGAGAGAGAGGCAAAGTTCGATGGCAGCCAGCAGAGCCTCGAGTTTCAAGCTTCGCTGGCAATTGAACGTTTTGTTTACGGAAATTTCCCCCACTCGCGCAGGAGCCTCAAAGCTTGGCGCGTCGGTTAACGGGAGGAGGATATCCGTGTACGTACCAGTAGGTACTGAAGTTTAAAGCTAGGTCTTCGAGGGGAAGCTAGACGAAGGTCATTGAATGTCACTCGATCATTACCACTGGGGCTCTTCTTCTCATTGTTCCTTTTTCTCCTAATGCTAGCACATCATGTCGTGCCTATCGATCAATACCACCACATGCAGCCCGACCTAGCACCATGAACCTACGCTTAATTTCTAAACAGCTGATTTCGTAATTCATAGAAAAGCAACATATATTTCTAAACAAGTCAGGAGCTCTGGTTTGGGGAATTGGTGGTCGCGCCTAACTTAAAACTAAGTTCTTCGCCAATATGTTGTTGGTCTGGACTTGATTGGACTATTTGTTATCGATCTCCGTTCATTATATTGAATTATCCTTCATTCTCCTTGACCCTGTTTCTGTGTCGAGTAGTGGATAAACAAGTACAAAGACGTTCTACGACACACCGTAGGGCGGGAACGTGTAGTGTAGTACAGCGAGTGATATCGCATGATGCATGCTTGGTAACTGAGGAATGGCTTAGATGGATCATTTCAAATCCGTAAGCTGACCCACACAATTTTTAATCTGACTACACAGAAGCCTCCCAATTTACTCTCTGACATGCAGTACCGTACTCCACATGCATACCCGACCTAATCACACGGTGTACCTAAGAGTTGGGATAAGCTCAAACATACCTATTTCATTTCGAGACTTCTAGAGCACTCTCTACCTTACCTCAATATCCCCACCCAATCATGAAGTACCGACTGAAACGAGTGATTTCCTATGACGACAATCAGGCCTCCTCCAGGTCACGTGCCCACCAAGGAAGATAAACAAGAAACAATGACGCAATCATTTCCCGTCCCCCATATCCAGATGTCCGGAATTCAGGAATGCTCAAATCATACTTGCTCCAAAGACTTCGAATCAATTGATAAAAACAAAAAACGCTAAACCAAAATGCCACCACGCGGACCCCAAATTCCACTCCTCAAGCGGGCAGCTATCCTGACGCTGCACTGGCATGCAGAAAAGAGCTGGATTGAGATCTCGACCATTCTAAGAGTCCATCCGGATACGGCGAGAAAGATATGTATTCGCGCAAAGGTATCTCCTTTTTTGGAAAAGGGGAAGATGGAAATGAGTTGGAGTGGTGGTTGAAATGGGTTATTTTATAACTAGGAGAGAGCTACGGATCCGAATGATTTCGATGATGTTCTGCTACACTTGGAAGATGCGGAGCGACCTGGGAGACCGCCGAAGAATACAAAGGAGGGCGAGATGGAGGGTGTGGAGAAAGAAGACGAGGTGGTGGAGAGCAGTGAGGTGGGTATCAAGAGTACTGGTGAGAGTGATAAGTTGGTGCAGGTCGAGTGATATTTTATGTAGTGAAACGTGGGATAGGTGGCTTAGGATTGTGGGGGTGAAGAGGAAGGCGGGGAATTGGGGTAGGCCGGTCCTGAGAAGAGCTTTGGGGGTTCTATTAGCATGTTACTTATGAAAAATTGTATAAGCTTGATTTTAGTTAACTAGTCCCGTTAAAGAAGATTTAATAGGTCTTATAATTACATAACAATTGCAAAGCTCTACTTTAAGGCGTTGGCTCTCTCATTTGGTTTCTTTAAGCAAGGCCTCCGAGCACTTGCTTTACAAGCAACCCTATGAGAAGCAACGTACTGTATTCTCGAGGATCTGGCCAGTGATGATGTTAAAGTCCATGGGCTGATTGCGTATTTATATAATTTAAGGAAATAACCAAGCGACAAGACCTCGAAGCCACGAAGTTCTAAGAGCCCAATATTAATAGATACTGTTTATATATATTATTCTAAGGACGACGGATATCGAATAAAATATTTAGGAGTTTGGAGCATTTGACGACGAGTCTACCATATTTGTTAATGATAACTTGAACCTATGTAAGCTAAAGAATAATCTTACGTTACTGTACTTAGAACAGTTTCATTTGGTTTTTGGGTATTCTGAGTGTAGAATACCTCGAGTAAAGTTGAATCAGAAGAATCAGAGTGAATGTAGTCCCGATGTTGCTTCTTTGGCACTAGTACTCTATATAGTAAGTGGAATTCTATCATTCCCCGCTCATAATGTCTGTTTGAGTATCTTCATAAGATGTCTTCTTCCCTGCCTGAAAAAAAGAGGAAACAAGATCTAGAAGGAAGTTCACCCATGAGTTAAAAACCGTTGTAAAAGTCGAAAGGCAAGCAAGGGTGAATGTTGTCCAGCTTAATGCGTAAAATGTGACCGGCAGTATCTACGTTAAACGTTTGCATCCTTCGGTCGGACGTGGCGGTTGGTGAATTAAAAAGAGACCAAGAATACATGTAGAGTACTGATAATGACAACTACATGTAGTAGGTACATGTAGCTACAATCACTCTATGCATGTAGTTAGTGGCATGTGGTAATAAAGCTGTTACTAAGCTGTCGTGGATCATCATGCAACCTTCAGAGAACAACAACCTCTCTACCTTGCCTGCGCAATAACAGACCCCACCCCCACTCAGCTGAACCCCTCCCTTGGTCTTGCCTCATGGCTGTCACCTCAGGAGTCTTTTCAGCGCTCTGTCTGGCCTCGCTAGCCGGTACGGTACTGCTACTACAACGCTTTTTCTTACCACTACGCTCAACCCCGGAATACTTGCTTGTTTCTACCTTTCTACCGCTGTTTATCTCGTCATCTATCGTGGTACTGGTGCCTATCGATCTTGCCTCTTCATCCGCTGGCGATTCGGGATCACGAGGTAGGTTTATCCCCTCTTTCTCATATTAGAAGTAGATTACTCAAGTAGAGAATAGGTATTGTGCTTCCCGAAGGGTTGCTTCTTGTAGCATGGCGAGTATCGTACTGGCTCTGCTTCGTGCTCACATGGTACCCAACTTCTATCTCCCAGAACAGACCTAGTGAGAGCTACAACTGACAAGTTTACAGGGCCGTCCTTCCTATTCTCCAGTCCTACAGTAACTCCGGCCACCGTTCCCCGCGTAACCGTTTCATCGAAGCCCTTCGCGAAAATGCAAGATACCAGCTTATGATGCTTGCTATCGGAGGTGTCGGCCTCATCTATGTCTTCATAACATCTGGGATTCATATCGAGTCCCTCAAAGGTCTCGTAATGGCCCTGTCTTACTGTTATGCTCTCGCCATCGCTATCTTCCTTATGGGTCATGGCCTCGTCGCAATCCCACGGAATCTCATGCGGAATGCAAGTATCCCAGGAAAGCTAAAGAGCTTACAGACTGCAGCACCTAGAGCATATGATAAGCTTTTAGATGCGACCAATAATCTTGAGGATATTGAACAGGAGGTTTTGGCAGTGCGTAAAAGAAAGAATGGGTCTGCCCTGGAGTTTCAACAATGGATTGAGGAACTGGGTGATATCGCGCAGCTTCCAGAGTCTTCGTTACCACCCCCAGGGGGAAGCAACATTGTTGGGGGAAGGAGGGGTGGAGCTCCCCCGGTGATCACAGAGCAATATCTAGCAGGCCTAACCCAACGCTTGAAAGTTGCCATACACAAGCGGCAACGCTTCAACGCTGAATGGCAAGCTCTTGTCCAGTCTGCCTCTGACTGCCAGGAGATGCTCGACTCCGCACGAACCAAGCGCTTGGCCTTCACGAAACACTTCGCATCTCCGACAGTGTTTGACAAAATCTCCATACTCAATCCTTACACAAGACACATCTTCCACTACCACATTCTGCCGCAGGTCCGCCGCATCCTCTCGGTTTTTCTTTCGCTTGCCTCAGCCTGTATAATCTGGTCTGAGATTACCCATGCCACAGCCCCAAGACTCTCAGTAATCAATTATACCGTAGTTCATCACCCTGAATCTCCTCACGGAAAGGTTGGCTTTGCTGGACAATGTATCGCCGCAGCATGGATCGCTTATATGTGTGCATGCGCATACTCCTCCCTTACTACGGTTAAGGTATGGGGAAACTATGCACTTGTTAAGCGAATGACATCAGGCTCATCTGCGTGTTTCTATGCCTCCTACGCCGCCCGGCTCACCGTACCGTTAGCTTATAATTTTACGGGATTACTGCTCCCAGCCGTAGCAAAGGACACTGTCTTTTTTGGCTTTTTGGGAAAGCTCATTACTCTCACACCACTTGGAGAGGGATTCGATGGTTTTTTCCCGGTGCTGATTCTACTGCCAGTTGCAGCCACAGGATTCAATGTGTACGGTTGGATCAAGACCACATTTGGCCTCGGAGATGTCTTGGCGGACGACGAAGATGATGAGGATGGGCTTGGAGGGTGGAGGGAAGGGCGAGATTTGATAGATCGGGAGCTCCAGGGTGAGGTTGGGAGGGGCGGGACAATCGCACGGGCAGCTGCCGCCAGCAGACTGGGCGGCAGAGCAGGAGGGTCAAGTTCAGGCCTTGGACCAGAAGCTCAGCGCACAGGCCGAACAGGCCCCATTAGGTTGAGAGATGATGATGGGGATAACTTGGATACTGTACCCGAAGAAGGATTTTTCGGGGGTTTTATGCATAGAGTTAAGAACACTGTCGAGACGCTGGATGCACCACAGTGGATGAAGGACTTTGATGGCGTTAAGAAGCCGAAGTGGCTCGGCGGCAATGCAGGGAGTAGTAGGGGTGGTTATGGTAGTGCTATCAGAGGAAGGGGTGGCGCGAGTAGACCAAGGTGGAGTGCGGGTGGTTGGGACGACGAGAGCGATGGGTTGTTAGGTGGGGAATAAACTTGCATTTCGATCATTGACAGGCGTTTTATTATTGTTTCCATTCGGTTTTGTGGGTTATTTCTTCTTGTTAATGGCATTGGCTAGAAATTTGGTTGGTTTGGCACACGTTTTAGAGGTCTTCTCAGTCTTCTTTTGTTATAATCATATTATATTGTCAGGTTTCAGGCGGCAATATTATTTATGACAGTAAAGCGTATTGTGGAGATGTGAGGCGGGTTAGCGTGAGATATACACACGGTGAGATGCTCCCAAAACTTTACATATTTAAAAAGCGATGGGGCACATTGTGGCAGAATTATCAGGAATTTAAGTTTTAGCTGCCTTCAAAATGTCTTGCTATGGTCTTGTTCTAGCAATATCTGGAAAATAGCCAAGGCGTCTGAGACCTAACGGTCCTTTACTTGGGGCGATTAATGTTTTGAACAGGAGGCCGGATTTACTGTTCAGGTTGTTCAATTACTCCAAAAACACCATCCTAAGGTCCAGCCCAAACCGAAACAGAAACCCCCCAAATATCACCCGGGAACTACAATCACAAGCAAGCAGAACGTGATTCGTTAGGACCCCAATCCATTAGATTGATGATTGCCCCATATGCCACTTTTGATTTTTTTGCTTGTACATTTGAAGCCCGGAAAGGAAAAAAAGAGGAAAACTGAAACAATTGGATTTCGTTTAGTGACCAGCTCTCCTGGACTCGGCGATAACGCGCTGGAGTTCGTCGACCTTTCTCTTGGCACGGCCGAAGGTACCGAGCTATATGAGAACAAACATGTCAGCCAAACCAGATACTGGATAATAGCAGGAGGTTTTCGAGACGCACTCTCTTCTTCGCGAGCTTACGGGCACGCTTGTCCTTAGAGTTGCGGAGCAACTCAATAACACGCTTCTCGTATGGGGCAAGTCTGTTGGAGCACACGAGTAGTTAGCTATACCCCATTCCGGATCGCAAAATAACCCGATCTTATTGTAATCTTGATTGAGAGGTGTATGTACCCAGCAACTTCCTTCACGACCTCACGGACGAAAGCGGTGCGCTTGGAAAGAACACCCTTTCTGCGGGAAGCACGGGGCTTGGACTCACGGAGAGTGACTCCGCTGTATCCCTTGTTGATGCCGTAGGCGAGACCTTTTCACAATTCCACCACTCGAGTCAGCATATCTGTTTTTGTTTGACCGGCCGTAGGGTTGAGCGGTAGGATTGGATAGCCGTACCTGACTTAGCTACTGCCATGGTTAGTTGTTCGATGGATGGGTTATCGAAATCGTCAAGTATACGTAGGGAGAGAGGGGGGTGAATTGATTTTGTTGGAGTTGAGAAAGCGTCGTGCAGTGTGCGGAGTTGCGCCAAGACGTTCCGCCCTACACAAATTCGTTGTGGGAGAAAAAAGTGACGGGCTAAGGAGTCAGGGTTCGTGCCCTGACTACAGGGCCCACCCACACAGTCAACACAAGGGGGGAAATTCCGAAATGTTTCTTTCCTTTCGTCAAGGAACTCTTCGAGGACGGTTAAAGACATATCCCCCATCTCTCTTTCTTTCTAGAGTTCTTTCTAGAGTCCATTAAACAAAAATCATCATGGTGAGCTGCCTGTATTTATTGCTCTACAAAATGACATAAATATTGGCCAATTTTGCTAACTTTCATCCCATCTAGTCTGACGCAGGAGAAGAAGTAATACCTTGAACCATCCTGATACATTATCCCGAATCCCGTGTCTAACAGCCCTCACCGAATAGGTCCCTCAAGTTGAGGCCGCCGAGGAAATTGAAGTTCCCGCCGATGCCTCCGCCGGCAAAAGTCAGATGTCCGTCGAGGACTCCCTCAAGGGTGTTCTCAAGCACGCCCTCATCCACGATGGTCTTGCCCGTGGTCTCCGTGAGGCCTCCAAGGCCCTTGACCGCCGCCAGGCCCACATGTGTGTCTTGAACGAGAACTGCGAGGAGGAGCCATACAAGAAGCTCGTTGAGGCTCTCTGTGCCGAGCACAAGATTCCCCTCATCAAGGTCGCTGATGGAAAGAAGCTCGGAGAGTGGGCTGGACTTTGTGGGTTCTCCCGTCGTAAAAACGTATTGGTTTCTTGAATCTTGGGCTAATTCTGGTGATAGGCGTCCTTGACCGTGAGGGTAACGCCCGCAAGGTTGTTAACTGCTCTTGCGTTGTTGTCCGCGACTGGGGTGAAGAGTCCATGGAGCGCAACATCCTCCTTGAGTACTTCCAGACCAGGTAGACAATAAAAAAACTGGGTATTGCTTTTTACCAACGGGCTTGGATTGATGGGCGTTAGGGTCATTTTTAAATGTAACTAACTATCATGAAAAATACATCTGGGAAGGGCGTATGAAACAAAAAAAAGGTTTTTTTTCTCAATTATTTAATTGCATTTTCTATGAAATGACTTGTGAAGTGTGTTTGATCGTAAAAACTTGTATATCCAATTACCAACCTGCCAATTAGTAGGGAAAAAAAGAGCAATTCATTACGTCATTGAATCTTCACTAGAACTGTACTACTACTATTGCGGAATTACTCAGGTGATCCGTAGCCATCCCCTTACAATTTTCTAATCATGAGTTATCACTCGATGGGTACCAGTTACTAGCGTCACCCTATCTCATTACCGTAACCAAATAAAGCACTTCGTCATCCGCTTCGGGAGGTGTTAGGTTGATAACCTGTTATATAAACATTAGGTTTCCAGCCTCCTCTCTATGTAGCTTACATATATTCCCTAGACTAGATATACAACTATCGTATGAGAACTTCGAGTCGAATAGTCTTAAGACGTATCGTTGGGTGCCTGTGTCTACATAATGTACATATCTGTCTTCTACCGGTAGTGTTTCAGCGAGCTACGAAGGCAATTTTACACTCAACCCTTTTCATACGATAGACCTAGAACGAAGTTTAGTTTTGGGTTGTAGAAACTATTAATACTAGGGGTACATTTAGACATTGTTTCTTCTTTTATTAGTGCAGTACTATTAAGGAAGTTCTCAAGCTGTGGGGAAAATTCCTGTGTGTACCTTTAATGATCTAGTGGATACTTGAAATACACAAGAATAGGTATAAACCTATTAATTAACCAGTGAAGCCAAGGTCCTAGGGTGAGGCTACATGTATGGTACCTTTTATGTTTTGTTCTTTGATAAATGTTGGTATATAGCTTTGATAATTGCTTCTGTGGAGCCCCAGGGGGTTTTAGGGGAACCACAAGGCCTAGGAACACATCGAGGGAGCGGGTTAATGAGGGACCGGCCATCAGCAACTGCATTCTTTGGGACGAATCAATCCAGTATTACGTAGCGCCTACATAGCTGCATAGCTTTGTTTTGAAATTTTCCCGGTATACATGCTCGATCAATTATCTAGTTTTATATGAAATGCCCATAGAAAGTCATGGCTTCTAGAACATGCATCTAGAGTTCAATGGATCAATCAATCAACCAACCAACAATCTTAGGTTCTGGTAGATGCTTAATTATAAGCCAGACGAGTAATGATTCTTGATACGTATCTCTACCATAGCACGTGAAGAGAGAAAAGCACCCAGAGCCTGAAATTTAAGGTAACCACCTATACGCAATGTTTCAATTAAAAAAGCTTATATTAAACTCAAAAGATAATTTGTTAACTCAGCAATGACCTCACATGCTAATGCTGACAAAAGGACACTATTCTAATCTATCGATAAGCGTTGTCTCCTCCAACTCTATGCAATCTCCCTATCAGCATACTGAGCATCGGCGGACGATCAGGATATCATCATCATCATAATATCCTCGCCTCAACGCTCATCTGCAGCCCGGGTAAAAGCCCCCAAAACCAACCCCGCACTTTCCGGGATGTGAGGATGGATGGGTGCAGTGATAGCGGGGCACTGATCACGGCCGATAAGATGATAAGGTTGGCTATAGTAGCCAAAGTCGGAAGCATCCCAATAACCCGTTTCAAATCCCTTAGATGGAGAATAGCATTATCACATGCTGACACAGTGCCGAACCAGGTTTGGCCCTGGTTGGAGGAGCTGCTTGGAGCCATATTTTTGGAGTTTATAGTCTATCCCAGGTTTAAATTCACGGAAGGTTTGTTTGCTCCCCTGGTACCACGTATAGAAGGCTGGTTTTAAGTTGAGATGTTTGCCCCCAGGTCTCAATTCAGACATATCTTTGTTTTTTGCACCGCGTGGATGACGGCTAATCCATTGGCGATAGAAACAAATCAATAAGTCTGGGATCTATTCTCAGGAGCGTAGGCCTCAGGCCCGAGAGGGCATCGAGCGGTATGGTGTGTTTCGATAAGTAACTCTTGGAGGCTGTCACGCCCGCAGGGCCGGATTAGTTTATGCAAGGGATCGTGGGGGCCAATATTATACCAACCAACCGACCCTATTACCTCTTAAAATAGCGATAAATATTTTCATAACAGGGCGGAATACCTACACTGCGTTTACGCCGCAGTACGGTGACATTATTCCAGAGACTGAGTGGAGTATTCCCATTGTTGCAGACTCAAGGATTAGAAAAGCAGCATCTGAGAAGAGACACCCGCAGTTTAACGGCGTTACTGCGATATTGGACTAAACGGGGGTAGTAATCCCAATCACGTTTTTGGTACTGTATGTACATAGTCGTTGCAGGGTTTCAACTACAAGGTTTGACTACATACAGTACGCAAAAACAAGGCGCAATTACTACAATACAGTAGTACTACTGCATCACCGGATTAAAGCCGTATTTAAGAGGATTTTCTGTAATGCTCCCGCGCCATTGAACTATTCGGGAAATACGGTAGCGAACACAACCGCCTGTATATGTATGTTCATGTACATACCAGCAGGAAACATATCACTCATCGCTCACATGTACACCATTAAGTACATCTCAACAAACATTTTTCGCATCCGGAGTCATCCAATCTTTTGAAACCAACTAGCACTAGGAATTCTTCGGTGACAGTTATATGTTCTCCAACTGCCGGATATTAATCACTTGAGGAGTTTTATGCACGGTGGTGCTGGCAGGCGAGAAGTTTAGAGTGGGAAAAGCATCAGACAAACTTTAGTGTCTATGCCAGTGTAGATGGATTCAAGCTTTCTCTGTCCTATCAGAGGCATGTTCCTGGGAGAGGGGCAATAAAAGAGGGGTAAAAAGTGACGTTTTAGCGCCCTGGAAATGGATTTGAGTTCCAGAAGGAAGAGGGTTGTGAAAGGGGAGAAGAAAAATAGCTTGGTAAGTACTCCTCTACTAGAAATTTTTTCAGATTCAGTAGGTGAGGTGAGGTTAGATATGTGCTCAAAGTGACTTGACCAATGGCGTTACAGGTGCATGTGTACACACATACATGTAAGCTTAGTACCGAGATCTTGCGCGGCGGGCACGATCCCCGATGTCTTTCACATAAGCCCCTCCCCACTGTCTCCACGCGGACTTTGTTGATAGGTACCATAGGAGACAAAATCCGATAGAAATTTGAGAGCATGTTCCTATGGGTTTAAGCCATGGTGTTAGCAGTGCGTGTGCTGTCAATATTAGATGCTGTTCACCACCGTTAAAGGTGTGACGTCGGTTTCCGGTGGGTGTTGTATGTAGCTGAGATTTTGGTTATCGCCCTGAAACGTCGCGGGGGTTACCCTGTGAACATCTCCTATCCCTGGCTGTGGTTGTTGCTGGTTGGACGGATGGGATAATCATTAGAAATGACATGAATCTTAGCAGGTACATGTAGGTACTTTACGCACGCAGGTGACTTTTTTCAGTAGCGCCGCCTTGGAGGAGTTAAAAGCAAAATCCCGGCGGAAGGACCAACATTGCAGAACGAATAACTTGAAGTTGGGCCTTGCATTTAGCTCTAACTAGAGTAACTGAGATGTGTGTGTGGCACACGATTTGGATTTCGGCAGGGGATGGTGCTCCCGCGGCTGAGACAAATACAGTAAGGGAATGACACCCGCGACGCTCTCTATGACAGAAATGAAAAGTTGCTTGTTCCCTGGAGTGTAGATATCGCCCATCGCTTTCTTGCTTAAAAATAAATCCTTAGAGCCTCTGAGGCGCTTGTGTTGAGCACCGAGCGCTTCCTCCTGGCGTTGTAGGATGTAGTTGCCCTTGGCTGTGTGTAGTGACAGTAGATAGTGCTCCTTCCATGCGTCCTTCTAGGTACTCAATGTAGGTACATGTGCCTACTCTACTCGCGGCAGGCAAAAAGTACCGGACAATGCAAGTTTTGTCTCTGGGCTTTTTTTGCAGTAGTTCACGCCTAGCACGCGCACCCATTGGTGAACCAAAAACCTGCATTGTCCGGTACTTTTTGCCTGCCCCGAGTACCTGTTATCCAGCCACCCCGCCCCTTAGTGGCCCCCCCTTCCCCTTCCATTCCAATCTCATCCATTCTTATCCAGTCCTGCTCTTTTGCTTTCTTCTCACTCTCACGAGCTTGTATTCAGTTGGTTATTCTCGTTGCTACTACCGTCAACATCAACATCACGATCCTCAGCCATCACCAAACTGTACCTATCACGAAGCTAGTATTCGTCGCCGTGCTGCCCGCTCCCCGCTGAAGCCTGATAGGTACTCGTTGAACTTGGATAGCAAGTACCTACAGTAACTCACTGATAACGTACTGAGCGTGCTACCGTTATTGATATCGACACACACACCACACACACCCTCACTTTCTCTCGCTCTGCTCGTTGCCCCCTCTCTTGTTCCACCTAAATAGTTACCTCACTCACCTATTCACATCCCACCACTTGACTCTGTCCTATCCCCTCATCCCCGCCTGTTGCTGCCCGCCCCTCGGTCCTGGTTCTCTTCTTCCTCCTCCTCCGCCGCCTGCTTCTACAACACGTGCTCCAATATTCACCCCACGGTGATGCTTGCGTATGCTTTTTAATCGGACTCCTAAATTACCCTAGTGCCAGCCAGATTCCAAACGGCCCCACGTCGCCGCCTCTTTAAGCTCCAAGCGCAACCCTAACCCCTGCTGCTTTGATTTCTTCCCCCGCTCCCTCCCACGCTTTATATTATTTACATCACCACCCGTCCCTACGGACACCACAAGCCCCGAGAAGTAATCACCAAAGACTAACATATTCTTCTACCTCTTGCGACCAACTTCCCCCCTTCACTCTTTTCTCTATTCTCTCCTTTCCTCCCCCTTCTCTCCTGATCTTCTCTCCTCCTCCTCCTCTATCCTCTATCCCGATGGCTCGTTCGCGCCCAGAGCCGGTTATTGTGTCGGCATCTACTAGTTCCAGTAGCAGCAGTAGCCCAGAACACTTTACCTGCAACGACGATGGTAGCAACGACTTCGTTATGGTACCCGACGACAACGTCTCCCTGGCTGCGTTAACTGAATTTCGTAACATGACTGTGTCCCCAACCGACAAGTTAACTGTTACGCACAAACAATTGAGCCATCAAAACATTCAACATGTTTCCTCCACTCCCCCCGTCTACCGATTACCCCCAGAGCTCCTTATCGCCATCTTCTCCAAGGTTTCGTCGGTGGTGGATCTGAGGTCATGCATGCTAGTTTCGAGGCAGTGGGCAAACTGTAGCGTCGAGCTCCTGTGGCATCGCCCCTCGTTTGACGAGTTCATCAAGTACCAGAACATGGTAAAGGCTGTTGAAGACGTTAACGCCACTTACAAATACGCGCAGCTGATCAAGCGACTTAATCTCACTACTATCGCTGGAAAAATCAGTGATGGAAGCATGGAGCCCCTGGTCAAGTGTACAAAGTTGGAACGGCTGACCCTCACCAACTGTTTGCACCTTACCGATTTGCCGCTACAAAAAATATTCGATAATAATCCTCGGATCCAAGCCCTCGATTTGTCGCAACTCCATAGCATTACGGATAACGCGCTGTTGGCCGTGGCCAAAAACTGCCCACGCCTTCAAGGTCTAAATATTGCTGGGTGTAAGCGTGTGACAGACGCATCTCTGATCCCGTTGTCGGAAAGATGTAAATCGTTGCGAAGGGTAAGAAAGTTAGCTCGCAAACTCTTATCGCACTAATGCTAACTTATTTAAGCTTAAACTTAACGAGTGTAACTTCATCACAAATGCTGCAGTAGCCTCACTAGCCGCGCATTGCTCCCAACTTCTAGAAATCGACCTTTACAAATGCCACAATATCACCGATGAAGCTATAGGCCATCTATTCACACAATTGCGCCAGCTCCGAGAACTACGATTAGCTTATTGTGATCTCCTGACCGACGATGCTTTCCTCCAGCTACCAACGCGGACTTACGATTTTCTACGCATTCTGGATCTCACTGGTTGTGAGCTCCTCACAGACGAGGCAGTTAATAAAATCGTGACAGCTGCGCCCCGCCTGCGCAATCTGGTCCTGGCGAAATGTAGGAATATCACAGACAAAGCCGTGACCCACAGTGTCATCAAGCTTGGGAAGAATCTGCACTATTTGCACCTTGGCCACTGCCAGCATTTGACAGATAGGGCTGTACAGACGCTAGTCCGCTACTGTAATAGGATAAGGTACATCGATCTCGCATGTTGCACACACCTGACCGATCAGAGTGTGAGCCACCTTGCGGGTCTTCCGAAGTTACGGAGAATTGGGTTGGTCAAATGCCAAAATATTACGGATTACTCAATCCAAACATTGTTGAAGGGGAGCAAGGATATGCCGTGTCCGTTGGAAAGAGTGCATCTTTCTTACTGCACCAATCTGACTGTCGATGTGAGTGAACGGAGAAATTCGGTTAATTGGAAATAACCCGAGGATTTATTGCTGACAAATTTGATTTCAGGGCATCCACGAACTTATCACCAACTGCCAAAGGCTAACCCATCTGAGTTTGACTGGAGTGGATGTCTTTTACCGTAGGAAGGACTTCACACAGTTCTGCAGGCCACCACCTGATGAATTCAACGAGCACCAACGGGAAGTCTTGTAAGTAACCTTTACTTTTTATCTCCCCCGAAGTTTCGGGGACTATGGGCCATTAACTAATATTTCTCCTTACAGCTGTGTTTTCAGTGGCAGCGGCGTTGGCAAGCTACGGAACTATCTCAACGCACAAAAAGCACACTCGGAGGGAACACCAAACCTGGATCAGAATTACTACGTGGATGATGAGGATAATCAAGATATGGATGAGGAATTGGAAGAGGTTGATTAACGCGTTTCTGAACCTTCTAACGCAAATCCTGGGGGCAATATTTCACTTTAAGTTTATTTTCGTAAAGGGAATTACCAATATGATTGGAAATGGAATGGTGGGGGTAGCGAAAGGGCAAAAAAATGCTAGCTCGCTGGAAACATTTTCATAATTAATGTGAAAGTAGGGGTTGTGGGTAAAATATGGGCGAAGGTGTTTGGGAGCCTGGATTAGATGTCTGGCTTTTTCATTTCTTTTCTTTATATACTCTTTTTTTTTGTCTCCTTCATAGGGTTCGGGTCATTATTTCTTGTTTTATCATTTTCTTTCCAGCTATTTGGTCTGTTTTTTTTTTCTCCCTCCCCCGCTCTTCACTTTCCTCTAATATTATTTATCTTCCCCTTTTTTTGTGAGCGCCCTTAAACTTTTTTTTTGCTCGGTCTATAGTATCGCTTTTATGTATATCCGGCTTCTTTGAATGTTCGGATGGCAAGCATCAACTTGGTAGTTCTAAATCTCATATATGAGTGGAGGGAGGGAATGCATCATTATTTATCACTCGCCCCATCATTGACCCAATCAGTGATGATGTCATTCATTGGTGAAAAAAAGTCGGTGACGGTTGCTGTTCACAGTTACATACACGCAACTTCCTATGTACTAGTACCTCCTGCCCTGCGAGTGCTAGTTGGTGATTAGGGTAATTATCTAGACTTATTACCTAGACTGAGGTAGGGTATGTATTAGGATCAACACTGACGTGCGTTTCTAGACTGAGTATTAACAAAAAAAAAGGAAGTAGACAAATTAAACAAACACCATTATAGTTCAACATAGGCTTTCATCTGATTTCGCCTTCTCATTCTTACTGTATGATTGCCCTTGGACATGCAAAATAAACGCATAATAAAGGAAAGAAGAAAATAAGAGCCCAGAGTACCGACCAGGATATTTAAAAGATAAAAAAATATGATAAAAAACTATTCCCATCTCTACAACCCATATATATGTAGCTCTTCCATAAATTCCGCCTGGAATGCCTTACAGGCCTCTCTTACAATTCAGAAAATAAACATTCGCTCATTCCGCTTCAAATAATAATAAAAAAAAATCTATGCGGCATTACACTTCATACCTAACTCAATTCAACTCTATATCGTTCAGTATATTTGGCCTGGTATTTCAACCACATTAATCCTTCCTCCCTGGCCCCACCACTGTCTCGACCATCTCCAATCCCGCAAGGCTAGGATAACGCTTCGCGAAGCTTTTCTGCCAGTCCTCGTCCGATAGATTGATACCACCATCTTCGGCAACGCCGCCGTTCGCCACTGTTCTGGGGGGAAGTTGTGGTGCAGATGTACCTACACTTCCACCGCCAGTTCCAGAAACTCGCAATTTATTCGGTTTCGGGGGTGGAGGTGGGCGTGGCGAAGGCTGCCCTGAGCCTGTAGATGCTGATGGTATAATTGTTGGTGGCGCAGCCTTCCTGGAAGAGATAGATGAAGCAACGGTAATAGTTGCACTACCAGATGAAGTACCAGTTCGGTAGCTAACACTTCCTCGATGGTGTCCATCCGTTTGTGGGTTTTCCGTGGGGTTTGATTTTGTTCGACTCAAGGTATCCAATTGTTGTTGTTGTTGCGGGGCGTTAGTGTACCGACCATATCCCTCTGCGGTTTTAGGGGGTGGGACGCGGTTTTCACTAAGAAGCGCTTTGACCTTGTTCTGGATCGAGTTTGCCCTATTTCTCGAGGTCGTAGGCTTGCCGCCCGCATCTCGCTCCGCGAGCTGTCTCTTGTATTCTGCAGCTGCTGCTGCCACCCGCCTCTCTTCCTGTGAGAGTCGTCGCTTCTCAAGCTCTCGTTTCATTTCCGGCGGTACGTCCTGGCTACTAACTTCCCAGTAATCATCCAAGTCTAATATATCTTGACTATCAGTAATTACGGGCATTGCCCCACGCTCGGGACTTGGCGCCCTCTCTGGATTTTGGTCTTGCGACGACCCAGTATTGTTACGCTCGAACCTACGAAATGCATCCCCAAATTTTCCGGCCAAAAGACCTTTGGAGCTGGGGAGTGATATAGAGGGCATGCTAGCACGCTTAACATGTTTCGCGACAAAATTGCCACTTGTACCTCTCTTTTCTGGCTTCACATCTGATTCGAGTTCTATTGCTTTTAGGTAGTCCACGTTCGACTCAATATTTACGGACCTTTGTGAGTTTATAGATTGACCAGTGATGCTTTGCTGAACCGTATATCCTCCACTCGGAGGCTGCATGCTACTGGTCCCCTGGGTTGTCGCAGAATCCAAATCCCGAAGGAATTCTAAATTGGACTCAACGAAAACACTAGTGGGACGCTGTTTAGAATTTACGGAGGCCGAACGAGGTGGCGGGTTGGGATTTCCAGCTTCGAGTGTTGATGCTGAGCGAGAGTACTCGAGTGAGGGCCGCGAAGAATTTGGTGTTCGAGACACGGTGGGAGTGTGTGTTGCTGACCGACCAACCTCTAGAAGTGTTGTCGGTCTCTGTTGCTTCAACCGTGACACTGCAGGAGAAGATCCCTGTGATTCAAAGGCCTGCTCCTGTAATTTGCTGTTGGTACGCAGCATAGGGAACTCTCGGGGAGAAGGTGATCTAGAGGAGGATGATTCCGGAGAAGTCATAGTTCCCGTAGAAACCATCACTGGCCGAGTAGGTTGAGGTTCAAGGAGAACTGGCCATCCAGACATTCCATGCCCTGTTACTGGCCGGGATGCACTTTGATACTGTTTTGAACCAGTTGGTGCTTTCTGGGCGGGTTGTGGGGCTGCTGAAGCAAACGCATCATCTGCCAGCTTCTCAGTTAATCGAGTGCTAAGATCTTTCTTTCCAGGATCTGAAGTTGACGGCAACAGTCCCTCCACAAATTCAAACTTGTTTCCGGAATCGTGAAGTAGATTAAATTGCTCTACGCTTGGGAACCTTGATGCAGAATCATTCATACTAAAAGGACTCGTATTTTGATCAAGGGCAGAAAACGGATCACTTGACGTTGAACGAATTTTGGGTGATGGGTCGGGTATAGTTGGCCTTGTTCTTGAAGTACCCGGAGAGTGTGCGACGGGCCCGTCTTTGGTCGGCCTACCACGGCGCATTGGCGTGATATCTGGAAGTGGTTGTGGCTGTGGTGGGGGAGGAGACTGGTAGGCAACAATACTAGGAGGAGATTGAATTGTGGGAGATACTTGCGGTTCCACAGGCGATTTTTGTGCTGAAAGTTCTGAATAAATCTGATAAGTGTCAACTGTGATGCTTGATACCAATCTTTCGAGAAACATACATCTTTGATCGGCACTTGCTTTCCACGCATCGAACAGACTTCCCGGACTACCTGGTAAATGTTGGGTCGCTGCTGAGGAGCCTCTCGCAACATCCATGCTGATACCGTCAGTAGAAACTACGGGGAAGCGAAATGGCTAGACACCCACCAATAAGTTTTTTGATACGATCCGAGAACGGAGGATACGAAGGAAACTTGAAGGAGGCATTCAAAATAGCGAGTGTTCCTTGCTCCTCAAAAGGCGTCGTATAATAACAAAGCTTGTATAAAAGCACGCCCAAGGCCCATATATCCGACTTCTCGTCAATAGGTAGTTTTCGGTACACATCAACCATTTCCGGTGATCGATATTGAAGTGTCGTATGTTTCTGAATATCCTCTTCCACCAGTCGACATTCTACAACAGTCTGTGCGGCAGGTTTTACTGGAGCACATGATCCAAAATCACAAAGTTTGTACCCTCGATGTGACCCTATCAAAACGTTCTCGACCTTTAAATCTCGGTGAAGAAGGGGAGGCTGAAGGTAGTGCATGCAGGCGACCCCTTCCGCTACGTCGTCAAAAATTTTAAGGATCTCGGGTTCCGTGAGTCGGTTCTGGAGCCTGGTATTCATAAAATCGATCAAACCCCCTCCTATTCACATATTGTCAGTGCAGCCATTTTTTGAAACGATCTTTAACTGCCTCATACCCGAACAAAATTCCATCAATAGAAATACCTCATATCCACCACCCTTCAAATGAGACGCATGCGAGTCAATATATGTAACGATGTGTCGATGACCTTTTAGCCGTTTCTAAGAGTTCCCAAAATTCAGATATGAAATAAGACGCTCAGAGAGACTGGAACGAACCATTGTCTCAACTTCTGTCCTCATACTCGTAAGGGCCTCCTTATCCGGAACGGCGACTCGCTTCAATACCGCCACATCCAATCCATCGACTGGACGTGAAAGCTTGACCAAGTAAACATGAGCAAAACCGCCTAAGAAGTTGAATCAATGTCAGCGTAGGGTCAAATGCAAGCAATGCAGATGGAAAACTACTACTAGCCTTCAGATAAATACCGCTCTATAGTGCACTTGTGGGCGCCAACTGTTATTAACGTTCCCGGAAGAAAGGTCCCAGGTGGGGCGTTTGGGACAGGTATCGAGGGAGCATGATAAGTCTGCGGATACTGAGCAGGGTGATGACCGTAACTCGGCGCAGCCATAGAAGGGTACCGGGATTGAGTATCTGCTAAAGAGCCAATCGCGGAGGGGGCCAACGAAGCTGCAGAGAAGCAGCAGCAGTCAGGATAGCAAGAAAAAGAGGGGGTAGGTTGCTCTCCGTTTGGTCAGTAGTCGGGAAACGAGACGAAGGGGTATGTCTCGGTATGCAGCTCTATTTGAAAAGAAGGGTTTCGGGGGTCGTTTTTTGGAGGAGGTGATGAGGATGAGCGGGGGATTATCTTCAGAGTATACCCTGGTGTCGAGATGGAGATGACGAGGTGGGGGGGGGGGGGCAGTTGCTGTATATGGGAGGGGATAGGTGTGAAGTTGAATGGGGGGATGAATGGTTGTGGAGATTTGGTTTGATCTGATGATGAGTTGAGGTCTCTCCTTGTAGACGTTAGGTGCAGTTGGGAGAAGTCACTGATCTACCTCCTCGACCTAGGTACGTACATGCGGAGGTTTCAACGGATGAGGTGGTCGT